AATCTGAATCTATTTAAGTTGCACAAGATATGTACTATTTAAATGAAGTTCGTTTTATACTACTGTATAAATTAATTATAAAATTTCACGTGAATATAGCCTAAAATACGCTGGAAATTAGGTCGGTTACGACTTTATGGATTACCTAATGACCTAGTACTTAAAATACATTAATTTTATTTGTTATGTGTTGCAATAATATGAAAATATTATTGTTTATTTTTAAAGTAAATTGAGTATTTTAAACAGACCCCTATTTATAGTTTATCTTCTAATTTATTATTTGTTATTTAACTATTTATTATATTTTTAAAAATTTATTAGTCTACTTATGGCTTAATTTCTTTATAATGTGCGCTTAGGATGATAAAATAAGTACGAAAGTTGATTTAATTTCCATGACATTTCAACTTTAGTTTTAGTCTTAAATATTATAAGCTCCTGAAGATGATGTCAAATCATGATGTCATTAGAACTTAAGAATTACATCAAAATTAAATACTAGCATAAATTAGTAATGATTTGATAATTATAATCACTTTTAGTTAGTATCCGCATAAATTTTGTTTGATGAAAAAAAAAAAAATCTTTAAACATTTTAATAATTAATCATTGTCATTTTTTGAAGCAAATTTTAATTTATTCAGAAATTTTTATATTGTGAATTTTTCTTTATATAAATTTGATTAAAATGAATTTTCTCTTAAAGACTTACTGTACATGCGTCAAGGAGTTATCTTAAGATGTGTAATAGTAAAACTGACCTTGATAATTAATTCACGAATTAGTTCATTAAAGCGCAATACTAGAAACATTTAATAAAATTTCCTGGAAATATCATTTATGTAAGGTCACACAAACAAAATTTTTAGGTTCTCGTAAATAAACATTTGAAATGATGCGGCCGAATAAAACAAAAATAATCTGTGCCTGAACATAATAATTTGAAAATACAATAAAAAAATTATCTAGGAGATTACTACAACCCAAAACTCACCATTTAACTGTTATCAGGAAAAGTTTCAGAGTTAATTTTTAGTAAAATGTTCGCACCTGTATTGAATAACTCTTAGGAAATTTTAGTGTTTACGTCTGTCTTTAAACCTTTCTTGTGATTACCAAGTACTAAAAACTATGGTTTTAACAAAATTAAGTTCGAGAATCAAATTAAAGTAAATTTGCGATTGAATTATTCGATATGTGAATTCATCATATTTGTTTTATTGTTCGGGCCATAATACTTTAGTTCACCATATAGTAAACCCCTCCGAGCTAATTAAGAATAAATGAATGGTAGATTGAATCAAAATTATTAACTGGAGAATTGCGTTAATTTATATATATTAATACTATGTAAAGTTTGGTATTTATTTATAAAAAAAATATAAAATAATAATAAATAAAATAAGATGTCAGTACATTGTAAGCATAAAAATACAAAAATTGTAAGCAAAGAGGAAAGAACTAACTAAGAATTTGTGAAAACTGAAAAGTGAGAATATAAATAATGATAAATATTTAATTTAAAATATAACTAATAAATTGGATTCATTGTAAAAGAGCATTAAACACCTCTGTCAACCATTTTCTAAATTTTTTTTTATTTTCTATTTTTTTTTTCTTTTCTTTAATAACAATGTCTTCAACTTTTTCATATAATCTACAGGACTTTTATGTGCATTGACATTTCCTTCTGTTGCAGCTATTTTATACAATTCAAATGCCTTTTCTTTATCTATATTAGTTCCAATTCCTTTCTCATAATAATATCCAATTTTATATTGAGCGTCAGCAAATCCTTGAGCAGCTGATTTTTTATAAAATTCAAATGATCTAATATCATTCTTTCCAACACCTTTGCCTAATTCATAAAATTCTCCTAATTTATATAATGCAAATTTATTATCATTTTCCGCAGCTTTATGGTACCAATAATTAACTTTATCTAAATCTTTTACAATTAACTCATCATTTTCAAAGAGAGTAACATCGAAATGACAACCAGCTGCCTTATAATATAATTCAAATCCTTTTTCTTTATTAATTTCAGTGCCAATACCATTTACATAAAAATATCCAAGCAGAAATTTTGCATTTTTATACCCACTATTAGCCGATTTATTATAAAATTCGAATGCTTTAACTTCATCTTTTTCTACACCATTTCCCAATTCATAACATTCACCTAGATTATATTGTGCTACTCTATATCCATTTTCTGCTGCTTTGCTAAACCAGTAAAAAGCTTTTTCTAAATCTCTTTCAATACCATTACCATTGCAATATAAAGCGCCAAGATTATTTTGTGCTTTTTTATGTCCTCCTTCACCTGCTAATCTAAATAATTCAAGTGCTTTTGTTTTATCAACTTCAGTCCCAATTCCCTTATAATAACAACATCCAAGCTCAAATTGGGCTTCTAAATGTCCCTGATAAGCTGACTTTTTATAATATTCAAAACATTTTCTTTTGTCTTTTTCTACATTATTATCTCCATGTTTATAGCAATTACCTAAATTATATTGTGCAATAACATGTCCTTTTTCAGCCGCTATTTCATATAATTCAAATGCTTTTACTTTATCAACTTCAGCTCCAATTCCTTTTGCATAACAATTTCCGAGTTCAAATTGAGCTTCTAAATATCCTTGATCAGCTGACTTTTTATAATATTTAAAACATTTACTATCATCTTTTTTCACAACATTATATCCATTTTTATAATAATTACCTAAATTATATTGTGCGATGGAATATCCTTTATTAGCTACTATTTTATATAATTCAAATGCTTTTACATTATCAATTATAATTCCAATTCCTTTATTATAACAATTTCCAAGTTCAAATTGTGCAATTAAATATTCTTGAGTAGCTGATTTTTTATAATACTCAAATGCTTTTCTTTCATCTTTTTTTATACCATTCCCATTTTTATAACAATTTCCTAAATTATATTGTGCAAATTTATTTCCACTTTCAGCTGCCTTGTTATACCAGTAAACAGCCTTTTCCAAATCTTTTTCCACGCCTTTACCATTTTGATATAAATTTCCAAGGTTATTTTGTGCATATGAGTATTCTCCTTTTGCAGATTCTAGATACCATTCAAAAGCTTTCTTTTCATCTTTATTTATTCCTATCCCATTTTGATAACAAATACCTACATTATATTTTGCACATACATCTCCTTTATTTGCAGCATTTAAAAACCAATTAAATGCTTGCTTCTCATCTTTTGTTATTCCTATTCCATTTTGATAACAATATCCTAAATTATTTTGTGCACTAGAATTTCCTTCTTCTGCTGATATTGAATAAAATTCCAATGTTTTATATTTATCTTTAAATTTTCCAATTCCATATTCTACCGATTCTTTCTTTTTGATATAATCTGATTGAATTTCATTTGGACATTTGTCTAACGAATCAAAATATTTCTCCATAATATTTATTTCATCTTTACGTAAATTTATTTTCAACCCATTAAAATTTTCAAACTGATCATTACCATGTGACATTACATGTACATTTTCCAAATTTTTTACCATAAAATCATTTTTATCTAAAATAATATCTCTATAATAATGAAATGATAATAAATATTTTGATATAATAATATTAATTAATTGATACATAGAATTTAATTTTTTTTTATCATCATCATTTTCATAATTTTTAATTGATGATAAATAAAAATTTAAAATTAAACATTTATCAATTTTATTATTTAAAATATGTTCATAAAAAAATCCTATTAAACTTGAAAACCAATTTTCATTTTCTTTATGATTTTCCATTAATTTTAAAATTATTTCAGGATTTTTTTCATTATAATTTAAATAATCTTTTATCCATTCCTTTAATATATTTCTAAATTTAGGATAATATTCTATTTTTATAATTTGACGATAAAAATCTTTTAAAAATTCCTTTAAAAAAATTTCATTATCCTTTGAAATATTATTATTTAAGGACATTTTTTTTTTTTTTGAGTTTGAGTTTGAGTTTGAGATGATTAGTGGACGAATGGTTTTTTTTTGTTGAAATTAATACATTATGACATTACGACATTACGTGCGTGCTTAGTAAGTATTACGTACTCTAATAACGATTTAGGAAATGATCGATGTTAATACTGCGCATTGTTATCTGCGCCAAACGTATGCGAATCTAATAGTTTCTTATTTGTTTTCTTCCAAATTTGTTCATTCAAATTGAAAGCTAATAAATAATAATTTTTTTAAAAGTCATAACGAAGTTTACTATTTTCTATTTTTGAAATCATCTGTAAAAAGAACGAAACAACGACCAAAAAAATTTTTTCAACTTAGAAAGGAATTTGCGTTTATTATATAAAATGTGTTAAGCTTATTTTGGTTAGATTTACTCGATTTTTGACGACAATAAAAAAAATACGGCATGAAAAATAGATATTATCGATATCTTATAATTTTTCCTTAGTTTATCATCTCCGATAATTAAATTTTTCGTTATTTCTTGCCCCATAACTTAAATATAAATTCACATGATATGAAATATAAATTTTTTTTTCGATTATTGAAATTATAACGAAATTAATAAAGTATTCACTACTAAATTTTACAAGTAATCATATGATATTATAAAACAACATCACAATAACAACCTAATTCTTCCCTTATTTAATTCTCTTTCTATTTCTATTTACAACTACGAATATAAAATTTAATTTATTAACCAATTTATGTATGAAAATTGAAAGATTTCATAAAATATATATTGTCAAATACTATTTTATTATTTTTATCTTCGTAAATATTTATTTTTCTTAATGGATGATCGACATCTGTTGCAAATTACAATCATTCAATCACTTGTACCTCTGAAGATCCTAAAAATGTGGGTAGCACTACATATTGAGACTCCGTAAACTCAAATGATCATGTGGTCAAAATAACCATAATAAATAAATAAGTGACCGTTAATTTTTTTATCATATAGTAAATTCAGAAAAAAAAATGTCAAAAAATACCAAAGTAGAAGATTTAAATTATTACGTTAACTGGTTGGAAAGATCAATTATCGAAGAACATATCGAATTATATAAATATTCAGACTTCAAAAATATTCAATTAATAGGAAGTGGTGCATACGGAAATGTTTATCGTGTTAATCGAAAAAATTCCGATCACTCTTTAGCTTTGAAATCTTTTAACTATGATAAACAAACTCTTAAAGAAGTTGTAAAAGAGGTACATATAATATACTACTAGTATTATTTTAAAAGCTTTAATTTAATAAAAATGATCAATTATTTTTATACTTTTATATAACCTTAGTTAAAATTACACCTAAGTGTTAATTATCATGAAAGTATTATACGATTATATGGAATTACAAGAGTAGAAGTCGGTAAATATTAAATTTATATTATATATAACGTAAAAAAACTCTTCTTATTGCCAAATTTGTTCTTATTTAGACGCAATCCAAGAATATTCATTTGTATTAGAATACGCCGATAGCGGTACACTAAATACGTATTTAAACGAGCATATTAATGAACTTGATTGGAACAACAAATATATCTTGGCGTCACAGCTTGCTAGTGCTATAGAATTTTTGCATGAAAATAATATTATTCATCGTGATTTGGTAATTTATTTTTTAAGTCTTATTTTTTAATTTATTTATTGTAATAAACGTTTTAACATGACTATTCTATGTAATTAAAGCATGGCAATAATGTACTTATACACAAGAAAAACATTAAATTAGCAGATTTTGGTTTATCAAAAAAAATTACTGAAGCATCAAGTAATACATCAAAAATATTTGGTATGATACCTTATATAGATCCAAAGAAATTAGACAATCCGAACTATAAATTGGATAAAAAATCTGATGTGTATAGTATTGGAGTTTTATTATGGCAAATTTCAAGTGGCCATAAACCTTTTTATGAGACTGATTATGATGTAAGTTTAGCTTTATCTATATTGAATGGTAAAAGAGAAAAAATTATTGACGGAACCCCTGTTAAATACAATAACTTGTATAGAGGTAATAATTAATTACTAATTTATATATTGTATCTCTATATAAATACTCAATTTATTTATTAAATTGATTAGAATGTTGGAGAGATGAACCAAATAAACGCCCAAATATGCAAGAAATTGTTACAATTCTTAAATCAATAATTTCTCTTGTGGAAAATGATATAATTATTGATAATATTAATGAAAAAAAAGAAATCTACTCAATGGATGACTGTGATATAAATTCGGTGTTAAGCAAGGCAACTGTGGACTTAAATAATGAATTAGTACTAGTAAATGATAAACTAAGCATTGTTAGTTCTGATTCAATTAATAACATTGATTTGAATAATGAACTAATATTATCAAATGGTGAATACAATATTATTAAATATGAATATGAAAGGAATTCACTGAATCAAAACTATGCAAATAGCTTTCTAAGTGTGAGCTCAGATGTAACTGAATCATCAGTAAATCTAATCAATTTTCTCGATGTTAATAGACTAATTGCATTTGTTATTAAAAAACATGATAGAGGTATAACTTTTTATCAAGTCCAACAATTGATAAGAAAACAAATATTGCAAACAAATCAAGTTACAGATCAACTTATAAAATGGTTATTAAAAAATCAAGATAAATCACAATACATTTGGTTTCTTGGATTCTTCTATTATTATAATATTGGTGTAGAAGAAAATGCCAGTAGAGCATTTGAAATGTTTTCAAAAGCAGCGGATGATAATTGTCCAATTGCACAAGTATATCTTGCTAAATGTTATTATGACGGATATGGAACTAACCTTAATAAAAATTTGTCATTTTATTGGTATCAGAAGTCCGCTGAAAATGGATGTATTATTGGACAATTATATCTAGGAAATTGTTACGAATTTGGTATTGGAACTGATGTAAATGCAAAAAAGTCATTTCATTTTTATAAAGAAGCAACTAAGAATGGAAACACCACTGCAATACTATATCTTGCAACCTGTTATAGATTAGGAAAAGGTGTTGAAAAAAATGAAATTAAAGCATTTAAATATTATGAAATTATGGCTAATCAAGAAATTTCTGATGCTCAATACCAACTTGGCAATTGTTTTTATTATGGAATTGGAACTAAAATAGATAAAATACAAGCCAAATGTTGGTATGAGAAAGCAACAAATAACGGAAATATTATAGCAAAACAATTTTACAAAAAGTGTTATCCTTTGAACTGTAAGAATAAAATTAATTTTAAAAAAAGTTGGCCTATTAGAATATTTCAGTGCATCTAATCGTGACAATAACATATTTATAAAATTAATAAATATTAGGCTATTTCAATTTGTAATCTTTAGTTTTTTAAAAATAACTTTTTTATTTAGCAATTGTAAAAAGGTTGGTTAATTTTAGTTTATTATTAAGAACTACTATCAAATTGTGGTAAATTTATATTTCTAGCATTAATATTAATTCGGGGAATTTATTCTTAAATACTATAAAGTTTTATTTTATAAAAATATTATTTTTAATGTAACACTATAAACCTTTAAAGAGATAGCATTTATTACGGCAGCGTTATAGCACTTGAAAATAGTTCCAACGCTGCAGTCGCTGCACGTAGCACTTGTTACACATGGCGTCGATATAATTTTTTTCTTTCTTTTTGATAAATGCATTTCTTTTTTAGGTATAATTAAATTACATTTATAAACTCTATTGTAGAAATACTTAGACCAAGTATATAATCGTACGAACTTAACTACCCATTCTATATATCAAGAGATGTTCCATTTGCTTAAAAGAACTATTTATACCTATATCAATCTAAGCTTGTTATCTTTATTTTTAGCTATTTTAATATATATTTTTTTCTTTGATTTTCCAAAACCTTCTAATTATAACCCCTATAAAAAATTTTTATCCGAATATTTCCATTATTTCTCCGTGTCTTCCGTAAAAATTCCGTGAAAATGATACATTCACGGATATCCGTGTTAGCGAGATGAAAATTTCCATGATTTAAGGCTATAAATTCCATTAAAATGATACATTCACGGAAAAAACATGGAAAGATAAAACACGAATCAGATTTTTTACTGTGAACTATTTAAACCATCTATTTCTTTGAAATTTTTCTCTCAGTCTTATCTAGTAATAACCATTAATTATTATCATGTTTATTGTAATTATTTTCGATAATTTGTTTTTCTTGAAGTCATCCGTGTAAAGTTTTTATTATGCAGCCAAATAGGATCATGTCGTTCTTAACATACTGATATTCTTTTAGATAAATTATTATTACGTAAAGATCTTCGATATTTTTGACGCATTACATCATATAGATTAATTATCACACACTTCTAATTTTTGTAGGTAAAATACCTATTGTTTACTATGCTTTTCATATGGGTATGATGGTTAAAATATCATCCGAACTGCTTCGCAGTTCGGTGATATTTCAACCCTCTACCCAATAACTATTATTTAAATTCTTTCAATGCTTTCCATTTTCTTCTGATTTCGAATATCCTGTGTTCTTTAGTCAGTAATGATGTTTTGTTCGCGTTTCCTAATGGAGGTTTTCTCATATCTTCGTCCAAAAATGTTCTTCTCCTATTCTTTAAAGTTGATGACAAACATTTATTCCTTCTTTTTTAACCTAGTTTATTCTCAGATGGACACTTATTTTCGCTTATTGATTTCTAATTCGAACAGACTTAGCAAATAATTCTTCCTTTTATCTTAATTTAATGAATTTACAGTAAGCCCGTATTTCATCTTTTCAATAGCAGTAGTTGATTTGTGGGCGCTTTGGAGCCAAAATTGTTGTCGCTTATACGCCTACTTCCACCCTGCTAACTCCCCTTCTGCGGTGTGTTCTCATTTTTGGAGCCAAAATTGTTGACGCTCATTTGCCTGCTAACTCCCCTTCTGCGGTGAGTTCTTATTTTTGGCTCCATTTTTTTTCGTCTATATGCCTACATATCACATGCTTACTCCCCTCCTGCGACTATTGATATACAGTATATAAAATGAAAGCATCTCTGCGATGATGCCACAGGCATCTCGCCAATTCAGGTCTTTCGCTTTTATATCATAATATCACTTTTATGCTATCATATTATATGAAACTCCCCTCTGAGGGGAGTTTCATTTTGTCCTATACGTTTTCACACTTATGCCTACATTTTGACCTATACGTTTACATTCTTATGCATACTCATACACGTCCACATTTACATGACCACACTTATGTGACTTCTTTCCGAGTTACAGGTCAATGTCCATTTTGAATATGTAAGCTAGCTATAGAGATAACTCATTTAAAATAGTCCATCAGTATGCCTTGTCATTGGTTAGTTAAGGGGACAAAAGAATACTGTACCCGTTCTACTCAAAAAGAATACTGTGGAAAGCACGCATTTGCAATAAGACAGGGTACAACACCCCAAACCATGCATATACTGCGGTAATGGTACCAACTCATTTTTACTGATTTGCATTCCATGCGGTCAGCAAAGGATACGTTCAAAGCTTTGGAGAGAAAAAAAAATGTCAATTACAATTAATTAAAAATTCAAAAATCATTTTTGTAATTGAATATATATATAGTACGGTTAATAGACGAAAAAATGAGTAGCTTATTAGGTTCTATCTTTGGTTCACTCGGCAATCTCTTTGGCTACTTCCTTCCTTGGGGTCGTGACCTACCTTCAGATTCACATGATGATCCACCTGATAATGGAGACTATGAGGAAAATGAGGGCAGTGATAACATCAGTGACTCCTCCAGCGAATATGATACTGCCGATGAAGGGGAAAATGAGAACAATGAAGAGGACTCAACTATGATATTTCGATTAATAGATGATCCTGCTCCTAAAAGATTAATAGAGGCAAGTAGAGTCGGGAATAATAGTTTATGTCGTGATTACGTTGCTAATATTCCAGAAAATTACCCTTTTAGGCGTGATCCTCTTCTCATGTTTGAAGATAATGAAAAACCAATTAGTGAGATTTATAGTACTGAATTGGCCCGATTAGGAGGTATTAAAACTAAAATTGTTCACATTGCCCATCCCTATGAAAAAAAATCATCCAATTTTTGTACAATATTTGTTCAAGTCCGTGTGGAAATTGTACAATTATTGCAGATTTTTGGATAAAAATAGCTATGAAGTTTTTCAAAGCATATTAAAAGCTGTCTCTTATACACATCTAGATGTGTATAAGAGACAGACTTCATTTTTTTTTATTACTAACACTAATAATTTACTTTTTAACACTACTAATTTGCTTTCTTCACTAACTTCATACTTTTTTATTACTAACACTAATAATTTACTTTTTAACACTACTAATTTGCTTTCTTCACTAACTTCATATTTTTTTATTACTAACACTAATAATTTACTTTTTAACACTACTAATTTGCTTTCTTCACTAACTTCATACTTTTTTATTACTAACACTAATAATTTACTTTTTAACACTACTAATTTGCTTTCTTCACTAACTTCATACTTTTTTATTTAATACTAATAATTTACTTACACTAATAATTTACTTTCTTCTTTGATACTACTAATTTACTTTCATGTTACTAACATACTTTATTTTATTTTATTTTCTTACAAATTTTTATATTTATGATTATATCAAATTTAGTATTTTATTTATGAAATATTGTGTATATTTTTTATATTTTAAGTCAATAAAAAAAATTCATAATTTCACTTTATAAATTGCCTGTTATTACTGTAAAATTTAACCTATAATTCCTAAAATATGGCCTAAAAAAATTTGGCTCAAAAATCACACAATAATTGTATAAATTCAGGTCAAAAATAGGATAATTATTGAATGAATTACCATGCAATAATTGTGTGATTTATTGCAATTTTTAGCACAATTATTGTATGGTCAAATATACAGAAATCGTAGTGAATTTAATTGAATGATTTTTCAACAAAAATCACACAGACTTTTTTTATAGGGCATATGACCGATACTTCATATACAAAAGAAGAGGATATTGCTTTTCCTAGTGAGATTATATCCATTACTAGACAAGATCGTATAGAAGAATATATTGCTCAGCAATATCATACTATTTTGGATAGAATTGATGAAATGGAGCGAAATGCTCATTCGGGTTGGATATATGACTACGGAATAAAAGTATACCTCGAAATTAGTGCCTACCAACCATTGCGGGGTAGCTCACATTTTGAATTACCAAAACCTTGGAATAAGCCACAACTCGGTATAATTAATCCAAAGAATAATGATGAGTTTTGTTTTCATGAATGTATCAAAGCGCATTTGAGAAGTGAAACTTTTCGTAGGGAAGGTAGGAGAGCACAACATCTTAACGAGATTAGTAGGAATAGGAGATACGGGAGTATGGTAAATTTTACAGGAATCAACGCTCCCGCATCTTTACGAGATATTGATAGATTCGAAGAAAACAACCCTTCATTTTCCGTTAATGTCTTTAAACCTGTTCTTTCTGAAAATGATAAAGAGTTAAAAACTCACAAACTAGACCCTCTTCGTATTTCAGAATATAATTATAGAAGGGAACATCTTGTTGACTTGATTTTATTTACACAGGGTGAAGAAGGTTAACAGACCGCCGTAATATAAATGATGTTCCTGAAGGTCTTAATACTCACTACTGCCTTATTAATGGAGAAGTAGGCTGGCATCGAATTATGCGAAATTGGAATAAGCATCATGACCACAAATACTTCTGCAGGCATTGTTTGAGAGCTCCATTCTCAAGACTAGATTTACTCGAAGATCACATAGCTCACAATTGTCATGGTAGAAATAATCCGTATGCAGGCCAACGAGAAATCTTCCCTAAGAAGGGTAAGCATATTTCCCAATTCACTAACATAAAAGCATTACTTAAAGCCCCATTCGTAATTTACCCTGATAATGAATGCGATAGTAATAAATTAGACGAAAAGGAGGAAGATAAAAATAAGAATACTGTGAAGATACAAAAACAAGTGAATAATAGTTTTGGATACGTAATGATTCAAAATGACTCTGAGATAATAAGTAATGTCTTCAGACGAACAGCAAACTCAATCGAGGAAAAGTGGAAGAATATGCTGGAAGATTTAGAAATGGTAAAGGAAATATTAAGAAATCCAGTCGAGCTTAAAATGACCGCACGTGATTGGGAGAATCATAATTCTGCACGCAAGTGCTATTTATGTGAAGGCTTATTACAGGAGGTCAGATATAACAAAGCCAAATACTTTGATAACGAAACTCAAAAATTTAATGGTGCAGCTCATCAGGGATGTATTAGAACAGTCTGTGATGCACGAAGAATAAAATACAAAAAGTCCTTGTATCGCACAGAACATTTGACTAAAAAAGAGGAAAAAGCTTTTAACGAAGCTGTAAAATGTGTGATATGCAAAAAGAACTTGAAAGAGGAAAAAAAGAATAAGGTAAGGGATCACGATCATATTACTGGTCAATATCGTGGAGCTGCACATCGAGAGTGTAATTTGCAATTACAGTTAAAGCCTGATGAGATAAAAATTCCAGTCATATATCAGGGTGGAAAGCATTATGATTTTCATCTCGAATTACTGGAACTAGGTATAATTACCGAAGAAAAAATAGACCCTATTGCAGACAATATGGAGAATTACAAATCTTTTACCATCGGTCAATTCAAATTTATCGACACAATTCAATTCCAGCTTCCATCATTAGAGAAAATAGCTTCTAATCTGCGTGGTGGAGTGAATAGCCCAGACGAACTTGCTAAACGTTTCCCAATTTTAGCTCAATGCTTTCCGAAGGAACTACTTCCATTACTTACCCAGAAAGATGAATATCCATATGAATTGAATGATCCAGGCCGTTTCTCACGAACAAAACTTCCCTCAAGAGAAGAATTTAACACCACACTAGGCGGATTAAATTATTGCAAACAGGGGTGCAAAAAGTGTAAACATGAAATTAAGGGGAAAAAATGTGATGGTAAATGCAAATCCGAAGACTATAAGGAAGTTACTGATTGCGAACATGAAAAAATATTTACCATTAGCCAAAAACAGTATGACCACGCACAAAAAGTTTGGCAAGAAACTGACTGTAAAACGTTTGAGGATTATCATATGCTTTATCTAAAAACAGATGTACTAATTTTAGCAGACGCATTTCAGAATTTTAGGGCAGTAATGATAGATGCATTTGAGCTTAATCCGGCCAACTATATAACACTCCCATCCTACGCATTTGATGTAGCAAAAAAAGTGACCAAAGTTAAGTTAGAATTGTTTCACGAAGGTCAAGAGGATATGCATGAGTTTGTCCAACGCATAATGAGAGGTGGGAATTCAATGGCCCCCCGTCGAATAGCGAAAGCAAATTTTCCAGGAATGAAAGGGTACAACAAAAAACGTGCTAATAAATGGCTTCTATACTTGGATGCTAATAATCTATATGGATGGGCAATGATACAGCATTTACCTATAAGAGGATTCCGCTGGCTTGACCTTAAGGACTTACCGAATATTCGAACTATTTCACCAACGGCGAAACGTGGAAGTGCATGGGAAGTGAAACTAAAATATCCAGAAAAATTACACCCATCTCATTCAGACTTCCCTCTATGTCCAAAAAGACGAATAGTCACACGTGAAGAGCTCAGGCCAGAACAGGAAAATATGATTAAAAAGTTAAGCCAAGGAAAATTTGCTGAGACGGAAAAATTAGTTGCAACATTAGAGACGAAAGACAGATATATCCTCAACTACCGAAATCTTCAACAATGCCTTGCATTGGGAATGGAATTAGAGCATGTATATCGAGTATTAGAATTTGACCAATCGCCATGGCTCGAACCATACATAATGGGTAATACTTTACGAAGACGTAATGCTAAAAATGATTTCGAAAGAGACTTATGGAAGTTAATGAATAATGCTGTATTCGGTAAAACCATGGAAGATGTGCGTAGACGTAAGAGGATTGATCTAGTTCGTCCTATTGGCGAGGAACACCGATTACGTAAGATGCTAGCTGATCCAGCATTAGTCGGACGAAAAATTTTCTATGGAAGTAATCTAATCGCAGTTCATCGTAAGCAGACTCACGTTACACTCAATAAGCCAATTTATGTAGGAGCAACGATTCTCGATTTAAGTAAATACTATATGTACGATTTCTGGTATAACCACATTAAAAGAAAATATGGGGATAAAGCTAAACTTTGTTATACCGATACAGATTCGTTCATTATTGAGATAGAAACAGAAAATGTATATGATGATATGGTTGAAGATGCAGATTTGTTTGATTTTAGTGACTACCCAGAAGATCATCCATTACTTAAAAAATTACCACCTGATCAATTGATAACCAAGCCAGACGGTACACGAGAACTAAAAAATAAGAAGGTAATTGGTAAGTGGAAGGATGAGAATGCCGGTACACGAATAACCAGATACGCAGGTAATCGTTCCAAATCATATGTGGTTGAAACAGAAAATGCATCTAAAAATATACAAAAATCTAAGGGTCTTAAGAAATCTCTCGTGAATAAAGAACTAACAATTGATATTTATGAGCGTTGTATTCTAGAAGGGGTAGAAGATAAACCACGAACTGCATATTTCTTACAATGTGAACGATTCGTACCATACATAATCCGACGGACAAAAAAGAGTATAAATCCGCTTGACTCCAAGAGGTGGATATTAAATGACAGGATTACGACATGGGCATATGGAGACTGTCGTATCCCGTTATATCTACAAGCCTTGGAGCGATATGGGGAAGATATACCTAATGAAATACTAGTAAGTTTAGGTTTATAAGGTAAATATCTCAACATACAATCATATTTATTATATTAGTTAAGGGTAATTTTTTTTTGAAATAAATTTTACGTAACTTGTATAAGAAAAGTCTAATTTGCTATGGAAGATAACGGTTCAGTTTCAGAAGGAACAAGTTCAGAAGGTACAATCACATGGAAAGACATAGAAAAAGCACAGATCAAAATAATGGAAGAAGGATTTCGTTTACGATACAGGAAGGACAGTAAGTTTATAAGAGAATATGCTGGTTACGTGAGCAGACTACGGCAAGAAGAGAATCCCGATGAATACGTAAGAAATGTCGCTGTAATGCTATTTCCAGATGATGAGGCGTATAATATAAAAATAACGAGATACAGAAAATGGTATGCGAATAAGAAAAATCTTCTCAAAAGTGTAGAACACCTATACAAATTATATTACGAGTTATCCAAAGAGGAACGACCTATGGTCACTAATGAGATAGAAAACGCAATAGAGGAGGCGATCAAAGCAGAAAGTATTTACCCAGAGGGTACGAAGTAAAAATATAGTCAGTTGGAGATTGATCGAAGAGGTTTCCATCCGATTTTCTAATAAGCTAATTTTTTATCCCGTACAATTCACAAAGTGATATTGCCAAAATCAAGAAAATACGTGAAAATAATGAGAAAAAAATAAGAATGTTAAATGGTACATAAAACCGTAATAACGGAGAGGTGGCCTTCACCACGACATAGGAATTTTTTTACTTTGTACCCTTCGGATATATCACAGAGCTCACTTCGTGGATCTGTTTATCAAATCTGAGCTTACTTCGTGAGCTTTGCTCAGGTAAAAATTCTCCAGTATTCGGATCCTTAAATAAGAATGGCACAAATTTACCATAGATCCTTATCCCATCTTTCCGTATATCAATCTTTGCTTCTCGTAACCACAGCCATTTTAATTCGAATACAAGATCAGCTTTAGGTTCTTCGACCACCACAAAATCGTTTAAGGGGTCATCGCAATCAGTTGTCACTAAACTATCTTCCCCTTTGATTTTTAAAGATAAATCTAGACAGTCTATAAAACCTAATGCATTCGGTACTATCTTCAAGATATTTTTGGAAGGTTTGGCATACTTCAATCCAAGTTTATCAGCCACGTTTTTTCTAATAAAATTATTGCAAACTGAAGTATCGATTAAAGCCTTAGCGGTATAGTGGGTATGACCCTCTTTCATTGCTTCGCAACGCTTTTCCATATGATCTATATCACCAGAAAAAGGCCAAATTTTACATTCTACATAAGCCATTATACTCTTTACAGTCTTTGCCTAAGTAACGTATTATAAATACGCCTATTTTTTCTTTGTTGATAAAATTAAGTAATTGTCGTCACAAAACAGGCACGTGATACTCTATTCATTTGTTTAGAGTGTCATATGACAAATGTTATTTCGTTAATAAATTGGGAATAGCCCACTCCGATCCGGAGCAGCGATCATCAGCTCGGAGGATGTTCAATGATCCACATGTCATGTATGTACAGTACTCCTGTGCGACAAAATAAATGCGTCATACGACAGGGTCTGTGTAACGGCTGAATTTTTCACATATACCCTAACTCGGTATTTTTCCTCAAATAAATTTTTTTATTACTCTTGTCCTCACGTACGTCAATTTCCACCAATAAAATTTCACAAAAGTTACTATAAAAGCCGTTATGTCTATCACGTTATTTTGTCTTGTCAAAGGAAATACCACCACGAACGCTTTCCCTATCCATATTGATAAGGGCCAGTTTGTTGGGGACCTCAAAAAAGCTATAAAAGCGGAAAAACAGAATGACTTTGCTGGTGTGGACGCAGACAAGCTCAGGCTATGGAAGGTAGAAATTGGTGGCGATCACCTTGACGATCCATTGAAAAATCTCAAGCTCAATGACAATAACGAGCTGTCTGCAATAAACGAAATTGGAGACTACTGGACCGAGAAGCCTCCCAAGAAGCATATTCACGTCTTAGTTGAACCACCCGCTTCGAATGTTGCTTCGAGTCGTGAACAGGAATTACTTATCCGCATCGCTGCATTGGAGGAGAAACTTAGCAAGTCTGAATATGGTACGTGTAAGGTAGATGGAATGGTGGAGAGGCTTCGTGAAAAATTTTTTTAATCCGGTTGTTACATTGCAGTATTCGATATTGTCGTTAGTCCAAAACGAACGAAGAGCTTCAAGTGGACCGTAAACATTGAAGAAGCGACTCTCGTTGGCCTCAAAGAGTATATACGTGAAGAATACAACCCAGCGACACTGGAAAATGATGGTGCTGTTTTAAGGTTCGTAAGTAATGATGTGAAAGATGCAGAAAGACATTCACCTCGGAATGATCAAGATTTCTGTAAAATGCTTCGGCAATTCGTATCAAAGGATATCACCAAGTTTACCGTAGTCATAGAGACTCCCTCAAAGGCTTTTTCAGATTGGTCGTTCCCAAAAGTGTGCCAGCTTTATGGACTTGGTGAATCAGATGATCCTTCATTATCAGTATTTCCACCTTTTACTTGCGAGTATAAAGAACTTAATGATGATTCTTCCCAGGAAATACTCAGGAATCTTATAACCGAACTGAATGCACGTCTCAAGACCATTCCAATCAGCGGAAATGAAGCATCGAAATCACAATACGTATGTTCTTACCTTGTAGCTGGTGCGAATCTACACGAAGGGAAGTTTGAGCTTCGACCAGAAAAAAATATCACAGGTCCCAATGGGCACGGACCAGTCGATTTCGCAATTGACCTGCTTCAAACCGCAAAAACGGTTGGTGTGACGGAAGTAAAAGACGAAGATATTTTCAAGGGTATTGCTCAGAATGCCGTTCAACTCGAATCCGCCTTATCAAACCGTAAACGTAAGGCGAGCGAGATGGAAGAAGATAATGTGTTCGTGGGTAAGACTTTCGGAATCATCACGGATGCAAAAGAATGGTATTTCATGGAATGCTCGCTCGATGATCAAGACAGGCTAAAATTCAAACTATCGAAGCCGGTAACTGTTGTGTATGATAGTGAAAACATGGGAGGTAATGTTAAAAGAGTTCTCGGTCATATTGCATGGTTATTGGAGGAGGTACAGAAACCGGATTCAGCTTCTCAAAGCGAGGAGAGGGCAATAAAAAAGCCTAGGTCATCGGGCAACCTTACAGAAAATTCACTTCGTGAGCACAGCTAAGATATTGTAGTATAGTCTTAAGATAGAGATTTCGTCGTGTATTATGAGTAAAGGCACGAACCTTTGTATTTATTTTTTGCATGTATACCGGGCTTCGTCCCGAACTTTTGTATTTAACTTTTGCGTATTAATAAAAAATTTCAGCGAACATATTTGCCAAAAATCTCGTGATTATTTTTTCTTTTGAATATTTATATTATAAGAGTTATCAGCAATGGAATCCGAGCTTGAAGTATTGAGACAGCGTATCACTGAGCTTGAGGCTGAGAATGCCGAACTCAGAGTAATTAAACAGCGCAACGCCGAGCTCGAGGCTAAGCTTGAATTATGGAAGCAACGAGTTAACCTGCATGAGGAAAAGATTGCTGAGCTTAAGGCTAAAAGTGGAGACCTCGTAGTTGAAAATTTCGAACTTAAACACGAGATTATGAAATTCAGGAGCAGAATTGAGACAATTCTATTACCAAAGAGGAGATGATTACAAAACAGTAGATAGGACTTAGGATAGATGTAACGTGGCTTGACCAGTTCACTGAAATATTCATATCTTGCATCTTTCACTTCTTTTGAAGGTCCTACGGACTAATCATGTTCGCCAAATCACGTGATTATTTTTTCCCGATTGTTCTTTTCCAGTTACCTAACATACAGTATATGTCATACAGAAATAAACTGTATATTTTTTGTGAAACTGACTAACTGACTAAAGACACACTAATTTTAAAAATAACGATTTATCATCAGCGATCAGATACTGTTAATATTCGTAGTTGACTATTTAATTTTAGCAGCTTTTGCTGTTTCGCTGATTACCATAGATTAAGTTGAAAGATCGACCAGAGGTTTAATATTGGTACTCCGTACCTGTCTATTTTGTCCTAGCAATGGCGAGGTTTGCAAAGATGATCAGGGGGATTGCGTTTACTATGATGATATCATATTTCTTTGATCGTTAGGGTTGTTATGTCTGATAATAAAATAATTGTGTGCTGCGCTCATCTTTGAGTGTTTATTAATAATCTATTGTCTTGATCATCTTTATTGTCTTCTCTTTAACGTACATTGGCCCTTTGACCTGTCTTCGTCTGATATCATATTTTTAAACCTGGTTAGCTCATTCTACGTAAGAAAAAATATAAAATGCCCAGTTTCACTGAAATAAATCGTTGCACGATCATTAAAAAATCACTTCGCACATTTCGAAGAAAGGTTAATCCAAAATATAAATAATAACTTAAACGCACTTCAAAGTATATTTAACTCGATTATTCCGATTCTCAATAAATTAACAATGTTACTCATATTTAATACATCAAATTAAGGTTCGTTTGACTTGAATTAGAAATCGTTTTCTAGTATTGATTTAATCCGATTCTTGTGTTTTTTAGATGTCCTTAATCAATTTTAATGAAAATATTCCGTTTTTGGCGGTTACCTCGTCTTTTTTTATCGAAAAAATCAGTATACTTGTTGGGATCGCCATTATTATGTATACTGCCAAACAAAAAATCTCCGATTCACGTAACACCGAAATTAATAAAAAATTATCTGCGGAGATCAACACAATTGATTCTCATTATACTGCGGAAATCGCATGTATTGAAACTTTTGTCGAAGCATTCCCGATAAAATTAATAACATCGATCAAATCGTTAATGATCTCTATGAAGAAAAAAGACGGTGTGAAGAAGCACGGATAATTAATCAAAATGAGACAGAATGAATTCAACTCTTCGTCTAATGTACCTTCTGAAGATATTTCTTTGGGGTGATAGAATAGCAGTTGAAATAAATGATTACGGTGTGGGGAAGATTTGTGCACAAATCGTAAAGAATTTTTATAAAAAGAATAATTCTCATAGCAAAACATTAGATAAGATGGATACGAAATAATGAGTAGTGGAAAGGAACTGCTATTCTCGTTTAGCGAGAGGTCTAGGGGCCGGCAGTAGTATGAATTTTCTTCATACTTTTATTCCTCCCTTTAAACGTCCACCACCCATTTTCGTTTTTTATTAGTTATCCAACTAGTTGAAAAAATAAATAAAATTTTCTTTATAAAAAATGATCGGCGTGTCAATTTATCACGCGCACACTATTTTTTTTTATTTAAATACTTGTATAAAAAATACCATCACGACACTCAGAGGCCCAATATCTGCTTTTGTAGAGTCCAGTTGATCAAATGGGTGGAGTACAGTCATGTGAAGTACTATAAAAATGTAATTTGCAGACCTACTATATGTAATAGTAAAAAACAATTGTGTAATAAATTCCAATGTACCGATTTAAATTATTTTTTGTTCGAATATCTTCATTAATAACCCACTGGTCTGTAAATCCAATGAAGTAGTATCTTTGGATTTTTTTCGATCGTTTAAGCTTGTGAATGAAATTAGAAGAATGTAAATTATTTTCTCTGGTTTCATGATCATGACCATGATTCGATTCATTACAATAATGATATTCATTGATAATATTACACACGTTAATCCTTTCCTCTGTTTCTGGTAAGGAATATCATCATAAAATTTTAACCGTTCATGAACACGTGTAGCCCATGAGTGAAATCCTTATCTTTCTAAAGTGTATATATAGTTAAATATTTTTTCCTCGAATTCTAAGAATTCCAACATTCTGTATTCTCATAATTAATCAATAAAGTAAAAAATTATTAAACACGTTTTTTAGAACATTACCGAATATGAAGAATTCCCTGATTCTTAGAATACGTAGAATTCTATGAATTCTAAGATTTTTTTTTTCTGTATATAGAGGTTATAGTTATATACAGAAAAATGAGCAACTCATTATTACCATCTTTTAACCAGCTTCCATGTGACGACATCTCATAACTCGGAAATATCCGCTATCAATAGAAGAGGCGAGTAGTATTCATTTTGAAGTGGAAGGTAGTCAATTATACAAAAAAAAGGAATCATCAACGACTGAAAACAACAGCAAATACGATCCTAGGTGAAACTGATACTCTTAACAGGTTAGTTATTCGAACAGACTCTTTCTGAACGATAAAAAGAGATATGACTAACCGTGAAAATCTAACCGAAAAAATATAATTCGTTCATACCTTAATTACGAAATGTCTCGTCTGGGCTTCAATAATAATACCACATACAAACTGCGATAGGTAACTGTAGCCGGAAGTAACACGTGCAAAATCTTACATCTATATAATTAAAAAAATTTATAACGTTTAGATTACCTGTATAAATAAATTCCAAATTGTGCAACATTACTTCCATTGGCCAGTTTTATTACGTGAAGTTAAAAAAAGTGACGATAATATAATTCCAGTCAAATCCTCATATCGGCGGATTTGTTTCATCACATGTCAGCCGAACATAGTAAATTAATTAGAGAATTGGGTTTTCCCATTTCTATAATAAATTTGTTATAGCAAATAACATGTGATGAAACAAATCCGCTGATATGTGGTGCGAAGCAACTAGTCATTCATTAAATTAAAAAGAGGTTACGTAATTGACTAATCCAGTCATGAATATTACATGTACTGTCACAAAGAGTTACTGCGCTTTGTCTGTAAAAAATCACTGATTAGTCAAATTGTATGACCACTCGTACGACCTAAATTTCCCCTTTTTTTATATAAACACCCAGATTTTTTTTTTATGATTAATTTTTTGTCGAAGTATCATCTATATTATTTGCTGATTGCTGTACTGCGTCACTACAAGCCACCAAAAGTTTATCAGTCACAATGTATTCAGAAAGGTATATAAGAGATATATATACCTCAAACTTTCTTAAGTTTCTATTTTTAAAAAATATACTATCTATTTCTCTTTAATATCTCTCAAATATTATTTTATACACTACAGAAATATAATCGAAATGGCTGAATCGTACAATTGTTTACGTCTAGATAATGGTTACGTTTTCCAGGTGGAAGTTTACAAAAATGAAAATGACAATGACGATAAAAAATTCTTTGAAATTGATGGTAAAAAAATTTTACTCGAAGAACTAAAAGTTGGTCAACTTGCGAATCTTATAAAACATAATGGAATGTTTGAAGGTTCTGACATGCTAAATCTTTGGCAAGTTGACGTCGACGAAAATATGTTTAACCATAATTTTACTGAAGAGGATATTAAAAACCTTGGAGGTGTGATTATGAAAAATCAAAGCAAGTTTATAAAATATTTTCAAGATGGATATAAACCTAAGGAGGAAGATAACATCAGCATCGTTGCTGTCATCGCAACTACCACCACTGGTAAGGTATCTCTCAATTTTTTACCCCTTGAAGAAGAAACCTGCAGTCGAAACAATAATATATATTTTCGTTGTCACATTTGTTAATAATATTGAATATGTTTCTCGTTGTCATTAGAACTAGGAAGAAAAAGACCTTTAACGGAAGAAGAAAGTAAGAAATGCGTGATAGAAACGATAGAAACTTGGTATCATACTTAGTTATATATTTCATTACATCATTCTTACTAATTTTTTCTCTACAGCTACAACAGGGAGAAGATGGGCAGTTAATAGTGCTCTCTTCCAAGAGGAGAGTGAATGGATCTACTATGCCGAACCAGAGGGAAATGAATCGCTTCTTAAGATGATTAAGTTACGTGAATATGTGGCGTTATATGGTGCACGGGCATCCGGAAAGTCTACACGGGTGCAACATATAAGGAAACCGTTAAAGGATAATGGCTTTGTTTGCATTTAGTAAGTTCTGATTCCTTTTTAAGTTAACTGGTTACATTGAATGCAGTCTAACTGATCGCTCCTATTTCTTTTTCTCTTTGGAATAGTGTAAGTTTTGAACATATTAACATAAAAACTGAGGAAAGTTTTTGGAGGACGTTAGGGGCTGCTATCAAGCGAGATGCTCGTAGAAACATTAATTTCAAATCTGCAAGTGTTTTCGGGTCTTATAGTGATTTGAGAATAAATTCCAGTACTGATTTTCTTGAAATATTTGAAAAAGACAATTGGAATAATAATGTTGTTCTCTTCATTGACGAGTTCGATAAACTGTATGATGCGGATGAAGATGTCAAGTCCTCGTGTCTGGAAACATTTCGTGGCATGAAAAACTCAAAATATAACTATGCTATGTACTCTATTGTCGCCATTGGTACCTTCAGTATTCTTTATCTAAAATCAGGAAAATGACTACGTCACCCTTTAATGTTAATGAGCCATACCGAAACCCAAATTTCACGCTGGATCAAGTGCAGTTCCTATATAATGAATTTGCGAATGATTTCAATTTCATCATTGATCCAGAGATCATTGAAGATATCTACAGACGGACAAGCGGGTAAGTTAAACTGACCGGAGAGTCACGTGAAACAAATCTAAAATTCATTTTCTTATTATTCTGTTATTTGACAGGCATGCCGGCCTTGTCTGCCTTTGCGGACGTTCTATCCAGAATAATTTAATTAAGGACATTAACGACGAAGATAAGAAGCTTAACTTTTCAATCTGGTCGAAATTTGCTTTATCGCTATTGCAAGTGGAGATACTTGGATATTCTACCTTTAATAAGATGATCGATTCGCTTAAAAAAGAGGACGCCAAGTCTGCTGTTGGTCTTCTTCGATCTAAATTCCTAGGATTCCTCGATTATGTGCAGATCTATGATGAAAAAGAACGAAACCTAATACAATTCTTGGTAGCTGAGAGTGCGTTAATCAGGAATGAAAAGACCAAGAATGAGTTTAAAATGTCATCTGCTCTTGTAGATGAGCTGATTCGGCGACGAGTTATTCCTGAAGTATACATGACTTCCCCGGTAGATGCAATTCCCAAAAAAGATGATGATTCTCTGGATATTCTCAAAATTTTGCAGAATGCTGTCCAGTTCTTCGATAAGGACATCATTACTAATGCATTCGGAAGGTCATTTAAATCTTCACGTGAATTGTATGTGAATGGTCTAAAAAAGAAATGTGTTCCTAGGGAAAGCGTGTACGACACAGAGCTGAACAGGATTCTGGTTAACTGGCTAGTTAAGAGGGCTGGCTTCGAGGTCACTGGACAGTGGCATCTGATTGAAGATGTTGAGGACGCATATAGCGATATAGTAATTACAACGAAGCGTCAAAAAATTGTTCTCGAGCTTTTGGCCACTACAACAAGAAATGAACTCAATGAACACTTTGATAGGGTGCTTAAGTATGCTAAAGAACTATCTGCAGATGATATTTGGGTAGTAAACTTTACATGTGAAGACGGTTATGGAGTTCAGAAAACTAAGAATAGACCTCATTGGCCACCTGATGATAATGATAGAATTAATGTTATACACTTTTTTCATGACCATCTGTTTGAATATGTACTAATGAATGCCCGATATGTAGATAGCTCTAATAACAACTTTAAGTATATTATAGATCGTACTATATCGTTACAATCTTAGTTTACTAATAATATTTGGGTTGTTTGTTGTCTGTAAAATGTAAATAATCATTAAATATAAATTAACTTTATGTATTATGGTATTATTATCAGTACAATACTAGCTTTATTATTATAATTTGCAATAAAAAGAAATATAATAATGCACTTTGTAAAATAATTCACACATTGTATGTGTATAAATAAGCTTTGATAAACATTGGGAAGTTCGTGTACAAAAAAATCAACCGGTCCTTTATAAGTTACTTGACGGGCCTGAATGTAGATTTGTTAGGGAGGAACTCTTACTTGTTAATGATGGAGTTGAACTACCTCCTGAGAGCGTCCTTCATCAGTAACACACTCTATTTTAAGTGAAGGGTGTAATATTCGCATTTTTTCAATAGTTTCTTTTCTTATACGTGGACAATGAATAACTACTAATTTTTCTAAACTGGGACATAAAATCGGAATTTTTAATATTACGTTAGAGCTTACTCGTTTTTGCTTTATTAATCCAAGGGATTTTAAGTTTTTACATTCTATTACCGATTTTTCTATACTTTCATTATTTACTAGTCGATGACCACAATCAATAAAGAACAAATCTTTTAGATTAGGGCATGCCTTGCATATATCTGAAAAGAGGATATTTATATCCTTTTTTTTTGTCCCCAAATTTTTAAAGATGTAATATATTTACATGGTAATGGTTTTATGTCTACTCCGAAAATTGAAAAGAATTTAACACCTGTCATTCCATTTAACTTTATTTTATTCCATAGCATCCAGCATGCATTTTCATTCCAATGTTTATTTACAAATAAAAGCGGATACAATTTCTCACAATATTCTAAAATTAACACAACTAATTCATTAGGAATGCGTATTTCTTTTTCTTTTTTACCTTGTTTAGCTACAAAATTTACAATTTCTTTTTCTGTATTGCTCCAACTAACGTTAATAGAATTTTTTATAAAGACATGACCAATTTTTTCACATTTTAGCTCTCCTGTATTTGGTCCTACCTGTAAATTGTTATCAATTGTATTTGTTAAAATAAAACCGTCTGTATGGATACGTTTCACATGATTTTTTAAAGGTCTAATTATGTTAGTTATTGTTTTACGACCAAGAGCTAAAATAAATGGCTTCATGCGTCGATGAGGGCCTACTTTTCCATTTTTCCGTGGGTTTTTCACATAAAATGCCCATAATGAAACTAACAAATTTTTTGCAACTTTACCTGCAATTCCTTCTTGACGTTTTATAGGAATAAGTTCTTCAGCCCAATTCTCAAATAAAAATTTGCCGCTTCTTAAATTCTCTGGATTAAAAACATAAGCATTTGGCATAATATTAATTAATTCTACCCCTAATCCATTCTTTCTCGCAATTTCTATATCATAGTGCGTATAGTACTCCTCTTGATTAAATCTGAATAATTGAGAGCATTGTAAAGAACTTTTTTTAGGCAGACCTTCTATATGAACTCGATAAATTCCATACTGCAAATTATTACTTAAACTTGTAATTATTTTGAACTCACCTGGTCCTATTGGCCATTGTGCTTCCTTTTGTAGTAAAACTGAAGGGTAAAATTCATTAATATCATACTGTGCCGCATTACCTTCATACTGCTCTGCCCATATTATTGAGCCAATACTTGCATTAGAAATCCAGAGTTCTTCATCATCAGATAACCTTGCACTTTTAATTGGACCATTTGTTACGTCTTGAAATAGGCGTAATGAGGTAGCAGCATATGTTCCAGTTTTTCGCATATCGATAAGACCAAGACTTTTTTGCGAAATTGCGATTGATTCATTAGTATATCTTTTATGAGCTTCTTCTAGAGTTTCGTTTTTATCAACTTTAATGAAAAACCAATCACGGGATAATTCTGAGAACTCATTTTTTAGCCCTATCCAATAAGTTATCCCATTGAAAAATTCAACTTCATTGCTCTTAGAACTCTCTCTATAACAAAGAAAACCTCTACTAGCAGAATACCATCTGGTAGAAAAAGAGGTGGTAGTATCATATTCACTAAAGGCGTCACTATTGTTATCCTCATAACCAAGGGTTTGTTCAGCCAAAGGTGCATTGTTCAAGTGGATACCACTATCCGGGAAGTAGCCAAAGAGATTGCCGAGTGAACCAAAGATAGAACCTAATAAGCTACTCATTTTTTCGTCTATTAACCGTACTATATATTCAATTACAAAAATGATTTTTGAATTTTTAATTAATTGTAATTGACATTTTTTTTTCTCTCCAAAGCTTTGAACGTATCCTTTGCTGACCGCATGGAATGCAAATCAGTAAAAATGAGTTGGTACCATTACCGCAGTATATGCATGGTTTGGGGGTGTTGTACCCTGTCTTATTGCAAATGCGTGCTTTCCACAGTATTCTTTTTGAGTAGAACGGGTACAGTATTCTTTTGTCCCCTTAACTAACCAATGACAAGGCATACTGATGGACTATTTTAAATGAGTTATCTCTATAGCTAGCTTACATATTCAAAATGGACATTGACCTGTAACTCGGAAAGAAGTCACATAAGTGTGGTCATGTAAATGTGGACGTGTATGAGTATGCATAAGAATGTAAACGTATAGGTCAAAATGTAGGCATAAGTGTGAAAACGTATAGGACAAAATGAAACTCCCCTCAGAGGGGAGTTTCATATAATATGATAGCATAAAAGTGATATTATGATATAAAAGCGAAAGACCTGAATTGGCGAGATGCCTGTGGCATCATCGCAGAGATGCTTTCATTTTATATACTGTATATCAATAGTCGCAGGAGGGGAGTAAGCATGTGATATGTAGGCATATAGACGAAAAAAAATGGAGCCAAAAATAGGAGTTAGCGGGGGGATATGTAGGCAAATGAGCGTCAACAATTTTGGCTCCAAAAATGAGAACACACCGCAGAAGGGGAGTTAGCAGGGTGGAAGTAGGCGTATAAGCGACAACAATTTTGGCTCCAAAGCGCCCACAAATCAACTACTATAGCATATTTACTTCGTCTTTCAGTTATTGTTCTTCAGTAGTTCGTTCTTTAATCCTTTTATTGTTTGCTACTTTTATTTTTAATGTATTGGTGACAAATGCATAGAATAGGGAATCAGTGATATAGAAACATTTTTCTATCTAAACTGAGAATTGTACTCCAAAGAGCTCCCGAAAACTTTGATCTGAATTGTGTTTCAAATATACATCTGCTCTTACTATTTGATATTTAAATCGCTTTTCGTTTCTTAATTTCTTCACATGGCCTATTAATTAAAAAATTTATTAATCTCATTTTCTTTCAAATGTGCTGCTGTGTTGGTAAATAGATTTCTGTATTCAATTGACTGGATTCATTAATGGAAATTACTAGAACTTCCGATTACCCTTTATGTAATACCATCAGATCGCTCCTTTTCCGCAGCAGATTTAACTTCAAGTACGGATATTGCTAAATTGCCTTCAAATCTTTCCGTACAGAACTTGTTATCCAAGTGTTATTCACCCGCTAAATAGTCACGTAGTTCTTTCCTTTTATGGATAATTTGTGATAATCCTAATCAGGAAATTAGCTCCAGTTTTAGATACTGGCTGACATTATCATAATTCTGGTCCTGAAAAAGCTAATAGTAAATTTTATTTGTTGCACGAGACTGTATTGGTCGAATTCCATCCACAATCACGCACACGTGATGATTTCCAATGTCATTAGTTCAAGTTTATAAAATAATTTTATCATGTCAATTGCTGCCCCTAATCTATCTTCTATCTATATATTAAAAAACACTGCAATCACGTGGGCGTTATGTTTAGATTAACCATATAAATAAGTCATTTGAATTGTGTAACCCTACTCCTATTCGTCGTCAATGTTACACAAGATCAAAAAAGGAAATTTTATTTCTGGCGAAAAACTTGAATTTTGGGTTACACAGAATTCCATAAAAGGAAATTGACAGTTACGCGAATTTCCAAAAAAGGAAATTTTATCTTCTGTTACTTTTCAGAGAAATTAAAAAAATTGTGTTGCTCAAAATTTCCAAAAAAGGAAATTCTTTGCAGATCTTTTAATTCTGGGCCATTTTAATACATTATTAACCGTTGTCATAGACAACGGGTGAACACTAGTATTAATTTAATTTTTGAAGGAAAAAATAAATCACAATATAATGTAAGTATCAATAATTGGCTTGTAAAAAAGATTTTTTAATTATTGCTTTGTTACAATAATGTTCATTAGTTAGTCATAATGAAAAAGAAAAAAAAATTATTATTCTCCGGTGAGTTGTAATTAATACATTTCCAGAAGTCAAGCAAATCCTTTATATGGTTTTAATATAAGTTACGATTGAATAGCTCTTGTGGTCAACGACAAGAATTGGAATGTTACGTGATGCAATTCAAGCGAAAAGATCTAATGTTGTTGAAGAGGTTGATGCGGTGAATAAATATAGGCAAGAAATCCCTGTAAAAGAAGTCGACCCGTTTTATATATTCCACTTTTTATCCGTAAAGGCTCATATTTCCGGACTTAATAACCTTATATCACGGAATTTTTTGAATTATTTTCATTTTCCGTGAATGGATCCGGGAAAGGCTCATTTTACAGAAATAACGGATAAAATTTTTATAGGAATCTTGTACGAAGAAACACCAATAATTCAGCCGGTTATAGCAACATTGAGTCAAGTGCGGTGAATTTATATGGAAGGAAGTATTATGATGACGGAAAGAAATTTAATCGAAAATAAGAACTGAACAAAGAAGAGAGGCTGACAGTGTCTGAAGAAGAGATAGTTTATAAGTATATAATAGGAAAGGGTTATCAGATGAACAACCACAGACTGTAAAATCAACGTCGATTAAACAATAACACTTCAACGGAATCTGTGACGTAATTAAAGAAATAAGACAAAACGAAGTTTAAAGATAAGATCTCAAAAGAATTATCGAAAGGTGTACTGTACATCAAGGCTACAAAAGAATTCCAAACCGGATGAAAAAGAAATCGCCAACGGTAATAAACGTGTTAGCAGACAGTACAACTACAAAACAAAAATTCAGTTAGTTTTGTATAGTTAAATAATTACAAAAAGTTTTATTTAGTATTTAGAAAAATTTTCGTTTTTTCTATTTTGTTTTTTATATATGGCATTATTTGAGCATCTTTTATGGTGTAATTATCGAATTCTTTTGAAAAGTTTCAATAAATAAATATTAAAAAAAATTCAGGCGAAAAGAAATTTTTATATATAATAATTTTTTATTTTTCATTTTTATTTACTTGTTTATTTATTTTTATTCATAATAATTCATAATTATATTTTATCTTTTTTACAGGGCCTTGAAAACCCTTGATCGATTCCTCAACGTTGGTGACAACGTGTTTTTTTGAAACTTGGCCAAGAAAGCAACGATTCTTTAAAAAAAATATTATAAATTAAATTTAGAAAGATAAATAACTTAATTTTCGATAATATTAATGATAAGAGTAAAATATTTTATTCTTAAAATATTTTAGAAATTTATTTACGGATAAAATCATGGGAAATCAGAATCACGTGTATGCTCCCATCAGCCGGTGCGTAGCTACAAAACCTATAAAGGAATAGCGTTACGGCAATTGCCGAAAGCATAAAAATAATGCATCTATGTAATGTGTGACAGGTTACGGCTTAAAGTATGAGGCGCATTTTTATAAAAAAAAAAGCGTTAAGTCAAATTTTACAGCAAAAACCCCTCTTCGTCACTCTAAGTAAACTTGCAGAGCGGACAAAAATACACCTATGTGTGTAGTTTCAAAGACGTGAATATAAGTTTATTAAGGTTTATTAAGGTTTGTTTTTGTCTGTGGCGCATGTGCCGATCATTTGTCGATCATTTCCAAAAAAGTATCTTAATCGTCGTAACTGGCATTTAAACAATTTGCATACGCTTTATCACGTGTACATGTATAAATAAATGTCGATCCTATTCTATATGCACTAACACGTGATCGCTTTACAATTGTGTTACATTTGAAAGTGTATGCAAATTGTTTGAATGCCGTAACGTGTTGCCTGTCACATGGATGCAAAAATAATATAGATGATCGACATCGATTTCATTAATGTGAGTAGCACTTGTTACACATGACTCAACATAAATTATTGACCAAACGAATGAATAAAGTAAATTGTTTTTTTTCAAATAATAAATTCAGGGAAAAAAATGTCAAAAGATACTAAAATAAAAGATTTAAATTATTACATTGACTGGTTAGAGAAATCGATTACCGAAGAACATATCGAATTATATGAATATTCAGACTTCAAAAATATTCAACTGATAGGAAGTGGCGCATATGGAAATGTTTATCGTGTTAATCGAAAATATTCTAATCGTATTTTCGCTTTGAAATCTTTTAATTATGAGAAACAAACTCTTAATGAAGTTGTAAAAGAGGTAAATTTAATACTTTTAAACAATATTTATTTAAAACTTCGATTAAATACTTATGTAATACCCTTATATATACTTTAGTTAAAATTACACCGAAGTGTTAATTATCATGAAAATATTATACGGTTGTATGGAATCACAAGAGTTGAAATTGGTAAGTATAAATACGTTAATACTTGTATATACTGTAACTTTAATAATAGAAATTTATTTATTATTGTTGAAATGTTTTATTTAGGCACAATCCAAAAATATTCTTTTGTATTGGAATACGCCGATAGCGGTACATTAAATACATATTTAAACGAGAATTTTAATAAGCTCGATTGGAATGACAAATATTACTTAGCGTCACAGCTTGCTAGTGCTATAGAATTTTTGCATGAAAAAGATACTATTCATCGTGATTTGGTAATATAAATTTTTTAAATTCTTATTTTTTTATTGTAATATACCACGTTTTAACATCATTATTTTATCCTGTAATTAAAGCATGGAAATAATATACTTGTACATCAGAAAAACATTAAATTAGCAGATTTCGGGTTATCAAAAAAAATAGCTGAAGCATCAAGTAATACATCAAAAATACTTGGTATAATGCCTTACATAGATCCGAAGAAATTGGAAAATCAAAATTATAAATTAGATAAAAAATCTGACGTATATAGTATTGGAGTTTTACTATGGCAAATTTCAAGTGGATATAAACCTTTTTATGAACTTGATCATGATGCAGGATTAGTTTTAGCTATATTGAATGGTAAAAGAGAAGAAATTATCAACGGAACTCCTATTAAATATAGTAACTTATATAGAGGTAATAGATTAAAATATTTGCGTCTATATATTTAATTTAATTACTAATTTTATTTATTTAAATTAATCAGAATGCTGGAAATATGAACCAAATGAACGACCAAATATACAGAAAATTGTTTCAGCACTTAGATCAATAACGTCTCTTGAGGAAATTAATACAACTATGATAAATAATTTTATTGAAAAAAAAGAAAATCATTTATCGGAAATATATGAAACAAATTCAGAATTAAGCAAAGAAACCATAGATTTAAACAATGAGTTAATGTCAAACAATGAATTAAGTTTAGTTGAATATAACACTAAATCAAACGAAAGTGTAAATAGCGAATCAAAGATAAATGATAGTGAAGAAACTGATCAACTCATTTCACATAAAATTCCAAAATCTTCAAAAGTAAGACAAGAATCTTTAATAGATAATTCAGACTATTACTCATCATCTACCGACGTTACAGAAGCAATAAAAGCAGTAATAAATAATAATAATACAATCCAAAATCAAAATTATGAAAATAGTTTATTAAGTGCAAGCTCAGATCAAGTAACAAGAATGTCGATAGATCTTATTGAATTTATCAATGTCGATAGTTTAATTGCATTTTTGATTGAAAAACATGATAGAGGCATCACTTTTGAACAAATTCAACAATTAATAAGCAAACAAATATTACAAACAAATCAAGCTACAGATCGTTTTATAAATTGGTTATTAAAAAATCAAAATCAATCAAAATATATTTGGTTTTTTGGGTTATTTTATTATTATAATATTCTTTTAGAAAAAAATAGTAGCATCAAAGCATTTGAATTGTTTTCAAAGGCGGCAAATGATAATTATTCAATTGCACAAGTTTATCTTGCTAAATGTTATTATGATGGATATGGAGCTGAAAATAATTATTATTTGGCATTTTATTGGTATCAAAAATCCGTTGAAAATGGAAGTATTATTGGACAATTTTATTTAGGAAATTGTTATGAATTCGGTATTGGAACTGAAGAAAACGAAAAAAAATCAGTATATTTTTATAAAGAAGCAGCTAGAAATGGAAATGTCATTGCAAGGCTTTATCTTGCAAATTGTTATAGATTAGGAAAAGGAATTGAAAAAAATGAGATTAAAGCATTTAAATATTATGAAACATTAGCAAAACAAGAAATTTCTGATGCTCAACTGCGACTTGGCGATTGTTATTATTATGGAATTGGAACAAAAATAGACAAAATTCAAGCTAAATGTTGGTACGAAAAAGCAACAAACAATGGAAATATTATAGCAAAAAATATCCTTAAAAGGAATTATAATATAAAATCATATGCTGAAATGGATAAATCTAAAAAAATCAAGTTTTATAAAATATTATTTAATAAAAGTTTAAGTCAGCTTGGATTTTATTATTTTGGAAAATTATTATTAAAAACAAATTATGAAAAATCATTCTACTATTTTCAAAAAGCAGCAGAAAATGGATGTAAATTTGCACAATTCAATTTAGGTGGGTGTTATCAATTAGGAGATGGAGTAATGAAAGATTTAAGAAAGTCTTTTGAATTATATAAGAATTCTGCTGAACGAGGATACATAAATGCACAATCACAACTTATTTATTGTTATACTTTTGGATATGGAACTGAAATAGATAGAGTAAAAGCATTTGAATTAGCCAAGACAATAGCTGAAAAAGGATATGGAGATGTACAATATTTATTGGGTCAATATTATATACATGGAGAAGGAGTTAATAAAGATGGAAAAAAAGCATTTGAATTATTTAGAAAATCTTTTAAAAAGAACATCAAATATTTATCCAGTAATAAAAAAATTATGATAAATGAGAAAAAGGATTTTGAATATTCTAAATTATTTGCTAAAATTATAAATATTAATTCATATATCAATCTTGGGTATTGTTATGATGAGGGAATTGGAACTGAAATCAATAAAATGAAAGCATATAAATATTATAAAATAGCAGCTGAAAATGGAAATGAAACAGCACTATATAATTTAGGCTATTGTTATTTAAATGAAATTGGTGTTGAGAAAGATGAAAAAAAAGCATTTGAATATTATAAAAAATCAGCTGATCAAGGATGCTTATATGCTCAATCTCAACTTGGATATTGTTATGATGAGGGAATTGGAACTGAAGTCAATAAAGTAAAGGCATTTAAATTATATAAAATAACAGCTGAAAAGGGTGATAAAGTGGCTCAATACAATTTAGGTAATTGTTATTTGAATAAAATTGGTGTTGAGAAAGATGAAAAAAAAGCATTTGAATATTATAAAAAATCAGCTGATCAAGGATATTTATATGCTCAATCTCAACTTGGATATTGTTATGATGAGGGAATTGGAACTGAAGTCAATAAAGTAAAGGCATTTAAATTATATAAAATAACAGCTGAAAAGGGTGATAAAGTGGCTCAATACAATTTAGGTAATTGTTATATGAATAAAATTGGTGTTGAGAAAGATGAAAAAAAAGCATTTGAATATTATAAAAAATCAGCAGATCAAGAATATTTATATGCCCAATACCAACTTGGATATTGTTATGATAATGGAATTGGAACTGAAATTGACAAAATAAAAGCATTTAAATTATATAATTTAACAGCTGAAAAAGGTGATAAAGTTGCACAATACATTTTAGGTAATTGTTATATAAATGGAAATGGTGTAGAAAAAGACAATAAAATAGCATTTGAATATTATAAAAAATCAGCAGATCAAGAATATTTATATGCCCAATATCAACTTGGATATTGTTATAATAATGGAATTGGAACTGAAGTTGACAAAACAAAAGCATTTGAGTTATATAAAATAATAGCTGAAAAGGATGATAAAGTGGCACAATATAATCTTGGAATGTTATATCAAAATGGTGAAGTTACTAAAAAAGACAATAAAATAGCATTTGAATATTATAAAAAATCAGCAGACCAAGAATATTTATATGCCCAATACCAACTTGGATATTGTTATAATAATGGAATTGGAACTGAGGTTAATAACATAAAAGCATTCGAATTTTACAAAATAGTGGCAGACAAAGGATATGATATAGCTCAATTTTGTCTTGGATGTTTATATGAAAATGGAGAAGGTATTGAAAAAGATGAAAATAAAGCTTTTGAATATTATGAAAGATCGGCTAATCAAGGTTATTTAAATGCTATAAATCAACTTGGATATTGTTATTTTAGTGGTATTGGCACTGAAGCTAATAAAATAAAAGCATTTAAGTTATATAGTATAGCAGCTAAGGCAGGACATAATTGCGCTCGAAATAGCTTGGGATTCTTATATGATAATGGTGAAGGAACTGAAAAGAGTCTCAAAAAGGCTTTTTATTGGTTTAACAAAGCAGCAGAAGATGGAAGTGAGGAAGCACAATGTAATTTAGGTGAATATTATGAATTAGGAACTTTCGTAAATAAGAATGAAATTAAAGCATTTGAACTTTATAAAAAATCAGCTGAAAATGGGCATATAACTGCAAAGTTTCAGCTTGGATATTGTTATGTAAATGGAATTGGGACTGAAATTAATAAAGAAAAGGGATTTGAATTATATAATGATGCAGCAGGCAGTAACTTCAAAGATAACTTTGAAGAAATAGTAAATGATTTAGACAAGGTTAATTATTGGTATCATAAAGCTGCAGAAAATGATAATAAATATGCATTATATAAATTAGGTGAATTTTATGAATTAGGCAAGGGTGTTTGGGAAAATAAAGTTAGAGCATATGAGTTTTATAAAAAATCAGCTAATCTAGGACTCGTTGATGCTCAATATAAACTTGGATACTGTTATGAAAAAGGTTTTGGGACTGATATGAATAAAGAAAAGGCATTTGGCTTATATAAGATAGCTGCAGAGAGAGGAAATATTTTTGCACAAAAAAGTCTTGCATATTTATATGAACAAGGTGAAGGGACTAACAAAAATCTAGAAAATTCTATTTATTGGTACAACAAAGCTGTAGAAAATGGACATTTAGACGTTAAAGAGAATCTAAGTATTCTTTTAAACAAGTAATGATTAAACTTTTATGATTATTAATAACTTGATAGATAGCTAACTGAGTATATATTTTATATTTTAATAGATATTAAGATGTCACTTTATTCATTCTATTCTATTGTTTTTATTTTAACATTTTTATAGTAAATAATAAATATTTTGTTTATTGTCTAATGACATTGTGGTTTAAAAATAATTTTTAATTGGCAATTCAATATCATAAGTAATAATGTTTTTAAATGTTTATAGGGTTTAAAATTTATATTATCATTTGATAAATAAAATAAGCAGCCATATGAATTTGTTTATTTATTTCTTTGAAGTCATTTAAATTATTTCAATTTAAATACTGTGAACGATGTGCAAGCTCCTGGTTGAAATCAGGATCCATGTATAGTTCAATAGGTCGATACTCCTTAAGCTTTGCAATTGTACACCCGTAATGATGAGAAATTCCGTAAATTATTACAGTATCAAAAAATGTCCAAACACGACTTATATGTTTTATATATACGTTCCCGCATTATTCCAATTGTATCACATATAGATTAAACCCAAATCCTATCTACGGAAAAAAAAAGGTTAGCAGCACCATCACAATCTGACTAATAAGATTACAAATAGCTACTTTTTTGTGACTACCTAAAGTCGAACTACAAGAAGCTACCCTCCTCTATACATAACCTTGTCTTAAACCCAAACGACTAATCTATATAATCACTATCCATTCTACTCCAAGTGTCGAAATGCGTTAAAACGTTGCCTTCTATATACTTTATGAATTCCACCACCTATTTTTTCATCCTAAAAATTTTTGAACATGGTGATCGGCGGTCATTAATCCTGAAGTTCATTCCTTAGAGTGGTCCCTTTAGTGGGTTATCGTTTTAATTGTTTAATAGGTTATATTAATACAGGTTAATTTTAGATTCTTTTAGCTTATTTTTTTGTGGTTTTTCATATTTACTCTTCTATATATTAAAAATAAAATCGAGTATTTAAGAAAGTACTAATGTAAATACTTATTATCAACCCGCAATATATTACATTTTCTGTTCAACACTTTCTATCTTCAATAAATATGTAAGATGAAACTAGATGAAACTAACTTTAAGAATAAAAATGGGAATCATTTTCTAGTTTTGGTCTTTTAGATTTAAAATTTTCGTAAAAAACAACATAAATTGTAAAAAAGAAATTTACTTCTCATTTTAACTTAGTAGAATTTGTTAAATTGATGAAAAAAAAGAAAATGATAAAATAATTGGAAATCTGCAAAAATTATCTTACTGATATTTAAATTTATTTAAATTACCCCTATTTTTAAGCAAAATTATATATAACGACTATTATATTGATTACAAAAAAAAATAAATAAACTCTTCTAGACATTCTAAAGATTAAAAATTTATGCGAAAAAAGGAGTTTAGCGCTCGTACGGTTGATCTGGTTCCGTATTCGTTTTGTGTGTGTATACTTTATAATACAGATTATAAAACCATAACGATATTTTCCACTAAGTCGCTGTATTGTTTTTTCTGAGCAGAATTATTGTTGCATAAATGTTTTTCATAAATAATTGTTGTATCATACTTTAAAAAAAAAATTAAAAATTTATTGCATAATGATTTAAACCCTAAAATCATAAAACTTCTCGTACTATCGGTTGTGATTTTATTTACGCGTGGCTTTTATTCTTTAATCATTATTAGAGGTCCAAATTGGTCAAATTTTGTTATTATATATCCCTAGTTCGGGATCACAATCGATTATTTAGACAATTACATAATTAAATATATTAAGTATTATTAACTACATTATTGTTATAGCGTAAAATTTATTGTTGTTCAAAGTCTACGTGTTACACGAAACAAAACAGTCTAATAGTCTAAAAAAATATATTTTTTTTCGCTGAACAATTGACGGCTAGTCATCATATATATATATATACAGTACATATATTTTTTTAAAAAAGGGATATGCGTATATATGATAAATCATATGAAAATTATTATAATATTTTGTTTAACTCATTTCTCTCCTTGTTTAAAAAATAAAGATAAGTATAGTATACACATATTAAAAATCTTTAATGTTGTGAATTTTCGATTGTTGGAATCTTTAATGATTGTTAAAAATCTATTATTTGTTAAAATTTTTACTAGGTTAATCACTCCCCTTTTTATATAAAGAAAGAATAATTAAATAATTAAAAAATGATTCAATAAAAATACATGCAAGAGTCTATACGATTTATTCAAAAAGGTTTATAAATATATACTCTCAAAATTTCTCAAAACTTTTTTAAATTCAATGTTAATTCAATCCGTTAAATTATCTTTTTAAAATCAATCATTACATTACTACTTTTAAATACAACGTAATTAAACCATTAAATTCTTTATTAATGTCTTCCTCCAAAATAGTTCAGATCTTTCATTTCATTAACCATCGATTACAATGTAAACAAACCATATTTGTATATTTACAGTATTTATATCTATATTTTTAACGTTACACTTTTTTTTTATTTTCATTTCTCGAAACAATCTAATTTTTTCACTTTCTCCTCATACCTCCTCCGAAGGATACATATCCACCTCAATTATGATGATATCCGTCCTTGGCATATTTATATTTGGGATATCCTATACGCTTGGCTTCGAAACAAGTATAATGAGTATCTTTTCAATAACGGAACCCGCCCTAAGTTGAAATTTCAAGTGATAAGCTTGTTTCCCGACCTAAAATTATGAAACTCCTTAAGGGAATTCTCCAACCTAATGAAGATCAATCATTCTATCATGTGGTATCTGGTGAACACGGAACTGGGAAGACTATATTAATTAAAATAGCGTCAAACGAAGTAGGACAGGATGACAAAGGTACACAAGGTGGAATGGGAGTTCCTGCAAACATTGAGAAATTTGCCGAGGAATTTGCAAAAGCTATTGATTTTTCATTCGAGAAATGTGTTTCCTTCACGGCACTATTGAAACGGAATATTGTGGGTCATACTGGTAAGTTGATTTTTACTGTTTATAGCTGAGAACAAATGTTTTAACCCTAATTTCCCTTTATAGAGAAGTTTACTTATCCACGTTGGTTGAAGCATTTAAGCGTGGTCTTAGAAAATACAAAAAGAAATGCAATTATTATTTATGATAATGTTGGCCGATTAGTTCATAAAAATTCTTTAAGTTCTAGATATACTTCAAAAAGATGATAAGGATAATGCAGATAAACGAAATTATATTGCTGTATTCGTAAGTAGTGAAGGAAAAGTCCCTAAAAAAATGCAATGTAAGTATCTTTTCTTTAATTCATAAATTTATAAGTACATTTGTTTGATCAATATTCTTATTTCTATCTAGCACAAAGTTCTTGGTCACGTGCTAAACAGTGGTGGAAATCGGTGATCTTGATCAATAAAATATTTAACAGCAAAATGCAATATCAATGCAGAAGAGTCAAGAAAGCTATACAATTTAGTTGGTCGTATTATAGAACTGAAAAGTCTGTAACAGATGATTTCCTAAATGGACAAACTTTTGAAAGTATTTTTGCATCCAAAAAATTTATGAGCTTTCGCTTTTGATTTCTTCTTACAAATTCTATTTCTGCAGTTATAGAACAGGAAATCTTAATGAAAGTTTTAGACAAATTGAGAACCGCAAAGCTTCTTGAAGGTCACGATTTGAAGGTATGAATATTATGAAACAGGAGAATGAGTCATTAATGGTTTGCTTAATTCAAAAAAGCTTACCCGTACTGCACATGAGAGATTTTTCAATAATCCCATAGAAGTAGATGAAGCAGATGATATCCCAGAGAAAAATATTTTCACTTATCATCCAGAAAATAGTACCGTCACTTTTCAATCCCGTTCGATAGAATATTGTTTTGAGCGTGTATTAAAGAAAAGTGAAAGTGTACTGATTAAAGAAATTTGTTAAGAGTATATAAATGTAAATCATACTTGATATTTACTGTAATGTTATAAATTGCATAATAAAGCTTTTTTATTGCAATCAAAGACCTATTGGAACTTATTATTGTTTTTTTTTTAAGTATAAATAATAAAAGCTTTTCAAATATGTAGCAATTTCAAGAATTGAAATTATTAGAAAATGCATGAAGATGTTTATTGATTATGTTGATTTCGATATACTACGCCACTACATACTGTATATAGGAAACGGAAACCGGTATTAAATCCGAAGTGCTGTTTAAGGTTTTATTGTTGTAACATCGTCACAGACGTCACATGCTGGAAGAGATGAGAAAATCTATTTTGTTTAGAGTTCGATCCATATGGAATTCCCTATCAAATCTGGCATAATCTTTGTAGCGTAGTTATGACTGGATATTTTTGTGTCAGGGAGTATTACATGAAGTATTGACATTGGTGACTTATCCCGCCCTTAGCCTTGAGCTGAAATTTTCCATTCGTATTACTAATTATTCATGATATTATCGTAAAAGAGTAAACATCGTAGAAAGTTATTTTCTTTAGAGTGAAAAAAGAAACGATGTCCTATATATTATGTATGGCGTAGAATATAGTAACACCCGACTTGTCCAAAAAATTGTTAGTTTATAATATATCTGTAGATATTCTTATTATCTAGCTAAGTCGAGTTAAAATATTTTATCATAAAAAATAAATAAATAAACAAATAAATTTTGTGATATACTTTAATATTTTAAATATTTCCTCCTTACTTAATTTCTTTTTTCTATTTATATAAATTACAATTATTTAAATAAAACGATGTAAAAGGATAGTAAAAATACAAGTAATTTAATTAAATCGTAAATAAATGAGAAATGTTCATTTTTTAATGAAATAAAAAAAAAGACTTTTCATTTGTTATAGTACAAATATTATCAGTTTGATTTACGAACTAAATAGATCCAATTATTCTTTTATGAATTTTTTTTATTTTCGATAATAAAATATCCAATGTCAGTGCAAAAAAATATGAATTTTATAACAATTCTAAAACTCACATATTAAAACCAAACATATATTTATATTTAAGGAACATCGAATCTTTATCAACTAAAATATTTGACACATATTTAAATCTCTTTTGTTTCAAAAGTTTACTTATAATCTTAGAAATTGAAAAAATTCTTGTTACTTTATTAAATTCTTAAAACCTACAAGTACAGATTTTTCATGCATGTAAGCAGTATGATTACATTACAATCAAATGATTATGAGTCATCGTTTTTGGAATAATGGGATAATGGGTCAGGCTGAAGTGGTAAAGTTGAGTCATTTACCAAACATGGCTTAATTTTTTCATGCTATAATTCTTCACATTAATGAGTCATATTGTCTACAAAGAAAATTTTTTTTATTTAAGGGCCCTCAATTTTACAAAATTTTAAGAATTTTTTTTTAGCATAGTCTCTTCTCTGACATCTCTGACATTCCTCTCTGATATATTGTATAAATTATATATTGTATAAATTTCATTTATACAATCACAGCTCTGAACCATTTATTGTCTCTGGCATTCAATAAACATTTATAAACATTTATTACAAACATGAGTTTATATCTTGGCAAAGAATGTAAAGTTTATAACAAATAATTGTAATTTTTTCTTCTTTTTCAGTTTCTTACATAAATCATCTTTTGACTTTTAGATCTTACCAGATATTTGACATACAACAGATTTAATTTATCATATCGAGAATTCTTAATCAAACACCACGATATTATTTTTATTTCATCATTATCATTTATTTCATCTTTACCATTCTCAAACTGGAAAACCTTTGATGATTATTGGGCAATTAAATTTTTGGAAGAAGCAAAATTTTTGATGATAAATAAAATAATATTAAAAATGAGTACATTTGATGTTTTAAAAGAAAAGGTATGTTTAAATAAATGATAAACCTTATATAGACCTTTTTTTTAAAACACTATTAACAATCTTTTTTTTTATAAATTACTAGATAAACACAGAACGTTTACAACATGAAAAATATTTTCAAGCATATTGGTGTGAAGTAATCAAACAATATAGAAAAGACAATTTAATACCTGGTGCAATATACAAAAAAAATACAATCAAGAAAACTAATACTAAAGATAATATTAAACCAGATTTATTATTTTGTTATGATATTCTTTATGAACTTGAAAATGATCCTCATGCTTATCCATTTTATAAATATATTAATTCAAATTATTTTAATGTTACAATAAATCAACCAATAGATTTATTTACTATTAATTTAAAATTAGAAAATAATCAATATTTAAATGCAGAGGAGTTTAAGAAAGATATTCATTTAATGTTTGATAATTGTTTTATATCTAATGATGATGAAAGTGACATTTATATTTCAGGTAGAGAATTAGAAGATGTTTTTAATAAATTATGGTATATTTATCAAATTGAACAAAAACAAGAAAATAGTAATTAGAAAAAATAATACAAGAAAAAAAAATGTTTTTTCAAATTGAACAAGACGATTTACAATTTAGATAGTACATTGTATCAAATATAAATAATTATGGATTAAAAAACCTAATATTTTTTTTTAGAAGCAATGTACAGTAATAACAATATATTAATTTGTATTATTATCTATTGTAGTATAATCTAAAAAAGAAATTGACATAAATTAGATTATTATATACAAATTGTTGATTTCAATAATTTGTTTTTATTCTTTAGAATAATTTATTTACAAGTAATTATTAAATTTATATTTTGAAAATTTAAATAATATAAAGGGAAGAGTTATGTTTTATTAGTTGGAACTTGGAATATTAACAGAAAAATTTATGCGTCATCAGTCTATTTGGTTTGTTTATTTGCTTTTAACCTAACTATTGAGATTATGACGTAATATTTATACTCTGACTAACAATTACAAATTTATAAAAAGTCACTTTATCCAAAAACTATTTAATCTTTCATTATTCCCCATTTCCCAGTGAAGTAACCAAATAAATTTACTTGTATCTTTCTTTTCTTTATAGTTTATTATCCCCTTCCTTTTTGTCTTTACAAAAATATATTTTATATTTTAAGGCCGAAACACTTTGTCATTAATTAAATGTAATTACTATCATGGATCATATTATTTAAATTGAACTATGGAAATTCTAATTTTAATGTAAAAAATTTCTCAAATAATTTAAATCTCATCAGTTAGCATTTTATTGCATACTATATAATGTTTCTTAGAAAAATTATTTTCAATTGCGTTTGAAGTAAATCTTTGAAAAGCAAAAATTGTAAATGACTATTTATTATTTATCTTAAATATAAAATATCCGACATTAATTAATATTTTGTCACACTTTCGTAATTTTTTTATTTAATAAAAAAATTATGATATAAACCTCTAATTTAAATCATAGTTTTACTTAACCGCAATGAAATGTATAAATATAATTTGTTCATAGTGCTTAAAGAACTTTTTGCTGAAGTATATTCCACCGAAACCCATTTCGCCGAAGCCATTTCACTGAAGGGATGTTTCACTAAAGTGATATTTCACCAAAAGGACGTTTCGTCGAAATACCCATTTCGCAGAAGCCATTTTGTCGAATTGACATTTCGCAGTTATTTTATTTCTTTTTATAATAAATACATAAAGAAATTTCTAGATAAATTTTGAATTAACTGATTTCTTATCAAATTTATCTCGTTGTTTATACTGTAATATACATTAATCTTTTTTTTTACTTATTTTTCGTGAATAAATGTTTTCAGGAAAATAAAGTTATTTATTTATTGCTTAACAATTAATATCAGTTACTTGAATGTTGAAGTAATAAGTAATAATAAAAAAAATCTCTAAAATTAATTCAATTTTTATTTTCATTGCGCTATGAATATTTTTTATAAAAATGTTAATCGCTACCATTTTCGAACGAAATGTCCATTTGGTGAAATGGACGATTCGGTGAAATGGATTCGATAAAATATACTTTTGGCGAAATGTCCTTTCGGTTAAACGTCCCTTCGGTGAAATGGGCTTCGGCGAAAAGTCCGTATACCTCGGTTTTTTTTGGTGTGCGGGATTTCTTTGTTTGATAATTGTTACTTTCCGGGAATAAACTTTTCTTTTTCAGCTCTTTCCATTATACGTTCGAATCGAGAAACTGTAGAACGCAACAATTTATGCATGTCAAGTGAAAAAAAAAATGAAGTGAGTGTAAGTAAATCTTAAGTTTAAATTGGGATTGGATATTACCAACCTTAATTTGCAACATAATACGTGTAATTTTAGTTAGCTTCCAAATTTCATCATACGAAGTAGGGATATCGAACTTTTCAACTCAATTGATGTGTAGAATCCGCCTCCTACATATATTATAAGAACAGCATGAAGGTAGAACCACGATGATACGAAACCAGGCATAATTAATTTATTACAAACATTTAAAACTTGTTTTGAAAGTGCTCCTCTATTTTCGATAGCAATTGCTTTTGACTAGGTTTCTGTGCATACCTCTGAGTGTTTTTATAAAGAAATGTCTGAAAAATTCTTGGTGCCATTATCCTGCACGCTCATATAGGGAAAATTCTCGGTCATGTGAAATATCTTTTCCAAGATCATGTTTCTATATGTAGGAATCTGTTAATACTTAGTAATAAAACAAAAAATATGAAAACTTCATAAAGATTAGTTATACCGTGAACATCCAGTCTAGGTGAAACCCTTCAACCTTAACCGGGGCATCTGTTGCTTCACTTCGTCGATCTCGAGATGACCTAGAAACCATCTCTCAGTTTCGTAGGGTATGTCTGACAATGAAATTATATCGAAAGTTGAGCATTGATTCATAAATAGTTTAGATAATTGTTCCGTAATAAGAATCTTCAAGAAAGTTGTCTGTTGTTCATCTCCAAGATTTCCGATAACATTAGAAAACCAATCAGAGACTCCGTTATTATACACATCTAGATGTGTATAAGAGACAGCCACTTATTTGAGAAATAATCAGTATTATTAATAATGAAAAGTACTTAGGGATGATGATAATAAAACATACAAATGGGTATCTAAAATATTTTAAGACGTGTCTTTTGATGAACATATCTATGTCCCTTTCGGTGTTTTTTCATTGCGGAATTTTTTTTGCCTAACATTACATCTGATTGTAAAGAAGTGCAGTATTAGAAGCTGTATATGCATCCAAGCTGAAATATAACAAATGAACTTACGTGTAACGTACCAATTCTAAGATGTATCCCACATAAAAATATAAAAAATAATAAAAATAAACGAATCAATATCGTAATACAAATTTTTATCGGCAAGTGTATACGTAGATAACGTAGCACAATCAAATATCACGTGACCGTAACTTTTTGGTTACGTAGTCATATGCTTTTTATACGCAGTGATGCAAAAATTACTTTCTTGACCTCCTCGTATTACTTTCTTGACTTGATCAAAATATGCATGATTATGTATGACAAAAATGTTCTTGCAAAAAAACATTAACGCGTTGTTATTTTTCTTATTTTCATAATTTTTCAAGAGATATACACAAAGAGATTTTAAAAATTTTTTTATCATTAATGATTAATGACAAAATAATTTATTATTTTTTTTTTTATTTTAATATTTAGTTTTATGCTAGTATTTATTACCTAATTAATGTATTTCTCTTAAATGTAATCTATTTATCAGCTATCTTTTGTAAATAAAATAAAATTATTTTAATTTTATCAATATTGTAGAAATAAAAAAGTATTGACCATGCTCGCAACTCGCAAAAGACAGATTGCATGCTATTTATGCTATTTTTGTTAAATATAAATAAAAATAAAATATTTCTTTTTTGTTTATCACATATCGATCGCATTTCAGGTCAAGAAAGGAACATTTTTGTCATACATAATCATGCATATTTTGACTGGGTCAAGAAAGTAATGCGAGAAGGGTCAAGAAGGTAATTTTTGCCGCAGTGATCGTGTTTTACTTCTTGTTTTACTAAATCGCTCTTGCTCAATAATTTTTCGTTTTAATAATGTCTATAGACAATTATTTCGATCAAAAGTCAATAGAATGAGATATCTTGGGACTTTATGGAAGAGTGCGATCAGAAACAATACAGTCAGAAAATAGGCCTTAATATCACGTCTCTCGAAATAATAGTCAAATGTGACGGAAGACGAAGGAAAGAACAAGCACAATATTTGTTCGATAGATATAGATAGGATAAGGGATTGGTGGCGTGGCAGGGATTTTTAAGATTTCTGTCATTCAAACTTTTAAGGTAAGATTTAAAGTCGACCTGATACTGAGCCCATGGGGCGCGGGCGAATTTTAAATTTGCCTGACGTTCAAGATATAAAGTCGACCTGATGGGAATAAGAGAAATTATAAGAAAGTTAGGAATATAATTTACTAAAGTTTGCATACTAAGATCGTACTTGTGTCAAAGATTGAGAGAAAGATCGTACTTCTGGAAACAAAACTGGACCTTCAGTCAACTTTTATGAGAATATTCGGAATATTAAAACAATCAACAACGGAAATTTTACAAATATTTCACATACAGATCATAGGTAGTCTAGGCAGACTACCCAACTTGATGATAGTAATAATAATGACACAGATGGTGAAGAAACAGGTGCCGAATTTATGTCACCTATAAAAGTTTGATATCTTTTTGTTTCTGCGATCCCGCTCAGAATTATTACAAATCCTTCACAGACTACAGATAGCGCGACAACGATGAAATTCGCAAATATTAATAAAGGTATTGCAAGATACAATATCATATTTCTTCCTGAATTTTACTAATATGATCTTATACGCATTTCATTCAAAATAGCACCATTTGCTAATATAAACTTAGCTATTATTTTTTATAACTATAAATTTAAGAAGCTATGTTAGTAGTAAATGTAATAATTAATATCATTTGTAAACACGCATCTTAAAAAATCGAAGTAAAGTCTTTATTATTATATTTTTGTAAAATAATACATGAGAAAGGACCCAGCCGGCTAAGAAAAAAAATGAATAAAAAAATGACTTCTTAATATTGCGGTTCATCATAAGGGTGCACTTCTTTTGACTTTATTCATTGAATTAATAGTTCTCCTGTAGTGCGCATTTATCACAATACAATGTGCAATGAAAAATCTGAATCAAGAAATATTATTATACAAACACTATATACAGGAATACACTAGTAAAAAAACTACACAAATCGCAATTAATTTTTATTTATTCAATTACGAGTTAAAAATAGTATTTGTACTTCTTTCAACATCCTTATATTATTATATTATGGTTGTGGAGGTACGGGTGATGACGTATAAGCACCATAGACTTATTTATCATCAACTAATTGTTGATATAATAGCTTTGTTAGTATGTTATTTTAGTGTTAGAGTCGATAAATATACACTTTTTTGGTGTACAAACCTTCCATAGAGTCGCTTTCTTCAAGATGATTATCATATCCTATAGCCTTATCAAGAATTTCTCCAGTTTCATTAACGGCCCAGTATATATCGTAATTAAGATCTCGATGTAAAACTGTTGTTAAGTCTGAATATTCTTCCAGGATTCTGCCCGCAACTAAAGCTTCCCTAGTAGGTATGCAAAATTAAAGTAAAAGTAAGAAGACAAAATAAAAAGACAATTGATCTTACTTTGTTGGAGATTCTGCAAGTGATAAATCATATTTGTGCTCGAATCTATCGGGCCAGGTATTGGCCCTATATTCCTCGTATAGAAGAGACATCGCATATTGGATATCTTCGATGACTGAGGTACCCGGAATAGATAGAACTTCTTGTTGAGCTTTAGCATATCTCTCTACACATTCAATGAGCTTCTTGCGATGCTCCTGTATTATAAAAGATGAAAGGTTAGATTAAATATTATTAAATACGTGTTTTCTTTCGCAACTGGAGAAAAATGCTTACCTCAACTTCTTCACTCCACGCTACCTTTTTTATTAGTTTGTTTTCCTTGTGTTTAGCTATATTTTAATCGAATAAATGTCAAGAGGTCAGTTAATATATTATGAAATGTGAATAGTTCATAGTACCTTGTTTTTTTCTTGTCATTTTTTTAAGAATGTAAAATTATTTTATTTTTTACTAGAAAAGTAGTATCCCTAAGAATGTAAAATAATCAGTACACAACATAAGGAAAGTTTGTTTTTATTGGTTATGATTAGGGATGTTAACGGTTCGGTCCATCCGGTTTTCGGTCCAAAAACTGGTGGTTTGAGTACAAAACCGAACCGTTATAGGTTTAGAACCAGAGTTTGAACCGAAGTTTGGACTGAAGTTTAGACCGAAGTTTAGACCGGATATTTATAGTATTTTATACAAAATTGTGTAATGCAGATCATGAATTTAAATATATCGTATATCGTCAAAAAATTTTTTATTATAAGAAAAAAAATTACCAACAAAATTTCACATAATGTAAAAAAAAAGGAAAAAAAAAAAGACATATTGCAAGTATTGATTCAATTTTCCATTCTTTCTTTTTCTGATATCCAATTTTTCATGCATATAATTGCCCTTGCCGTTTCAGGATCTAACCTATTTCTAGTTTTTGAAATAGTTAATCCCGAAATTGAAAATGCCCTTTCTGATGGAACCGACGTTGCTTGGATTGTTAAATAATCCTTAGCTATTTGAGATAGTACTGGGTAATCCTTTTCATAAGTTTTCCACCAAATTAAAGAACCTGTATTACTATCTACTGGAGAATTTAAGTATCGATCTAATTCATCATGCGATACTTCTTGACGAATATTATTTGGATTAAGTAAATTAAGAAAATAATCACGAGATGATCGTGCTGGTGCTGATGGTATGGTTTGATTATTTAAGGGTAAATATGACAAATATAATTCTTGTAATTTACTACTAATTTCAGTTATATCATTATGACTAAATAATGTGGTTTTGTAGCGTGGATCTAATATTGAAGAAGTAATGGAAGATTGATTCAAATATTTGTCCCAATAGGCTTTCAATTTATTACAAATTGCTGATGCTATTGCCTTTTGTGTATGGTGATTTCCTCTTTGATAATGATCCAATTTTTTAAACATTCCATTAAAAACCAATCTTATATCACCTTGTGTAGGATTTTTTGATGATGATAATAAATTGGTTGCTTCATACATAGGTTCTAATACCTTTGCTAATTCCTGTAAAAAAAAAAATAATAATTAATAAATATATAATTATAAAATAAAATAAATAATAATTTATAAAATAAAAAATACCTTAATATGTCGCCATTCAGATATTGTTGGAAATAAATCTCCAAGTTCTTCAACATTTGTTGTTGCAAGTAATTCTGAAACACCCTGCATTAAGATTTGTCTATTAATCATAAAATATGTGGAATTCCAGCGAATGTCTATATCTAAAATTGGTTTAAGAAATTTAACTTTTTTAAGGGTACAAATTTCTGATAATTTATCCAAAAATAATGGTGAATTCTTGATTTTAACAACAAATTGACGAAGTTTTTTGATTTCATTTCCAACATGACTCATTCCTGCTTTTACTGCTAAATTTATAATATGTGCAGCACATCTGTAATGAGTAAAAGCCATATTATTAAACTCCTGATCTAATTCAGTTGCTAGTTGATTACCACATGCTATCATGTTGCTTCCATTGTCTGTAGTTAATGCAAGAATATTATTACTGATACTAAACTCTTCAAGAATTTGTAAAAGCTTGCTAGTAATTAACCCAGCTGTATGAGAACCATTTACAGGAATTAAATCAAGTAAGAGATTTTTTAATTCCCAATTGTTGTTAATATAATGCATTGTTACTCCAAGATAACAATCTTTTGAGATTTCTGAAGTCCAAATATCAGTAGTAAGAGAGATTTTTGAGTTAATTTGTGAGACTTCATTAATTAACACATTTTTTCTCATTTTATAATTTTCTATGAATTTTTCCTTTAAGGTTTGTCTGCAAGGTAAAATATAGTGGGGATTCAATTTATTAATTAATAATTTGAATTCAGGATTTTCAACAATGGTAAAAGGTTGCAAATCAGTTGCAACAAAATCAACCAAAGAATCTGTGATAGGTTTAGATTTTGATGGAGAGTAAGGTTTAAAACGTAAAGTAGTTTGGCGGGTTTCAGGTTTTTTATAATGTGATGGATGTTTTTTAGTTAAATGACGTCGAAGTGTAGATGTTGGATTACCAGGTGAATAAAGTTTTGCACACAAAATACACTTATAGTTTGTAATTAACCAACTTTCCTCATCTTGAATTTTTTGAAAAAACTCCCAAACATCTGCTGACAATTTCTTATTTATAATTCTTTCATCATCAGATGCTAAGGAATCATCTGATAAATTATTATCGTCATTTTCAAAAACTCCCGACATAGTTGTAATAATGCAAGGTGATATAAAAAAATGTAAGAATGTAAAATCCGTTATTCTTTTATTGTAAAAAGTTACGCGTGCAGATACACGTAACCGTTAATTGAACCGATCTAAAACCGGTTCACTAAACCGGTTTCTATCGGTTCGGTCTCGGTTTGGTTTGACGTTTGAACTGAACTGAAACCGGTCCTATGATCAAACTGCGGTTCGAACCATCCAATCATAAACTGTTAACATCCCTAGTTATGATCAACGTGTGTCACGTTATGATTGGCTAAATAAAATAACACGTGATAATACTACGCGTATTACAGATCATTCCATGAGCCATTTTCAGCCCATCTGTAGGGGTTTTAACTATTCAATATGGTCCAAAAAAATCATGGCCCATGTTCAGTACAAAATTGTAATAATCAAGTAACCCGTTTTAATCAATTCACTTCATTAGCATATGAGAAAGCCCAAAAAAAAGGAAAATATGAAGCACATACGTACCTAAGAATCGGACAACAATTGTGTCATAGTCATTATATGAGTATTGTTGAACCTTACCATACTCAAAAGTCAGAAGTTCCCTTTTTTTTAGAACCAGATAAAGAAAATTCAAATCGTAAATATTAAAATGATTGAAAATTAAATTTTTTTTTTTTTTATAACTAATTTTTTATTTGTTACATACAGAATCAAAAAGCTATTCATTTGCCGAGCAGGTTACTATGCTTACAAAGGTTCTATATGAGCAGCGTGGTAATTTAGAGCTTAATCCTACCTATTTTAAACAAATGATAGAAAAAGCAGATCCACATTTACAAGGTCTTTTTGATAAATTAGTAAAGGCATTGGTTCCTGATAACAGATCTGCATATAATAAAGTTAAAGCAAGAAAAACAATTATGAGTCTATGTTATATCATGGCTGGAATGCGAAATAAGTTTGTTAACGATTTCAAGTTGGAAGTTGGATTACATTTGTCAGCATCGGGTGCAAACACGTGCTGCAATTGATACAATGAATAGTATTGGATTTTCTGCTTGTTATACAACAGTTAATAATTTTAAACGTAAAATTGCCAATGAATATCCGTTAAATATCAGAAAATTTCTCTCTGAACATGTAAGTAAAAAAATATTTTTTTTTCATTTGAAGAACTACTATTAACCAAAATTTAATTACAATCAGAGTGACCATTTGTACGTTTATAATCTAGATGATTACCATGAGTATTTCCTAAATTTGCTGCTTTCTCATATAATTCAAATGCTTTTTGCTCATTAATATCAGTTCCAATTCCGTTTTCATAATAATATCTTAACATATTTATTCCATTTAGAAATCCTCCTTCTGCTGATCTTCTAAAAAATCTAAAAGCTTGTTCATAATTTTTACAAATATATTTTCCTTCTTTATACATTAGGGCAACATTATATTGAGCTATACTATTTCCTAAATTTGCTGCTTTTTCATATAGTATAAATGCTTTTTTCCCATTAATATCAGTTCCATTTCCATTTTCATAACAATATCCTAACATATATATTCCGTATATATCTCCTCCCTTTGCTAATTTTTCAAATAATTCAAAAGCTTTATTGTAATTTTTATCAACATACTTTCCTTCATTGTACATTAAAGCAAGATTATATTGAGCTATATTATTTCCTAAATCAGCAGCTTTCTCATATAATTCAAATGCTTTTTGCAGGTTAATATTGGTTCCAATTCCATATTCATAACAATATCCTAACATATTTATTCCATTTAAGTCTTCTCCCTCTGCTGATTTTTTAAATAATTCAAAAGCTTTATCATTACTTTTATCAACATATTTTCCTTCTTTATACATTAAAGCAAGATTATATTGAGCTATAATACTTCCTAAATATGCAGCTTTTTGATATAATTCATATGCTTTTTGTTCATTAATATCAGTTCCAATTCCATTTTCATAACAATATCCTAACATATTTATTCCATTTAAATCTTCTCCATTGGCTGATTTTTTAAATAATTCGAAAGCTTTGCCATTATTTTTATCAACATATTTTCCTTCTTTATACATTAAAGCAAGATTATATTGAGATATATTATTTCCTAAATCAGCAGCTTTCTCATATAATTCAAATGCTTTTTGCAAGTCAATATTGGTTCCAATTCCATTTACATAGTAATATCCTAACATATTTATTCCTCTTAAATTTTTCCCTTCTGCTGATTTTTTTAAAAATTCAAAAGCTCTTTCATAATTTTCATTTACATATTTTCCTTCTTCATACATTAAAGCAAGATTAAATTGAGCTATATTATTTCCTAAATTTGCCGATTTTTGATATAATTCAAATGCTTTCTGCAGGTTAATGTTGGTTCCAATTCCATATTCATAACAATATCCTATCATATTTATTCCATTTAAATTTTCTCCTTTTGCTAATTTTTCAAACAACTCAAAAGCTTTATCATTATTTCCTAAATTTGCAGCTTTTTGATATAATTCAAATGCTTTTTATTGGTCAATATCAGTTCCAATTCCATTTTCATAACAATATCCTAACATATATATTCCATTTAAGTCTTCTCCCTCTGCTGATTTTTTAAATAATTCAAAAGCTTTATCATTATTTTTATCAACATATTTTCCTTCTTTATACATTAAAGCAAGATTATATTGAGCTGTATTATTCCCTAGTAATTTTGCAAATTTTTAATATAATTCAAATATTTCTGCAGGTTAATATTGGTTCCAATTCCATATTCATAACAATATCCTAACATATTTATTCCATTTAAGTCTTCTCCTTTTGCTGTTTTATTAAACAATTCAAAAGCTTTATCATTATTTTTTTTAACATATTTTCCTTCTTTATACATTAAAGCAAGATTATATTAAGCTATGTTATTTCCTAAATTTGCAGATTTTTGATATAATTCAAATGATTTCTGCAGGTTAATATTAGTTTCAATTCCATATTCATAACAATATCCTAACATATTTATTCCATTCAAATTTTCTCCTTTTGCTGATTTTTCAAACAACTCAAAGGCTTTATTAATATTTTTATCAATATACTTTCCTTCATTATACATTAATATTGAGCTATATTATTTCCTAAATTTGCTGCTTTTTTATATAATTTAAATGCTTTTTGCAAGTCAATATTGGTTCCAATTCCATTTTCATAGTAATATCCTAACAAATTTATTCCTCTTAAATTTTTCCCTTCTGCTGATTTTTTCAAAAATTCAAAAGCTCTTTCATAATTTTCATCAACATATCTTCCTTCTTTATACATTAAAGCAAGATTATATTGAGCTGCATTATTTCCCAAATTTGCAGTTTTGTGATATAATTCAAATTCTTTTTTCATATTAATATCAGTTCCAATTCCATTTTCATAGCAATATCCCAACATATTTATTCCGCTTAAATTTTCCCCTTCTGCTGATTTTTTAAACAATTCAAAAGCTTTACCATCATTTTTATTAACACATTTTCCTTCTTTATACATTAAAGCAAAATTATATCGAGCTATGTTATTCCCTAAATTTGCTGCTTTTTGATATAATTCAAATGCTTTCTGCAGGTCAATATTGGTTCCAATTCCATATTCATAACAATATCCTAACATATTTATTCCATTCAAATTTTCTCCTTTTGCTGATTTTTCAAACAACTCAAAAGCTTTATTAATATTTTTATCAACATACTTTCCTTCTTTATACATTAAAGCAAGATTATATTGAGCTATATTATTTCCTAAATTTGCTGCTTTCTCGTATAATTTAAATGCTTTTTGCAGGTCAATATTCGTTCCAATTCCATTTTCATAGCAATATCCTAACATATTTATACTGCTTAGTTTTTCCCTTCTGCTGATTTTTTAAATAATTCAAAAAGCTCTACCAACATACTTATTAACCCATTTTCCTTCTTTATACATTAACTGAAAGCAAGATTATATTGAGCTATACTATTTCCTAAATTTGCAGCTTTTCGATATAATTCAAATGCTATCTGCAGGTCAATATTGGTTCCAATTCCATATTCATAGCAATATCCTAACATATTTATTCCATTTAAATCTTCTTCTTTTGCTGATTTTTTAAAAAATTCAAAAGCTTTGCCATTATTTTTATCAACATATTTTCCTTCTTTATACATTAAAGCAAGATTATATTGAGCTACATTGTTTCCCAAATTTGCTGCTTTGTGATATAATTCAAATGCTTTTTTCATATTAGTATCAGTTCCAATTCCATTTTCATAACAATATCCTAACATATTTATTCCGCTTAAATTTTCTCCTTCTGCTGATTTTTTGAACAATTCAAAAGCTTTACCATCATTTTTATTAACACATTTTCCTTCTTTATACATTAAAGCAAGATTATATTGAGCTATATTATTTCCTAAATTTGCTGCTTTTTGATATAATTTAAATGCTTTTTGCTTATTGATACAAGTTTTTATTCCATGATAATTAAGATACTCAAGTAAATAAATAAAATTTGAATTAATTTGATTATTTGCAAGCCAATTACAGATTTCTTGCGAGTTTATTTCATGATCATCAATATAATTAAGAACATGTTGTTTTCTTACTTTCTCTTCTTTCCCTTCATTTACTTCCTTAAAAATAAGACTAACAAATTCATCAATCATTCTTTTAATTAAAAAGTAGTTTTTAAATTTATCAAATTTATTAACTACTTGGTTCATAGATGGTCTATTGTTTGGTTCACCATCCCAACACTCTATAATAGATGCATATATGAAATAAATTTAAAAATACAATATTGCAAATTAAAGTTGAAAAGTATATATATATTTACCGATAAAAAGATTAGAATAATCAATAGGAGTATCTGATACAATTGTTTCTCTATAATCTTGTAAAATTTCCAGGTTCGAATTACCATCACATGATTCCAATTTAAATGGTGGTTGTCCACTTGATATTTCCCATAGAATCATGCCAATACCGCAAACATCATTCTTTTCATTTAATGAATATTGTTGTGTAGTAGACCCTTTGGGATCAGTGTATAGAGCTGTATCAAATCTCGTTTGTTGTTCAGATACCTTTTTCATTCTATTTGATAATCCAAAGTCAGCCAACTCGACGGTATTTTGATGGATTAGCACATTGCCAGAGTGCTATTATAACATAGCAGATTAATGAATATAAATAGATAAATAATTGTTAACTGTTAAATTATTAATGAAATAAATTTACCAAATCACCATGCACGATTCCTTTTTCATGTAAATTCGATACAGCGCAAACTATCTGGTATGCTAATTCGTATTTATCTTCCCAAGTGAGACTCGTAAAATTTTTTTCCAAATAAGCTCGAAGAGAACAATCATCAGCACTACCTATTAATTTATTAATTTTATTTGTTATAAAGTTAAATATGAAGTGTTTTATTCACATGTGGAATATGCATATTTTACCTTTGTCTGTAATTCCGTAATCTTTTTGCTGAAGTTTACGTTAAATTATAAATACAAATGATTACTGTAGTTAAGCATATATTGTATAAACAAATAAATGTTATTTACCTCCTGTTTTATTTTTTTAACAAATTTGCCGATTTTTTGAATATTATTATCAGCCATTATTACTGCGGAAAAGTATTTTAAAAAATAAATCAATAAATAAAATTGGAAAAAAACTTTTAGATATTTTTTTTGTTCTTTGTTTTTCTATTAGTGTGAGCGTAAGTATCGCGTATTGCCTTTATAAAGTATATTGGCATTGTTAAACTGTGCCACAATTTGCTACAAATTCGGTAATAATACAATGAATACAATGCTAATTGAGTAATTGCCGATTCCGTATTTGTGTAACGATGTAACGAACACGAAGAATACGAAGAAATTAAATTTAGAATTTTCGAAATTCTGAATAAAAACATTTGCCCCTAAGAATTAGTAGCCAGTAGACGTTGCTTAAACCTGAATGGTATTGTTTTTTATGTACGCACTGAATGGTTTAGTATGCAAATAGGTATTATTTTATTAATTAAATCGTTACGGTATGATATAGTGTAACAGTAATGACATGGTACACGTAGTGGCCATTTTCACTAATCAATGAAGGGCTCTGTGGTCGATATAGCCCCATATCCAATAAAGCGTTATCGTTCTGATGCTTTTGATCATGCATTAATTATAACAATAGTCATAAATAAGCTTCATCTTTCTATTAATCTCATTTTTATGCCATTTTTAATTCACTTATCTAAACTGCTCTGATAAAAATTTTCATTTACATCATTTACTCCACCTTATCATGCATTATTGTTATGCTTAATAAAAAATATCGGTTTGCATGGGCTGAACGATAACAATAATTACTGGTATGATAATCCATTTACTAATCATACCGTACCTGCTGTATTGTCGTATGTATATATTACTACTACTAAAGTTACAGGCATGGTACGAAGCCAAATATATAAAGATCGTACTTGTAATAACACAAGCCCTGATTATTAAAGAGTGTTCAAATTTCGACAATTAAAGATAAAGAAGCTGAAATTGTCCAGCTAAAAGCAAAAATAAGCAGTTTATAAAAATAAAAGATTATTATAAGTTTACTAAATTTTTATTAGTAAAAAAACCTCCAAATTGTGATGAAGCAACTGAAAAATAATAATTCCATTTATACACTATGCACTATATATTAAAGTTGTCAAATCTACTTACTTTATTTACTTTATAAAAATTTATTTGATATTATGCACTTATATATTTTTTTTAAACATGCGAAAAATTGTTATCTAAATTTGAATTCTTCTATCATTTCTTTTTACAATAAATAAAATCATTCTTCACAATTTTTTAAATTTTTCTTACAAATGAATTAAGTTCTTGTGATCGACCAAAGGTTATTTATGTAATACTGTGATTCCTTGGTACGATTGGCATAGTCTATGATTAATATTACCTTACTTATATCGTACCGACGTACCGTCATACCGTACTACTTTACAATATTACTCTATGCAAATCCATACATGTAGTGTACAAATTTTTTTTTTTATATTATTGGAATAATTACAAACGTAATTAATTCCAAAGTAAATACGGTACATTGTGTCAATAACGTATCTATCTAATGCAAAATTTGAATTTATACTATAAAAAAACCCTATTTTGTAACTTAGTCTATTATAGTACTACAGATTACTCTATCACGTAATTACTCGCTATCGCTAAGACGCTAACTTCTCTGGCACCCTGATCTTGCGCTGTTTACATTCTTTATCTTTTGAACTTTCTGATTTACCATTAATAATTTTAACCCTATCACTAAGACCTGCTTTTGAACCGTCGAACTTGCAGATCAATACATGATGATCATATCGTAACAAATAGTATTCAATTTAACACCAATTTTATTTATTAAACCAAAATTTAATTTCCTAATTCTTTGCGCAGTTTATATTTCTAATTCTAGTTTTTCAACTTCTGCTAAAGCTCTACGATTTTCTTTTCAGCTAATTGCATTTTTCGTTCTCCAATTTCTATTTGCAAAATGGTATGCTGTCTATCAATCTCAAATGAATTATGTTCTTGATCATAAACTTTATTAAAAGTTATCAAAAAAAAGGAATAAAGAAAAAGCAAATAACTTGTAAATAAAAAATCAAATCAGCATTGTTTTTAAAAAGTTTAGTTTTTTTAATCATGCAATAGATATACTAAAATTAATCAATATGAGTCATTTATAACTAGGCCCCAATTTCCAAATAAACCTTTCTCGTTTGTTAGTTTACCATATAGATTTTTTGTTATTACAATGTAACGATTAATAATATGATATTTGGACTGATAACCAATAAAATTAATCCTTATTAGTAGTCAAACTATACTGCGTAAAACCATACAGTACATACATAAATACATGATTGCTATATAATGATTCAGGCATTCAGCATATATAGTATCTTAATATCTTATACTTAGTGTGTTTGAAAAAAAAATTTCTTAGTTGTCAGAAAATATGTTTTGGCAAAAACATTATATAGTTTCGAGATTTCAAAAATTTAATTACTGGATGCTGTAATAGACTATAACTTGCATCATTTTATGCAATTGATGCCGTTTTCAAAATGGTGAAATTTTATGGGGAGAAAGCGTCGTCCTTTAGGATACAATATAAATAGAAATGTACATAATGTAATACAGCATGTTTTACGTAGATAAAATCGAAATAATATATTATCTAACGTTTAAACTTCAACTGGAGAATGATTAAAAAGTTTAAATATAAGTTTAGAAACCCATTTGATTCAAAAACTAGTTCTCAAAATTTATGGAAAGGATACAATGACGAATATCAGGTAAAATATAACCAAGCTAATAATTAAACCAGCGTGATCATCACTTTGTAATTGAGTCAATTAATAATTTATTTAAAAGGTACATGTTACAACCTCTCATACTGAATCAGAAGATATTAGTGAATTATGCGAAAAAATGGTTTATATGGAAAATTTAGAAAAAAGAAGGGAAGTATATGGAATATGTGGAGAATGTAATGAACTTGGGACAGGAAAAGAATGGTGTCAATCTTGTAACGCTAAAAGGTTTAAGGAAAATTTTGAAAATTGGACTAGCGAAAACAAAAATATTGATGAATTAATTCAACAATCGCAACTTAACGCCGTACTGTACATTATACAAAATGTCTTGAATGGGTACCTTATGAAAATTTTAAAAATGTTAATTATATTGCCAAAGGAGGTTTTAGTCGCATTTATACGGCTGACTGGCCTGGATACATTTGCAATTGGGATATCGAAAATCAAAATTGGAAGAGGATTCCTGAAAAGGTTGCACTAAAAATTTTAGATAATTTTTCTGGTATAATTACAAATTTTTTAAATGAGGTAGTTAAATAAATAATTTGTACTTAAATTACAGATTGTGTGTTTACTAAAAAAAACTTTTTAATATTTAGGTTAAATCTCATCTTGAGATTTATATTAGCAGTATTATTCAATGTTATGGAATAACACAAGATCCAAAGACTAATGATTACGTAATGATTTTAGAATATTGCGAGGATGGAAATTTGAAAGATTATTTAAAAGTAAATTATGTAGACTATGGATTAAAAATTGACCATTTATTACAAATTTCAAAAGGAATTTTGTATATTCATAACGCCGAAAAAGTTCATAGAGACCTTCATCCAGGAAATATATTATTTAATAATACACCATATATAGGTGATTTTGGAATGTGTAAATCAGTAAAAAATGAAAATAAAGAAAAAATTTATGGAGTATTACCTTACGTAGCTCCAGAAGTATTTCATGATCATAAATATACGAAAGCAGCAGATACTTACTCATTTGGAATAATAATGAATGAATTTTTATCTGAAACAGCTCCTTATAAAAATATTCTTTATGATCATAAGAAATTAGCGATGCATATATATGAAGGTCTTAGACCAACAATTTCCGAAGACACGCCAGAATTACTTGCAGACTTGATAACTAAATGTTGGGATGGTAAAGTTGAAAATAGACCAACTACTAGAGAATTATATCAAATTTTAAATATATGGAATAGAGAAAAATATAAAAACACAGCAAAATTTATTTTCAAATAAAACATTGTGAAACTAGATTAAAGTCATTGTACGCTCAAACATATTATTCACATAAATCAGACGAAATTATACTAAATAAATCAAACGAAAATATATTTCGAAGTCTAAAGTATATGAATAAATCAAACGAAAATAAATTTCGAAATCGAAAGTATTCAAAAAGCTATTCGAATACTCCACTAATTTCGACAGATTCACGTAAGTATATTTTATTTGACTTAGTTATTAAATTATTGTTTATTAACATCATTTAATTAATAGTTAGTAGTCTGGCGAGTGCTCTCAGTTGCCAGTTATAAAAATTCTCAAATTTATAGAAAAATTTACTTATTAAGGATGGGAAGGTGTGGCGATAAGAAATTTTTTACTGATAATTTGATTACAGTATCTAGCAAAGAATTGGAAGGTTGATGTAAATCAAAATTTAAATTTATTTACGTATATTTTTTACGAGTTAACATTTAAATAAAATTTTAAGAAGATAAACAACACACTAGAAAATACTTATACTTAAGAGAAAAGATAAATCTTACATTCTTACATTAATAATTAATAAAAAACCATTATGAGTTTGGCCTATTTCACTCCGAAGACACAAACCTCATTATTAATATGATTTTCTTCTACTGTAACTACACCTTTAATTTCTACCACCCACTTTCATAAATTACTAACGTAGTTAACGTATATCATAAAATCTTGGCACCAAAATACATAAATCATCTAGTTCATATTTTAAAATTTCTGTTAATGCCATTTTTTCGCAACGAGGTTTCTAAATATTATTATTAAAAAATAGTGTCTAAAATCATAAAATCATGTTTTTTGTAATTGTTGGGTATGATTATTAATTAATTGTAAAGATATTATAAATTAAATCTACAAACGTTAAATCTTTTGAATCAAATATTGTCTAGTGAATTAGAAATCTGCTGCGTATATTCAGATAAAATTGCATGTATTAATTCCATTCTTGGCGTAATAGGTGGACGATCAAAATTTGATTTTATAATATGGTCACAACTAAAGAAAGATCCTTTCCTGAATTTTATTTATAATTAAAAGATAATCTTTTTCCTTTTCGTTTACAAGTTTATTTAATATTTATTTAATTAGAATTTGTACAATAAGCAACATAAAATTTTTCACTTTTAAATGTTTTAATACGATAAAAAAACTTTTTTTAAATAAAATTTTTTTCTAAATTTTAATTCTAAATTTACATTATCTATGAGTTATTCAAGGTTAATTAATATTCAGGATATTTTCTTTCACTCATCTATTAATTATATTTTTATATACATATATATACATATTTTCTAAACTTACGTGACTTTTTCTAAATAGTGAACCATCAAACGGTTTCATTATCTATAATGCAAATATTTATACTTCAGATGATACTTTACCAAAAATTGAATCATTTGTAGTAACGAATGGTAAATTTGTAGATGTTGGCACCAAAATTGATTTAATGAAAAAATGGAATGGGTTGAAAGTAAGTCGTTTTTACAATTTTCCTATTTCCTTTGATTTTTTCTTTTGTCTTAAAATTTAATGAGAATAAGAATTTACTTTAGTGTATTGATTTACAAGGTCGTACTATCTTACCTGGACTAATCGATGCACATGTTGTATGTATCAAATCGATTTTTTAGAGCATTATAATTATTTATTGGTTATAAAATTTTGTCTATATAGCATTTGATGGGTTTAGGAGAATCTTTGACATCGGTGAACCTCGTGGGAACAAGATCCGTTGAAGGTAACTCCTTGAACTTCTCTTTTGTATCATAATCACATAAAAAATTTAAATTTTTGATTTCTTAATAGAGGTACGCGAAAGAATTCATGAATACATCAATTCACACCCCGAAATAGATATTACTACAGATTGGATTACAGGATGGGGATGGGATCAAACACAATGGACATCAAAATCATTTCCAACTTTTGTGCGTATATTATATTTTTGTCCTAATTTATTAATTTAATTTTTATAAAAAATATGTAAAATTTATAATTTGTTCTTTGGCAATAAACAGGAAGATTTAGATTGTGATCCACTAATCAAGAAATATTCAATTTCTTTATCACGTATTGATGGACACGCTTTATTAGTGAATAAAAATATATTAGATAAGCTAGTAAAGGTTCCTGAAACTGTTGACGGTGGAGAAATCGGAAGAGATAGGAAAACCGGTGAATTGACTGGAATTTTTATTGATAATGCTATGCAATTAATTAGTTGAGTATTTAACAATTCAGGGAAGAGAATATTGTAAAAAGTCATTTAATTTGATAAAAAAAATTTATTTTCTTTATAATATCAGAGAAAATTATGCCTTCGCCTAGTGAACAATTATTATTACAGCAATTACGTTCGGCAATTTCCAAAATGCACTCTTTTGGATTAATTGGAGTGCATGATGCAGGAATTCCATTAAATATACTTGAATTCTTCAAAAAGTATATCTCAATGATTTCTCTTATTTTTTATAAATATTTTAGATAATATTTTATTGTTAATAATATAACATTTTTTTAGAATTATAAATGAACAACCGGAAGAATTTAATATCCGAAATTATGCAATGGTAGAAAGTTTAGAAAATACGTATGATGGTGATTATGTTGAAATAATTGAAGGATTAGGTGATGGAAGGCTGACTGTTAGAAGTGTTAAATTCTTTATGGACGGTGCTTTGGGAAGTTGGGGAGCAGGTTATTATCAATCAATCGATCAATTTAATTTTGTGTTATCATTTCTACGTGTTAAATATTGATTTGTTCACTTTACGCACTTTATAACATAAACTACGTTTAATTAGCATTATTAGAACCTTATTCTGGTAAGTTTATTTGAAATATATATATATATATATATTGAAACTGTCTAAATATCATTAGCTTATAAAAGATGATCCAACGAAACAAGGACTTCTCATATCTGATCCTACATTGTTACCACCTGTAATCAAAAAATGGATCGATAAGGTAAATTTTACATCCAAATGCATTGATACTATTTTATATTCAAATTATTGAATACATGGTTGTTAAAAAATGAATTAGGGATTTCAAGTGAATACGCATTGTATAGGTGATAAAGCAAATCAACTTATAATTAATGCGTATGAAAAAGCTTTTCGAGAATATGTATTATCACAAAATGGTGATAAAAAATTAACAGAACAAGAAGTGAATGATGAAATGAAAAAGTTAGCAGAGAAAGTTAGATTTAGAATTGAACACGCTCAGATTTTGGTAAGCTACATATTTTTATAGACTAAAATGTATTAAATATAAATTTTAAAGATTTATTCTTTGGGATAATCTAGACTTTGGAAGATATTAAACGCATTGGTAAATTAAATATTATACCATCCATGCAACCTACTCATGGTAAATATATGAAATCTTTCGTATTTCTCGTTAATTACATGTTATTTTTGAATTAATTTTTTTCTCTTGATAACTCTGGATAGCAACTACTGATATGGCATATGCTGAACAAAGACTAGGTAGTGAACGTATTAAAGGTGCATATGCATGGAGAAGTTTGATAGAAGCAGGGTATTGTTTCCACAAATCAAATTACTTAGTCACATTAATTTTGTTTATAGTTAATAAATATATTTATTAATTTTAGAGTAAAGACATTCCCGCTTTCTTCCGATTTTCCTGTTGAATCTGTAAATCCATTTTTGGGAATTTATGCTGCTATTACAAGAAAATGGGTTAACGGGCAATCTGTAAGTAAAAAAAGAAAATGTTTATCATTCTTTTTATACTTCAATCAAATGTTTATAAGCCACATTGAAAATGTAGCCTCATGGAGAAAACGGATGGTTTCCTTCACAAAAATTAACGCGTCAAGAAGCATTGAAAGGATTTACTATCGATGCAGCTTATGCAGCATTTAATGAAACTATTGTAAGTTTATTTTATTATTCACTGTTAAAAACTGTACAAAATTGGAAATTAAGCGTATTATTTTTTCCTGTAGATGGGATCCATTTCTATAGGAAAATACGCGGATTTTATTGTTATTGATAGGGATATTATGGAAATACCTGAATCGCAAATTGTAGATACACAAGTATTAGCAACTGTGTTCGGAGGAAAAGTTGTTTTTGGTAATTTACTATTTTAAAGATTAAAAAATTGTTTTAAAGGAAAATAAAGAAAGAAATTCGAAATTTTTTATTTGATTTACCGTATAACGGGGGTACCCCAGGATGATACAAATTTCAACTTATACCCTACCATTCACCTTATTATTATTAGTAGAAAACGTATAATAATTGGGTATTATCATTTATCATGCGCAATGCCTAAATTATAAAATCAGTAGTTTTTTGCATGGTGGGTACTTACTGTGGCACTACCGATGCCCGCAAAATACGGTAATCAAAATTTTACTCGGCAGGCTTTGATCGTTTTAGTAAAATCACACATCTAATCTTGCGAATCACGTGATATCAAATGGAGAATTAAATTTGTTAAATCGATTGGATAAACCGCATTAATTTTTCCTTACTATGAAATGGAAAACACGGTAGAGTTAAATGTAAATCACCTTATGAGCTTAAAAGCTGCTCGAAATTTCTACGAGAATTCACAGCCTATTACAGCTTGCGATTTTGATTGCACCGGAGAATTCTGCGTAACTGCTTCAGCTGATGAATCGATTAACTTGTACAATTGCGTACAAGGAAGGTAATATATTCAATTTGTAGAATCTACCTAGTTGTTTTTTTTATTCCAATTAGCATCAAAACTGATATGATATATGAGGATTAGATCTATTATACTCAAAATTTCCGCGTATATTTCCTTACATGTTAAATAAATCAATTTTAACACTAACCCTTCTGTTCTTTTATTTTGCAGACATAAAAAGTTAATTCTTAGCAAAAAGTATGGAGTGCATCTAACACGATTTACCCATCGACATACGGATATTATATACGCGTCAACAAAAGAGAATGGTAACTGGTTCGTCATTCTTCCAATCAATAATTATTTTAATAAACATTGAATCGTGATTATTGTACTGATCTAAACGTGAACTTTGTTTAAATAGATACGTTGAGATATTTGTCACTGCATGATAATCAATTCATAAGATACTTTGAGGGGCATCAGAAAAGGTATTATATTTAATGTCGCGCATAATTAATAAATTATACCGGTAATAACATTCTCCTGTAGGGTAGTGAGTTTAGAAATGTCGCCTGTGAGCGATCAATTTGCATCTGGCGCTGTAAATGAAGGAGTGCGGCTATGGGATTTACGTCAACCTACTTTTCTTGTATGTAAAATGATTATGTACCCTATTATTAATTTCATATATATTTTTACATAGATTAATTTATTTCTAATTTTGTTCATAGGGATTTATTAATATTGAAAATGGAAGACCTTGTATTGCGTATGATCCTTCTGGCATTGTTCTTGCGATTGGACTTCAGAATCATGACAACGTCATAAAATTATTCGATATAAGAAAGTTTGATCAAGTAAAAATTTAATAAAAATTTTTTTCTTTTTGTAAGATTTTTATTTACAAAAATAAACTCATCACTTTTTTCATAGGCACCGTTTACAACATTAAATGTGATAGATAATTACGCGTTACCTTCTTCACATCCACGTCCTCCAATACAACCTGAATGGACGTCCATAAAATTTAGTAACGATGGCGACAAAATCCTTGTTACAACATCAGGAGATGTACATTATGTAACTGATGCTTATAATACCGATATGAAAAGACGATTAATAGGCCATGTTGGATTAAATAATGCATTGCAATTATTAGGAGGAGAAGAGACGAGTTGGACCCCCGACGGTCGTTTTGTAGTTGGAGGTAGTATAATACTAGTGATGGTTTTATATTCGATACTATCATCATATATATAGTGAGTTCATGCAAAAATTAATTATTCTCTTTTAGGATCGCAAGATGGAATGTTAAATTTTTGGGACATAGAAGCACCTCTAAAAAATTCAATGATACTTGCAGAAGGAATAGATTCTCGACCGATACACACACTAGAGTATCATGTTAGACCAACGCAAGTTGTTAGATTCAATCCCGCAAAATTGATGATGGTTAGCGGTTGTACAGATCTGGTGAGTTATATTTAATTACCGTTTGATGCATATAAAATAGAATCGTTTTTGGTTCGTAATCGATCATAGTTCCCCACATTTTTATTTGAGTATTTTACTTGTGGTTTTTAACTGATCGAAGAATAAATAAAAGAAGTTACCTAATATAAGTTGTTTTCGAATGGCTTATTGAGGTTCCTTGCTGATCTAATTTTTCCACTCCGGGTTTTATAGTAATTAATAATATATTATCCGGATAATTACGATCAACATTTATTAACATACTTTATTTTTTGTTACTTTCTTTTTCTTTCAAGACGTTTTGGTTACCATCATTTGAGAATCCAGACGAGGAAAAGGAAAATATGGCTGATATATCCATCCCACCCGCATCTAATGCACCGCAAAACATAGCTCCACCGAGTAGTGATAGTGTGATTACTATGGACTTGAATTATAATCAATCTACTATCAATAATAGTAATGGTAGTTATGATAACGCTACTGGTGGTACTGTTGGTATTGTAAGTACTACTGATTTTAGCGAGAAAAATGATGATAATAATAATAATAACGATAAAAATAACGATAATGATAACGAAAATAATAATAATAATGGTGGAGGCGGAAATGAAAGTGCATCATTATTAAATACATCTTCGCCACCATCGGCTGTACCACCGCCAACAACGAGCGGAGATGATGGTGATAATAATTTCACGAATGTTATAGATAATGGAAATATTGAAAATACTGGTGAAATTACAACCTCCGATATTTCTACATCAGAAGCTAATCAGATGGTTATTAGTAGTAATGAACCCGAGAATAATCAAAGTTCAGAAGCACAGGGTCCTTCATCTGATGGTGGAGAAATAGATATTATGAAAACCGATTAATTTTAGAAATAATTTAATAAAAAAAAAAAAAAATTTTTTTTTATTACAACATTTAAAGACAACACAATTATTAAAAAAAAAAAAATTCTTTATTTGAAAATTTACAATTTGCTTAATATATATTTATATTATTTATATTATTTATATATTAAATTCTGAATACATTATACACACTAGGAATGTCTTTTTCTAAAAAAAAAAAAAAAAAATTATTTACTAGAAGGAAAGAACTCTTTTTTTTAAATAAAATATTGAAACCCCAATTTAAGTTTTAACAACTTAAATTTGGACGCCTTCCCAAAAAAGCTTCTCTCAAAACTGCATTAATGGACTGGTACTCAGATTTTTCTGAAGAACTATTAACATATCCATCATTTTGAAATTGATGATGACGATCATGATCCAACCCAAGATTCATTGAATCATCGTCTATTGAAGATGATGTTCCATTTCCTACCAATCGTTCTCTTTCATCAATTTCCATGCATCCAAGATCATCCTGTAATTCATTCACAATGTGTGATGTTCGCGTCAAATTAGCAAGATACAATACTGAATTGATGTTCATGTAAGGATTTAGGAGTTCAGCAGAGGAGGAAGAAGAGGATGCATTCGATCTTGTTGAAATTCGAATTGGATTACGATGAAGTTTATGAACATTTTGATTTAATAAATAAGTATCGTCTAAAGATTGTTGTTTACGGTGAAATTGATGATATTGATAAGATGGTGAAGTATACTCAGTGGTATCTGCAAGTGTTGAATATGATGATGGTGTTCTCGGTGATGATTCTGAGCTTGAGTTAGTGAATTCGGATGGAATCACTCTGTTAAATTACATAAACAGCCTTAATTTAAATATAATAAATGAAAAGAAAAATGAAAAATGAAAAATGAATTTGTTAATTTTTTTCAAAAGAACCTTGAAGTATCATGGTCTAAATCTAGTCGCATTCTCTTTAAGTCATTTTGCATTATATTTTCTGTTCTTTCTTCAGTTTTATTTTTGACATTTATAACAACTTCACCATATATTTCTCCACTTTCCATGCCACTATCACTTTCTTCGTCTGAAACGCGTGTTCTTTTCTTAGGTCCAAGTAACATTATGTAAACTAAATGTAGTTATAAAAGAAAATTATCGATAGCTACAACAATTATTTTTCGAACTATCGTTTAAAACTAAAAGGGCTGTTATTTAAAACTTGTAATAAATGAAAGCTTGCAATAAGCGAAAACAAAAAAAAATTGTTTTTTAATAAAGTATGAGAAACTTTTAAGTGTCCGCTTAATTTATAGTTTTTTTTTGTGATAATTTAGGAACCAAATTGGAAAACAAAAAAGTTACACATATAAAAATTGTAACAATGATACTTTTGACACTGAACTTTAACAAATCAGTTAATTTCTAGGATGACGTACACAGTACACTTAATCATCCACGTCTTTGTTCAAAGCATTTACAATTGCTTTTTTAAGTACCGTATATGCTTTTATTTTTTGCTTTTTTGTCCATCATTTTAAATTTAGAGATTTCTTACTTGTTATTATTGCCTATGCTTTTGTTTTTTTTTTTTAATAAAAATCTTAGCACAAATAACCTGTGAACGAATGATTTTTCATATTCTAATATAAATCTGAATATAATTAAAGATATATATTTAATCACTATTGATAGTTTAAATTAACTAAAATTAATAAACAAAATCATGAAAGCTATAAATATTTATAAAATACCTTTTATTATAAATGTTTGTATTACTAATTTATATATTAATAAATAAATGTCAAAAAAAACTTATTTTTTAACAAATAATTATTATATATATATATATAAAATAAATTACCGTATACAATTACTTGACCATTTATATAATTATAATAATTTTTATATAGCTATATACTTCTTGCATTTGTAATGTTATTAATATAAAATAAAATAATATTAAAACTTTTAATTTTTATTAATATTATTTTTAAAAATCAGTAAATAAGTTAAATATAATATAAATATTACAAAAAATATTTTGTAAATATTAATAAAAAGTTCTTAATTTTTAAGATATTTTAATTATTAATTAAACTAGTATAAAATAATATATATAAAATTATATAAAATAATAAAAATATATAAGCTATTAATATTAACTTTAGTATTAAATATCCTTTATAAAATTATATTTTTAATTAATTTATTTAATAAAATTTAATTAATAAATTTTATTTAATATATTAGAATAAAAATATATTTAATATTATCAAAAAATAATATTTAAAGCAAAAATATTACTTCTTTATATATTAATCCAATTTTCTTTAAAAATATAATGAATTAATTAAATTATTATTAAATTAAAAGTCCAATTTTTCATATACTATAATGGTATATTTTATTAAATTTTAAAATAAAACTTTCAAAAAATTTTTAAATAAAAATATTACAAAGTTCATTTATAAATATATACTATATTATTTATTTATTATATTTACTATTTTAAAAGTAGAATTGAAAAGTTACATCATATTAATAGTATGCATAATATTTCTAATTAATAATCTGTTAGCTTTTTAGATTAATAAGAAAAATGCCACTATATACAAATAAGAAATACTTGAATAAAATTATATGATTTATTGATAAAAAAAATAAAATAGAATGTAATTCTATAATCAATTTATATTTTTTAAAAATTTGTAGTTATAATTATGAAAATTCTATATATTTGTTATTAATTGATTATAGTATTATGCTTTCTGGATATATCTGCTAGTTGGATAGGATGCTATGAAAGAAATGTTTTATATTTACATAAAATTTATTTAGTTACTGCTTTCAGTAGGATTAAACTTTAAGTTCTAAAAACCAATGATCTAAAATAAATTTGATCATATGGCTATTAAATTTTAAAGGGTTACAAATTATAAATATTATAATGTATATATTAAATTCTTCATATATAGGATCGGTTCACTGAACCCTAGAAGTAACCTTCTAACACTTGACAAGTTTTCGTAAACAGAACAACTATAAAATTTATAAACAGATCAAATTTATAATCATAATCAAAATATCATTTTTTAAATAAATACAGTACATATGACAGTGATTTAATAATTTAATATCAAAAACAAAAAATATACAATTTAAATAATAAACAAAGAAATTTTTTGTATGTGACGTAATCTATGTTCTAACAGCCCCTTTCCTTCCCGGTGGTTTAGGTCTAGAAAATGATTTTGGTGCAGTATCAATCACTGGATATAATTCTTCCAAAATGTATTCTTTAGTAAGTTCAGCAGGCTCATTCGTTTCCAGCTATATAAAGATAATTCAATTAGTTAATGCTTTAATAGCTAATAAAAAGCTTTTAAATATTATTTACCTTTTTAGTGATCGTGATGTTGGCTTCACTTTCACCAAATGTAATCACGGAACCTCGACATGAAGAATATAGCATGCGCTCACGAATTTTTGAATTCTGGGGACAAATATATATAAAAACTAAAAAAAAAAAAAATGAATGCTAATATAATTTATGACCAAATCATTAAAATTTTATTAATAATTACTATTGGATCTAACATCCTGTCCGTTATGCGTATGCTGATATACGTAAAAAGCAAATCTTGGAGAGTCGGTAGGAAAAGAGCTTGCAAGGTCGTTAATATCGATCTTTCTAACTTCATCAAGTTCGATCTTTTCTTTATCAGTATCCAATGACTATAAGTGAATCAACATATAAAACAGGTTATAATCATCACAAAATCCTTGAAATATCAAGAATATAATGATACTTACTAGTTTAACAAAATTATTTGTTAAATCAGATTGTTGCAAACCTTGTATAGCTTGCACTGCTTCGTCAGACATTGGAAAAGAAATTCCCGCAGCATGAGATTTACGTGCCGAATAACTAAATGCATTCGCGCTAGCCTGTCATATAATAAAAGAAAACTTAAAACAGTTGAAAATAATTAAAAATTAAGTCAATTAAGTCAAACATCTTTACTTCGGCAATTTTCACTTCGGCTAATTCCTTCTCGCGTGCTGTTAATGGCGCTTCGGCATCCTGATGTTTTTTATGCTTTTGATATCCTTCTAGTGTAAATTCAGACTATATATAGTATAAATAGTAAAAGATAAATAATAAATAAAATATCATCATAGGTTACAGGCTGGAAGGATTTAAGAATATTTAACTCACTACTGTAGTACCATACATAGAATCAACAAAGTGAGTGTCTCCTAACTCTTTTGATAAAGTCGCACGTGTCGACGCATACAACATTTTATCTCTGACCTAAATTACAATTCGAAAACTGTTAAAAGAACTTGAATAAATTATAAAAATAGAAATTATCATTTCAAAATACCTTAGCGAGATCAGGAACGTAGGCCATAAACAACCATTCATAGTTTTCTGTTAAAGATTTTGAATCAAGTCGATAAAGAATGTAGCAAGGCACCTTCTCTTCTAAGAATTCACCAACTCCCGCAAAGTCTATTGAATGATCATCACAATTTAAGAATAGGAACGATAATTATTAACAACAAAGTTCAGAATTATTACCAGAATCCGAGTTGCCAGAAATATCCTTTGTACCGTTCGGAACTAGTGATTCTATTAGAGTAATTGAATAAATACGCGCAATTATTGCTCACATTTAAAAAACCGTATGATGTAAAAATACTCAAAAAACTACCATTAACAATTGATACGCGAATAATTCTTAAATTATTTTTGTTAACGGCATTTGCAAATAAGTCCGCGAGCTCTTGCGAAACTAAAGGAGAAATAAGAAAGTAACTCGTCACATAGTGATAATATATTTATCTAATAACTTTGATAAGTACTAACCTCGAATTCCAGATTGGTGAGACATTTTGAAAGTAAATATTAAAGCACCGCTTCGAGTTTTGTCTAAAAGAAAATGATCTGTGCGACACGACCCTGGCAGCGCTGCGTTGATTTCCTGATTTGGCTATATTAAAGATCCTATTTTTTATTGGTCAATAAAGTAAATAATATGAAATGACTCATGCCGTGACTTGGTTGATTCTTTTACAACGTGAAATCTAAATCTAAATGCCAGCTACTATTCAGATCCCAAAAGGTATGAAAGTTTTAACCTTTGTAAATATACCATTTCTTAATTGCTGTCACATTATTTTGTAAAACCATCTTCCTCGAACCAATCGGCAGACCGTATATCTCACACCCCTTGTTAGATGTGTTTGTCAGGCTTAAGCCTGCAATCGATGGAACTTCCATTCAGGGCATCTTATTCGGTCAACGTGAAGAATGTCTAGATCGTGGATTAGTTATACACGTGAAGGTCAGTATTTATAATTTGTAGAAGTTTGAGACGTGTCCTAAATTTCTTTTATGCTTTTTTTTTTAAAACTATTAGGGATTTTATCCTTATAAAGCCAATTTGCAAGATCTTGATTGTACGGTTGCAAAGTTAATGAACTGGAAGGGTCAAACAGTACTTGGCTGGTTTGCAGTGAGTTTCACGTTGTATTGTAAATTATATTTTACTGTATTGCGTTTTCGAACTTTAATCATCTTGTTAGGCTCCTGGATCAGACATAACATCACGTTTTGAAACAGCACGTATAGCTTCGGCATATTTCCGCACTATACAGACATCAATGCTGAAAGTAATTGTCTGTAATTTTCTCGGTCAGCATACAGGTAACAAAAGTTATCAATTATTAATCAGCTTATAGACTTATTTATATGACTTATCAGTTGTCAACGGTTTGTTTATATAATTATAATTTAGAAGAGAGTGAGGGAGAAGAAATCGTTCAAATGATTGTTCGAGAAGCATGCGCCTTATTTCAAGACCTTATAGGATTTGTTGTTCAAAGATTATCTAAAATACCGAATACAATGACTTCTACTACAATTATGGACACGGATTCGACGACGAGTCAAGCATTTTTCTCGGCACCAACATTTAATGAAGTATTGAGCCAATTTCAGAGCTTAAATCAAGAAACGAAGAGTGATATTACGGAAATGAACATTATGCAAGGATTAATAAATGGAATACCATCCATTAATGGTTTGGGACATAATGGTGTTTCAATAAATAATAATTTTAGGATAATGGATGATATGGAAGATGAAGACGATGATCTAGGAGAACTTTTCTCACCATGGGGAAATGGTCAAGAACTGGCGAATAAGAAATTAAGAACTAGGAGAGCTAGTACCACGGATATTGCCGATGGTCCATTGAGAAGAAACTTTGCAAATATCCCAGAATTTTTAGATGATATCCCTAAAAAAAGAAAAGGATTTGATATGGATAATAGTAATAGAAACACGGTAAAAAAGGTACTTTTATATTTAAATTTACATTTTGCTGAGTTTTTTATCAAATCCTAATTTGTCATTATTAATTACCTCAGGCAAAAACTCCCGTCAGTACTGTTACAAACGTGATTCCAGCGCCATTCAAAGTAATTCCCGGTCAAGCTTCAGAGTATTTTCAACAAGTTCACAGCGAAGACAAGTATGAGTTAAATTTTAAGTTAAAATTATATTCATTATTTAGTGAAATTTTATCCTTTTTCCTCATGTCCTTCTAATTAATTTAGTATACATTATTCTTCTGATTTTGACGAGTCTTTAATGACTCCTTACACCGCCTCATTCTTTGCTCCAATCAATTTTGGACAACCATCTTCGTCTCCTATAACTACTTTTGCCCAACACCGAATAACGTCCGCTTATGACGCGATATCTCATCATATTAATTCACATACTCGAGAAAAAATTTCTCGGTATGAAAAATCATGCCATGAGTACGAGTTGTTGTTGGAAATACTTGAAGCGTTAGACGGTGTTGGTGATGAAGTGGCTCTTGCAAAAAAATTGGAAAAATGGACAGAAGATGCTGAGGAGGATGAAGAAGAATTTGAAGAGGTATTAATAACTGATACTCGCGCTGCAAGTGAACCTAGATCAGAGGAAGTAGATATAGAGAGTTCTGATAGTGAACCTCAAGAATCCAATAGTGATAATGATCGAGAAAATGAAAATCCTGCCGACATGTTACCAAAGATAAAAGTGACTTCAATCAAATGTTGCGTAAATAATGAAAACAAAAGCGAAGATGGAGAAATGGACGATGGAACTCCATTAAATAACAATAATAATGGAATTGTTAACGGCGAGGTAAGTTCGTCTTCTTCTATGGAGGAGGGCGAAATTGAGGATGAAGAAGAATCTGGCATTACATGGCAATTCCAGAATTGTAGTGAAAATAAAAAAAGTGATGATTTATCATCATCTCTTTTTCGTAACAAAAATCTCAAATCTGAATCTTTTAATTTGGAAATTGGTAATGCAGGGGACAATAGTCCTGGATGGGCGTGGGATAACTAAGAAATTGAGAATTAGTTTGTGAATGAATGTTATTGATAGTAATATTATAATTATTTTTCATTTTTTATATTCGTATTTATAACTTGTTTGTATTTTGCTTATACAAAATACGAATTTATTTCTTTTTTTTTACTATTTTATTTTATTGAACGAACCTCATCTTACTTTTACCTTGACATTTATTTTACATCAATAGAATTCTTTGGTAACCCTAGCACATGTATGCTTTTTGTTATCAGAATTTCCGAAATAACAAATAATACGATAATACATATAATAATAATAATAAATAACCAAGACCAAAGAACCAAAAGATTTTTTTCTATTGGAACAAATGAATATGGATATTACTGTGTTTGTTTGTGTTGCGAAGAAATTTAATTTTTCATTGTATGTTTATATAATGGGTTATTGATGTTACTGATGTTATTATTATTTTATGGTAAGTGATATTTCACTCTACAAAATGCAAAGGTTATTGCGAATTTCGTTTTTATTAACGGTAATGTTTAGTTTTATTGTCAACGGTAGTAATTTTATGAATCTAATTTGGAAGCACTTTCTGAATGAAATTGTTTCCTTTATTTAACATGATAACTGTAATAAAAATAGATGCGTTAACATAACAATTCCCAGTTTTTCTGATGTTAAGAATTAAGAGTTATAATTTTTGAACCGTATAGATTACTAGTTTCTTACGTAAGGAACATTTATCATATCGCACTATTTCATCAGCCAATAATTATCCTTTTAAAGTAATAAATGTATAAAGATTTAAATTCTGTCAAATTCTGTTTAGACGAATTTCTTAGTATCATCCACTTATTCACAAATGAAATGTAAAATATAGATTAAATACGATTATAAGTGCCTTCGACAAGTAACCAAAATCATTTATAATTAAAGAACAAACTTAATCAAACAAAAAGGCCAATTAATTTCCTTAGAGGATGTAGAATCTTATTTATTAATCATTATCTAGTAACTTGCGGTAAATATAAATATGAACAATTCAATTTGTGAGAAATTCAAAGATTGATTATTCAATGCGAGTCAAGTCTTGATTACGAAACAAAACGTCGGACTGAGTAGAGCAGAATTTGACTACGCGTACTTTATTTCATATATTGTAAACAATTTTTCTTAAAAAAACTTCTAGGGTCAGTTTTTAGATTAGCATACAAATTCAAATCAATAGCAAATTAGGGTTTCGATCCAAATTCGGACTAATCATTCAATTCATTATTTCATCCAGAGGCCAGAGCTGTTGAATAATCTCAAGGATCCTAGGGGAATAAGGGGATCAGTTTAGATTTCCATACCTGTAAGTCTATCGTTGAAAACATGTACACGGGCAGTTTCGATGAACCGGACTATTCGAAAAATAAAGAAATCAGGCGGGCGGATCTTCGATAGACCCGGTGGAACCTTCGAAAGACCGAAGTAGGAAATTTATTTTCGATGTATCGCGAGACTGCCCGTGAGTTAAAAATAAACTTATTATTATACTATAATAATCCGTTCCATACCCAACTCCGGTATTTCGAAGTGTCCGATTGCTGATGAACAACTTTCTACTATGAAACTTTAAAAATTTATTTTCCGATTTTGAAAAGATAACATTATTAATAGAATTTGTCATCATTTTGTTTTTCGGGCACAGTAACATTTACATTAATAATATTATAACTTAGACTGTGCCTGCGGCAATTTACTTACCTAATTAGTCAATCAAATAATGAAATATGTTAACCAAAAGATCTGATCTGCATTTTGTTTTGAATATTCCATCATTTATTTAATGACCGCTTCTGTCCCATTTTTTTAAAAAATTTCCTGCTAAAAAACTAATGATGTGTTCTATCGCTGATAATAATTATACTTCAGAGTTATTAAATGACACTGAAAATGTATTGGCTAATTCTATGATTATAAACTCTTCACCATCAATATATTTTCCATTAACAGAAAACGACCGTAAATCTTTTAAAAATTTAAAGACCGGTAGAATTATAACAGAATTTCAATTTAAAGTATATGATCTTTGTTCTCAGGTAACGAGTATTAACTAACTCACATTTTCATAATGTTGTTATGATTTAATCTAATTAAGACCTCGATCAACTGTCTATTTTCTTTTATTGTGAATCCAATTTAGATTCCTGAAGGTAATATGATTTATATATTTTGAAATAAATTTTTACTTTTTTACTAACCTTTTTTTTCCTTAAAAAAAAGGGTATGTTTCAACATATAAGTCACTAGCAACAGCTCTATCATCATCACCACGTGCGGTTGGGAATGCACTCCGTGTTAATCCTTTTGCTCCTTCACCGATACCATGTCACCGCGTTATTGCCTCTAATTTCTTTATTGGTGGTTTTGATGGTGAATGGTTTGGTAGAGATAAAAAGGGAAAAGTTTGTGATCAAGATGATAATAAGAATAAAAATGAAAAAATTAATTCTAAATTAGAAAGATTAGCTAAAGAAGGAGTTTTTTTTGATAATGAAGGTTGGTTAATTGAATCGCAAAGGTCTTCTCATATTTTTAATAATTTTAGTCAAAATTAAATAACAATAAAGTCTGTTATCTAAACATTTTTTTATTGCGATTTTGTTCTTTTCTATTCGGTTTCTTTTTTTTTTTTAAAAAAAATTAATTATTATTAAATGTTCTAGAAAATATGAAAATAATTTGAATAAAATTATCCATGATTCTCAGCTCCTTTTTGGCCCTTTATTATACACAAATGTATTTTCAAATTTCAAAATATATCATTTACTTTGATCTTCTCCGTAATTTACAATTTCATTCTTAGCCGTTGATTTTCTTCACGAAGTCGTTCAACTTCTTCTCGTAATGACATTGTTTCTCCACAATATTTTAGAAACATCATTTCCATTTCCGTCTGTAAAAAACAAGGATTAGAATATTATAAATATAATTATAATAATCATTAAAAATAAAGATACCTTTTGAATATGGAACTGTCGTAACAATTCCAAATGCATATTTTGTATATCGTTTCGTAATGATATCCGAAAATCTTGCAAACATTCATCAACAACGCTTCCAATAACTTGAAGTTGAAAGCTTGTTGCTGTGCCTGTTGTACTATTATTACTATTTGGACTATTATTACTATTATTACTATTGGAAGTGGATGTGTCAAGATTTTTATCAACGATAGTAGTCCCATTAGGAATTATGTTATCAATATTACTATCACTATTGGATGTAACAGTATCGATTTTCTCATTAATTATAGCAGTCCCATTATTATTCATGTTATCAGCATTGCTACTACTAGCAGTAACAACAGCGGAGACAATATTTTCATTAGTTATAGTCGTCCCGTTATGATTTATGTGATTAATTTTACCGTTACTTGCGGAAGCAGTGGTAATGTCATTTTTGTTAGGAATTGATTCAAGATCCATAAAAGCTACCCGTTTCTTTGGACTTGTTGTATCCGGCAAAATAGAATCACTATTTCCAATTATCGGTAACTTTTGCACTTCATTTATTGCTTCTCCGACTTTATTGACTAAACGTGCTTTCAGGTTATCTATTATACCTGAACTTATTATATCGCTTTTGACTGGCGATGGAATTTTCGTAATATTTTTATTTGTTGTTTTATTTGTAGCTTTTACATCATTCACAACACTATCTTCAACCGAATCCTTGATCGGTGAAAACATATCCATGTAATTCTTTTCCTTTGATTCACTAGATGCTGGGGGAGATGGCGTTGGCGAAGCTTTTGTTGATCTGTTAGGGGAAACGAGAATTGATTCTTTTGATGATGTTCTAACATGACCGCTTTTGTTCCTACTCAAAGTAGGGCGTCGCACAGATACACGTTCTTTCTCCTAATATAAATTTAAACCGTGAATATTGATGCTTTTTGAAAAATTAGCTCTAGTAAATTATGGTTTACCTGAAATTGCAAACATTGAATGGGATGAGGCTCGTGCCCATATAATGTACACATAGCTTTGTTGTATGAACGTAAGTCATATATTAAAATCTTACCTATTGCAAGAAAAAAAAATAAAAAAATAAAAATTAAAATAAATCAATTATAAAATAAGCATATAGATGACAAATAAATTAAAATTTTGCAAGTACCTACCTTGCAGCGTACCAGCTGCTATAGTGACACAGTCCGCCCTAAAAGCTAAAGCCGTTAAAGGCGAATCTGTGTGTATATTTTTCAGACTCCTTTATTTTTATAATAAAGTTTAAGTATTAATATTTCTACACCAGAAAGAAATAACAAATGTTCAGGGCCATTCATGCTAACTCAATCTTGAAAATGATTAATTCATTTACATACTCTTTTTTGCTAACATCATATAAAACAATACGTTTATCCATTCCTGCACTTATCAACAAATGTTGATTGGAAGGAGAAAAGGCTATTCCCTTAATCTCTGAATGATGGGCTTTTTCATATTTCTGTATTGCTGTTGTAGATACACCAGTATCCCATAGTCGTAACGATCCATCATCACCTCCAGCAGCCAAAAGACCTCGTTTGACATAAGAGTATTGCAAAACATTTATTGGCTAAGAAATATAATATGTTAATTAATGATGATTAAAATAAAATTTAAATTTAAATACTTAAATAAATAAATAGCAATTTAACACACTTGTTTCGTCAATACAGTCAAATTATTACATGTATTTGATTTTTGACGGTTGTGAATAATGATATTTCCATTTAATGCGGAACTAGCCACGATGGATTCATCCAAATTCAAGTCGATACATGTTATAGTACTTCGATGACCCTAATATATTGTAAATACGATTAACAAGATTAAATTATTTAATATTCAATAAATTACTATGGACTTACTTTAAAAGGTTCAATAAAAGTTGATTCCTTACGATCCCAAACGTTAACAATTTTATCGGATCCTCCGAATAAAATATATTGTGATTTATTTAGGAATCGGAGTGCATTAATATCTGCATAATCATTCTAATAATATATAAGTAATTAAATGTTAACGATTAGAAAGAGATCAAATTTTTAAATTGAATAAAAACGTTACCGATTCATTATCGTTTGATAGTATTGTTTCTATAAGTGTTCCTTGCGAATTATGTATTGTAAGAGTTCCATCATTCCCTGCCACGGCCAATAATTGGTCTAAAATAGAAGAATATTATTAACCTATAATAATTTTACATATATCTATAGTTCAAACTTATCCCATCATATAGTATAGCCTTGTATCGAAAATTTAGATCGATTTATAAAATATTAAAAAAGTCTTACTATCGTGACTCCAACGAGCTACATTAACGGCAGTTGAAGTATTATTAGGTGTAAACGAAGCAACCTCAGCACCGAGCAAGTGTTCCGGAATAACTTTTGAAGTCTCGATTTCATTAGAGTTCTTATCCCTCGACATTAAATCCCATACTTTAATATTAGTTGATGCCGAAACTAATAAATTGGTTGGCATTTTTATAGTAGTCAAAAATATAAAATATGCAAAAAAAAATCACTCCTTATTATAGAAAAATAAAACAAAAAAAGTAAAAAAATATAATTGTTCTTTTAAAGAAGAAAGAAATGTGTGAAATACTTATATTTTGGTTTTTTATTATTAAAAATTTTTTAATACGCGAAAAGGTATCTAAGTTACTTATATAGTAGATGGTTTTCGTATATAACGCGGATCTATGGATACACAATATGCTCAAACGGTATACAGTATAAGCACATAAGAGGCTAGATTATGTACATAATCACGTGCTAATTCTAAATCTATTGTACTAATTCTAAATCTATTGTAAAGTCTGAATGCTAGCTTTAAATAGTTCATCTTTGCATCTTGGAAATATGTCACTATTGTAAGTTTCCATTTCATTATGGGGAACACGCGATAAAACAAAATCTGTCACAATATCATGTGTCTTATCATTAATTTCACCTGGAGGTCTTCCTATACCAATACGTAATCTTCGAAATTCCTAAAAGAGAATGAATGGTAATGAATGTAATGTGTAAACTGCAGGGATGTTATATAGAAATACTGTAGATGATAACTAGAAAATTATACTTACATCAGTTTTCAAATGATCGATCACTGATTTGACTCCATTGTGTCCACTACAATCAATAGTAAAATATTAATGCATGATCTTCGTTGATTTGGTTAGTGTTTGTTTTGACTCACTTTGCACTACCGCCATTTTTTATGCTAATTTTACCGAATTCACGTTGCATATCATCATGAATGATAATGATATTTGTATGAGAAAATCCAAGTTCCCGTACTATTTGATTATATCAATAATAAGCTCATATTCAATAAATTACGTAAAATGTAATCCTCAAGTACAAACCTGCTTTCGAGACTGATTTCCCACTATGATTCATTAATAATAATGGTTTCAACAGAGTCAATTCTAAAGGAACAGGATCAGGTTTTGGTTTAAATTTCCTGGGGTCAACCGTATTTGGTGGAGATATAGGAGCCGAGGATATGTTTTGAGGTAAAGAAGGTCCGATTAAATTGTTCTCGTCTTGTTCAGTAGTATCACCGTTAATAATGTTTCTTTCAGTGTCTTCATCTGATTCACTACCAAAATCCCATCTTTTCTTTTTTGCTTTCTTTTCTTTCTTTGACTGTTTAGTTTGAGTTTGCTTAGATGATAGAGAAGGATCAATGTATATTGTTATTGATTGCGTAGTGTATGCATGAATTGATTTCTTTTTTGACCAAGTGAGATTTAATTGTGATGCTATATAATCTAAAAGAAGTAACCCTATGCTATGCCGTGTTTGTGGGTGTGTGTAGTTTCCCAAGCCAACTAACTATAACAAAACCGCAGCAATAATTTATCATCAGTTAATTAATAAATTCAAAATAATAATTCAATTTATAGTTGAAAAACTTACCAAGACTCTTTTAGTTGCCATTTAATAAATATTTTTAAATTATATTAAATTAATTTAAATACTTTAAATACTTTGTCTTTTATAACATGGATAAAAAAAATTGTGGTATTTATAGTTTTTTTTGATATGACTAATTATTGTGGCGCAATTGGCGTAGTCGGGTTTCTTGCTGTAACATAACGTCACAGAACAATTCAAATAAATTAAATAAATTTCTAAATTTAGATGTAATACACATCTGTATAAACTCCAAAATTACTGCGTCCAGACTCTCAGTGATCTGCTACGCCAATCCTTTCGATAGTTTTGACAAAATGTTTATCGTTCCTCACGTAAATTTACCAGCAATTTGTAAGTATTATAAATATTTTGCAAGTCTCAAACTTATTCTAAATATACTTTTTCTTGTAGTTGTTGGAGCAGCAATTGAACACGTAGCAGGTTTGATATTCGAAGTCTAACTTTCCTTAAAGGAATAATATTCAACTATTATGTTTACTCGTAGCTGCCTTAATATATGGACCGCTATTGGGTAATAAGTGGACAAAGGCAATGAACGAAGATAAACATACAGATAAATGGTTTCCAAGAAACGTAGAAACCATGAAGTCGGTAACGCGTTTTTATTCCTTTTTTTATATAATTATTCGATGTGTCGTAACGGGTTATTTGATATTTTAGGTATAGGTTCATCGGCGCGTTCATTTTATCAATATTGCAAGTGAGTAGATAGTTTTTGATAATACCATCTTTAACGCAAGAATTCACATTCCTTTATTATAAAAAAGTGTTATTTTACAGGTTTACTTTTGAATTTGACCAACGTTCAAACGAATACTCAAGCATTTCAATTAGGAATGATTTTATTCTTGGGATGGGTCATTCCTGATCTTGGTACCCAACACATTTGGGAGTCATGGTGAACATTATTATATTATACGTGCTTTATATTTTCTCTAAATTTCACTAACTTTTGTGATTTATATAAAACAGGCCTAGTACTTTGGGATACATTAAAGCATTGAGGATGTTTATTAATACTGTTAGTGTTTCTATTGCAATGTTCAACTGGGGTACTAGGTAGAAGATTATTTTATAAGTTACATGTTGAACATTAAAATACCATTGTCAACATGATACAGTAATAAAATACCTTAAATATTATTTGGTTTTAATTCTTGTTTTGATGGTCTTGAACCAAAAATAGTACTTCCAATACGAACATTAGTAGCGCCTAACTTCAAAGCCTCTTCAAAATCATTGGACATTCCCATACTTAATTCTAACTCAATTCCTCTTGCTTTCTTAAATTCTTCCTTTAAATTACTCAACAACTACAAAAAAAAAATTATTTTCAATTATTAAGATTTTTTTAATTTTTTTACAAAAAAAAAAAAAAATGTTCTTACTACAAAATCAGGATTTGGTTGGTTTTCATTAGAATAATCTCTATTAAGAGCTCCAATAGTCATTAAACCCATTAATTCTAATTTATTACAATTATCTTGAATATGATTTAATACGTCTAAACATTCTCCTGGTTCAATCCCACTTTTGGCTGAATGACATAAAGATAAAAAGACTAGTTATTCTTATATAAACAATTTTAATAAAAAAAAATGAATAAGTAATTACATTCTTCACCACTTGTATTCACTTGAAGAAATACTTTTAACTTATCATTTCTTGATGCACATGCTTTATTCATTAAATCCGCTTTTTTTATACTATCCATTGTTTCTACCACCCACAAGTTTGGTATTCCTTAATACATAACTAAGTTAATAACTGTAATAATAAATAAATGATAACTTTTATTAACTTATATTAATTACCTGCTAGCATTTTACATTTATTACTTTGTAATGTTCCTATAAAATGCCAATGAATATCTGATGGTAACTGATATAAAATTATTAACTTATTGGGATGTTTTTATTACATATAAATTTCTTTTATTTTACCTTTTCGCTTTTTTCAACTAATTCTTGTATCTAAGTAATAAATAATAAATATATTTATTAAATCAATTTCAAAAAATAATTTTTTTTTTTTTAATAAAATTCTTACATAATTTTCACCGAAGTGTCTTTGTCCAAGTTCATAAGCCAAACGAATATCTGTTACTGGTTTAAGTTTACTAACTGCGACTAATCTGGCCTAATAATTATAAAAAGTTCGATTACCAACTATTTGTATCTTGCTCTATCTGAGATACATAACAATTACTTGTTTTCCTTGAGTTATTGATTCGATACGTTTTTTAACATCACACAACTTTTCTTCAATTTCTTTTTTTCTTATTTCAGCTTCATTGTTTTCCTCTTCTTTAAATTCACCAGAAGAAGATATCATCCTTATTCTGTAACTATTATTTAAAAAATTCTACTCAGAATTTAATTATTATCTTACATGTTCTACATTCTAATACAATCGTTTCTTACTTATATTGTAGAAAACTGGCAGAATTAATATAATTGCAATGGATAAAATTTTTTTTTATAAAAAGATCCTCTCCTAAAAACTTTGATCTGAATGTGCGTATAACATCATTCCGCCACATCTTTAACTAGGGGGTTAAAATTCTTAAATAGCGCACTTGTCTTAACCTCTATCTAAATTTAGTAAAGGAACTGCAAATTTTTTTTTGTTGATACTGATTATCAAATCATATCTTTATTTTTAAATTATGATACTTAAAAAACACAAATTAATATACTTTATTATAACAAACTATTTGTAAATTTTAAATAAACACAGTTCTAATCGATATTGTTAATACTATTTTCTTCGTTTGCTTTTAACATTCATACTCTTTTTCTTTATACCATTACTACTTTTAACTTTCTTTTTAATAACGTCATTGCTTTTTCCCTTGCCTGCACCTTTCCCTTTCTTATTTGTATTTTTTGGTACAACAGCAAAAGCCGCCTTTTTAGTGACATCAGTTAAATCCATTTCGAACCCAATACCATTATTTTTCTTTTTCTTTTCACCTCCATTTTTCGCCTTTTCTTTAGTCTTATCATTTTCCGATATTTTATTAATTTTAGCGGGTCTTCGACTCTTTTTGGCTAACCTCACAGCTTTAAAATTTTCAATTTTCATCTGAGGATTGGAATCATCCTCACGTAATTTCATTCTTCTTTTTTTCTTTCTAGACATACCAGCATATTTATCCCTTTTAATTTTCTTTTTATTTACTCCTTCCTCGTTATCATTTTCATCTCTCATTCTTTTTTTGACATCAATGTTATCAGCAGAAAGGTTTTTCGATAGTTTCTTTTCTTTTTCTGATTGAAACCAAGTCCTCGCAGGTCTACTAAAAATTTCATTTTCGTATTTTAATAAATTTTGGCCTTTTAATAATTCCATTTCAGCTTGGTTCATTAATTTTTCTTCTTTTTCTTCTTTTAATACTTCTTCTACTTTTTCTTTAATATCTTCTAATTTTTTACTATATTCTTTTATTAATTCTACATCAATCTTCCTTTTTTTAATTTGTTCTTTTTGTGAATGTTTTATTATCAATTTTAATAATTTACGATCCGATTCTCCTGTTAACGTAACGGACCTTTATATATTTATAAAATTTTTGTGTATATGCTTAGTATTTTACATTATATTGTACTTAAAAAAAAAAAAAAAATTTATATTTACCGTCCATTTCTACCCGCACGAGCAGTTCTACCAACTCTGTGAATATATTGATCGTAACTTTGTGGTATATCATAATTTATAACCGTCTCAATTCCTTTAATGTCCAATCCACGTGATGCTAAATCCGTAGCCAATAAATAATCTACTTTACCATCTCGAAATGCTTCTAAGGCTTCCAGTCTCTGTAAAATCATTTTTTAATAAATATATATATATTAACATGTAATCAAAAGAAAACTCTAAAATTCATGAAACTTACTTGTTCTTGAGAAAGATTACCATGTAATTCGGAAGCTTTTAATCCTAATAATCCAAAAATAACTTTCATTTCATGAGCAACTGATTTTGTTCTAAAAAATATTATAACCTTATGTTTAAAATACTTTTTACATAAGATTAATAATATAATTTCCCGATTTTTTTCTTGGTATTCTCTTATTCTAATAAATTCTTGAATTAATTTTGTATTTGTAGACTTAATAGAATCTATCATTAATTTTACTGGTCTATTCAGTGATAAGCGAATTAATTCATCTACATTATCTGTCATTGTTGCTGAAAACAACATAGTTTGTCTTGACTTTGGACAATATTTAACTATCTCGTTTAACTCATCCGCAAATCCGACTTCCAGCATCCTATAAAAAAAGGAAAAGGGAAGTTAGTATGCTCTTATAGGATAACACCCGAGATTGTAGTTATCTTACCGATCTGCTTCATCTATAACTAGAATTTCGATACTTTCCAGTAAAAAAGATGGCGAATTTCGTACATGATCAATAAGTCTTCCCGGAGTTGCGATAACAATATCAGGGCGTGCACGCAATTCTGTTTCTTGTTGTTTAAGACTTAACCCACCTAAATGAAAACAAAGAAAAACTTTAAAAAAAAATTCTTTTAAGGAAATTTCTTCTAGAAAACAACACCTTTCTATACTAACCAACGCAGAGACATAAAGTAATATCAGTAAAAGCAGCTAATTTACTAGCAACACTATGACATTGTATAGTTAATTCGCGTGTAGGTGCTAATATAAGTACTCTCACTTCTGCTGTTTGTCTTGGCCTATAAAATAATCTTTCTATTATTGGTACTAAAAAGGCTATTGTTTTGCCACTTCCTGTTATTGCACCCCCACAAATATCTTTACCCATAAGTGCTATAGGTATAGTTTCTTTTTGTATTTGCGTCGGTTGAATAAATCCTAACTGGCTTAGTCCTTTCAATATTGGTCTTGATAAATTCATTGTTTGAAATGATTCCGCATCTTCATTCTGTATTATTTCGGATTTATCTGCAAAATATGCTTTTTTTCGCTAAATATTAACGGATAAAATATGTAAGACAACTTCGATATTTTCAAAAGATAAATCTTTAAACTAAAAGTAGATTGCAAACCTCTCTTTCATACTCGTTGTCGTCTTCATTGCTATCTTCATCACTTTCATCTTCATCCTCATCTTCATCCTCATCTTCATCTTCTTTACTATCTTTATCATACATTTTACCTTCAGAATTAGAAGCTTTTTTCTTCTTCTGTTCGTTTTTTTCTTCGGGTCTCTCATCCTCATCCTCATCCTCATTTTCACTAGTATCTACATATTCATCTTCAATAACATAATCAACCCCTCCACCAAAAGTATAAGGCTCATCTTCGTCTAAATACATGAAAAATTAATATATATAGCATATATGTATATAAGCTTTTTCGTAGAAAAATAAATATAAAAAGCTAATCAATACCACTATCTTCTTCCTCTTCGTCATTTTCAGCTCGATCATCTTCGCTAACCTCATCATGTTTCATTGTTTCTTTCTTTTTGTTTCGATCGATATACTTCTTCTCTAGATCATCATCCTTCTCTGATTCACTAAGTTCATCATCATCATAATTCATCTTTTTTTTATCTATTGACAAATTAAAATAATCCATCATTAAAAAAAAAAACTTCTTTAAAAATCAAAAAATTCACTGGTTTTTTTTATTTGTACCATTTTTATCGTTACCATTTATTTCATGATTTTTCTTTTTTTTTGCTTCCAATCGTTTATTTTCAATTATCTCATCAATAGATTTCGATTTAACCTTTTTGTTTTTTATTAAAAAGTTGAATCAAAATTAAAATAATTAATCTGAAAATAAATTGTTTTAGAAAAATTCTTGAAAATTTTGATATTTTATTAATTTATCTTACAGGTATTTTTGGTTTAAGTCCAGCTCTTGCAGCATTAAAATCCCATGGATGTTCAATTGGTTTATTATTAATTCCATCAATAAAAAATGTAAATTCAGGATTAATAATATCATTTTCTGAATTAATATTATTTTTATCATCTCTTTTATTTTTTTCATTATTTTTTTCATTATTCAATTTTTTATTTTCCTTTTTATTAGCTTTTTTATCTTTTTTATTCGTTTTTTTAGCTTTAGTATTATTTATTTGTGTATCGTCATTAATGTCACTATTCTCTTCTTCAAGAGAAATTACTTCATTATCATCCTCAATAGTCATTACAAAATCCATGTTTATTTTTTATTGCTTTTAAATAAAAGTCAAAAATGAATAATTTTTTTTTTTACATCTATTATTGATTTTTTGATTGGATGATAAATTTCGTAGTAGATCGACATAAATCATCATTGTTGTATAACTAATTAAAAAAAAAATTTTTTCTTTTACAAATTCTTTTCTAAAACTTATGTAAGTATATAAATTTGCACTGAAACATGTAAAAAGTTAGTCTTAATTATTCCCTAACTCTTTAGTTCTGCTTTTTTAGATAACTTCCAAACAAAACAAAACGAACAATCCGTTATAATAGTCATGGGTGGTGAAAACTGGTGGGGAAACATGGGAGGTCCCGTACAAAAGGGAATAGTCACCTACTCAGTTTCTTCATTTCAACAACGTGCATTCGCTGGTGCTTTAAAATATGGGATATTTAATGTTTTCCGCCGTACAATGTCTCAGGCTCCTTACGTTGGACCTCCCATAATCTTTGGTTATCTTATTTATTCTTCTTATACAAAGAAACATGAATTTTTACATTCTAAAGCTGGTAAAGAAGAATTAGCGAAATATGGTTAAAAATATTTTCTATTTATGACCAGCGCGTAATGTATCCTCATCTTTCTTAACATGTAAGCAAGTATTAGTTAGTAATTTATGAATAAAAAAATCGAGTTTCCCGTTCTTTTTTTCTTGCATAAATGATTGAACATATCTCAAAGTACTAAATCCCAAAAAAAGCTTTTTTTACAAATTACAAAAAAAAATGTATTGTTTTTAAGAAAAAATAATATTGCGAGAAATAAAAAAAGGAAAAGCAGCTACAAATCTGAACCTGAAAACTATGAATAAAAGTTTGAAGAAATTTGATGATAAGGGGTAAAAATTTGTCAAACAAAAAAAAAAGAGAAAAAGAAATTGATTTAATAAAAATCATGTGCTGCGTTAGATTTAATAAGAATTACTAGATAAAAATGTCCTATTATCGTTATGTTATCGCTTACGCTAGATAATTATATACTCGCCTGAATTAATTTTAAAGAAATTTATTAATAATTGAAATAATTAACTAAGAATTAAAATAAAAAATATATTATGAAGCTTACCTATCTCCCGTGGCTCTTTCCAAATATTCTCGTTCAATTAACGCCTCAATTCTCTTCTTTATCAACGCTGGATTTGGCATAAATCTTGATTGTAGTTGTTTTACAACTTCTGCAATCAAAAGATTATGTTCCATAGTCTTCCTATCTTTCATAATTCTTACAATAGCAGCTTCTGTTTGATGTTTTCTAGCCTCTTCTACTTTTTCTCGTGTTTCCTTTCTTTCGCCTTCACTTTCTACTTTACTAGCTACAGTTTGAATCTTAATACGTTGCAATGGTGCTGTAAAATCATTATTGAAATTAAATTGATCTCCAGGATTGATTTCTTTTCCTTTAGGTTCTTTAACAAGGATTTTGTACTTAGCACAAGCCAATGATTGAAGATTACGTTTGAGATCAGCTTCTGGAATATCACTTTCACCTTTGATTTGCTGGAAAAAAATATATAAATACATAATTTAAACATAATATGGTGAGATCATTAATCGACATTTTACCTCATACGATAGAGACTCTCCATCCTGTTTATCATTGAACATAAGTAAGATAACCATTTGATACGTTGATACGTTCAATTCATGTTTACGTGCTTTGAATGAACCTCGAATATCTGCTGTGCCCTAAGTATATAAATAAAATTAGCAAACAAATCCAAACTTACTCTGTTATCAAAATATATAATGTATAAAATATTTATTACCATATTCGATTGCCATGTTAATCTACGACCACTATGTCGACCTAAATAAAAATTTTGGAAGGTACCACAAGCTTTTGTTAATTCTGGCGGTAAATTACATCTTGGACTTGCTGATAGGTTCATTGGCCAAAACGTTGATGTAAGAACAGTTACACTTAAATCTAATTTAGGTTTCTATATTATAAAATGTATTAAATAATGTATTCAATATTTTAATTTAAACAAACTTATCCTTATATATATATAAGCTTGCATACTTCTAAAACAGATTTGTCCAAGTATTCCTTGAAATCTGTCATTGTATCGGATGATATTCTCATATCATTGAACATTCCCTCTAGTTTTGTAGTAAATTGATAACCGCACTCAACCTGAAGTATACACGAGACAAGTATTAGAAAATAAAAAGTGAAATACTACAATCATAAGATTAGTGACATACCTTGAGTTTACCTATCATACCCCTTTCTGCATCATCGCTAACACTGCGCCCAAGTAATAAACGCTTAGCTAAATGTTGTTTGTAATATCGCTCAAAAACGTCCTTTTCTCCAATAAAGCGGAACAATGTAATAGTTTTGTCTAATACACTATCAACTTCTTCTTCCGTTTTCTAGATTTTATAAATCGGTAATTGCCTAAGATAATGATATTTAAATATTTAAAGAAAATAAATGATACGTCAAACTAACCCCCTTTAATCCTTTTTTGAGATTATCATCAATAAACAATGATATAAACTCGGGTGACTTTGAATTCTTATTAATGAAATATTCAAAAGCCTTTAAAAAAAAATTTATAAGCATTAATAAAAGATGTAATTATCTTGAACAATAAATAATTAAACATCTGTACTGACAAACCTCATTAAATGATGTTTGAAATGCTTTATCATTAGATAAAGCTAAATTCTGAACTTTATCGAATTTGTCTTTAAGGTCTAGAACCTCCTGTACCCATCTTACAGCAACAGTGGCTCCCGTTTGCTTATCACCAGACGCAGCATTACCACCTTCGGCAGTTGTATTACTTGTTACTGTTTCATTAATCGCTTTACCAAGTTCACGTATATAATCACTAATAGCAGATTTCATTTCATCATGACCTTTTACAACTCGCCCGAACAATTTATACATCCTTCCAAGATCTAAATTAAATAAATAACATTACAAAAATATAATAATCATTGAACGACAAATACAAGAAACTTACCATCCATTTTTTCATTCCTTAACATAGGAATTAAACCCGAATTTTCCATCTAGAAATAAAAAAAAAAATTTTTTTTTTGCAATTCATTTCATGTAATTTATAAAACCAAAATTTTTTTTTATACTATAAAGCGTACCTCAATTACTGTCTTAAGATGTTTTGAAATTAACTCTTCCTCTACAATATTACGAATCTTTGGTTCTGTGGTTTGTGAAAGATAATGACGTACGCGCTGCTCTTCTTCATTCAGTCGCTTATCTACCTAAAAGATATAATATGCTATTAATATATAAGTTCGGAACAAAAAAATTTTTTTTTTTTTAGAGAAAAATATATATATATATTTTTGCTAACCTTTTTCATATATTCTGGAGCATCATATTCTCCTACAAGCATTTGCCCTTCAACTCTATAATATTCCGAACTTGTTTCCAAGAACTTATTTTCGAAATCAGTTGCATAAACTGTATCTTTAGTCGACGCGTCAGTCAGCTCCAGTAACATATCAATTGATGCTTTCACATTAGTACGATCTATAATTTCATTCTCTCGTTCAAGCTTAATTTGCTGTAAAAGTACTTCAAGAAGATGATTCTGAATTGGATAATTCTGTGATCGGACGATTGTGTCTCTAAATAGATCCAATCCGAGATCGTAAACAAGAGGAACGTTTGCAGTTTTTGCGTAAACCCGATCCTTTAGTTATAGTGTAATTATTAGATGTAGCCTACAACAGGAAAAAAATTTCCTCGCACAAAATAATTTACGTAAAAGAAATAATTACAAAACTTTACTTGAAATCAATTAACTTACCATATACATTAAAATATCTCTAATCATAAGCATACATGTAGTATGGTCCTCCCAAACAGTTTTTAAAACTTTCAAGAAATTTGCACCACCAGCTCCATTAGGGTTTGTTTGTGAACTACTTGCACCTGAAAGAGGGAATGCAGGTACTACTTGTGAGACAGCAACTTCTTCCAGGTGCTGCGTAATGACTTCTCTTACACCATTATATAATTTGTCTCCATTTTTATGAAGCACCATGTTATATGCATTACGATAAAGTTCTTCAAAACTTAGGATCGACGCATTTTTTTTATGAATTTCACGAATAGCCTGAGCTAGACGATCCCAATTGTCATTGAATTGGGCGTCAGCGGAATTCTGAAAACGACGTGAAGACATATTTAAATAAATAAGTTTTTTTTATAATTAAGTCTTTATTAAAAAAAAAAAAGAAATTAAAAAAGATAAGTTCACATATTCATATAAACATAAAAAATAGTTTTGTTTCTAAGTCAAGACTTTGAAAGTCTGACAGAAAGTCTGCAGAAGAATATTTATATAAAGTATCCGCAAATATTATTGGCTGGCTTTTTTTTAGACGTTTAAACTTGTAAGCTATTAAATCTATACTTGTTATTATAACTTCTACACTTGAGAAACAATAAAGAACAAAAGAAATTCTTATGCGCTTAATATAAGTTACGGATTTACTACAGTTTGATAAACCTTTTCAAACCGGACTATAGTAACTAAACTTACCGGTTTCTTTGGTGGCCTTATCTTTCCTTTTGGCTGTTTACGGCTACTCATACTAAAATAGATTAGAAAGCGGGACCGGGAATAAAGAGTAATAGAGCGGTGATTTGTGAATATATAAGCAAAAGTGATAGACTAATAGTTGTTCTTAGGGTTATTGACTATTCTTTCACGATAATTAATAGAATTAATAAAGGGAGTTTATAATAATATATTCCGAGTCTCTGGACAACAAAATTATCAGATATGGAATTGGTAAAAATAAAATATGTAGGGTTTTTCAGTTTTACCCCATTTTCATTTTTTCGATTGCTGCGGTCTGCCGGTTGCTAAAAAAAACTCTCGTTGGACGTCTATATGTGTTAGTTACACAAAAAATTTTCGTGTCAAGCTGAGGAGGTCAATGATCTATTGATATTATTAGATCATTGACCATTTAACATAATAAATTCAATAGAGTTGTCACTGGGAGATTTCCTAGCAAATCCGTGTAAAAAATTAAATTTAATGGGCATCAGGAAAATGCGTATATTTTTGCAGCTCCCTGCAACTATCCGGATAAATAACAGATATTACAATAAGAGCTTATTCAACAAAAACAAAACCGATATACTAGTATATTTAAAGTTCGAGAATCTATCTGTTCTATATTTTTTATAATAAAATATTTGATAAACAAAAATAATTATCTGTTGCATTATTTGATGATTTAATAATGACTTAATAATGAAATTTGCCTTTACATCTACAATTCAATCTTCTTCGTCTTTTTTTTTTTTAATTCATCCAGATCTTTTGTCGCAAACAAATCCTCTTTAACTTCTAAACTTTCTAACCTTCTTCAGTGACAAGAATTGTCATCATGTTTTCTGTTTATTATTTGCTGGTATTATTACTATTACCTCCCTCATAAGGATTTTCAGCAATATTTTCTTTATTTGCTTCATCTGATTGTTCATGAAGAACTTGTTCAGTTTTAGTTCCTCTCCTTGTTCTTCTTCTTCCAGATAGATCAAGAATATCATGATCATAATCATCATCATCATAATCTTTATTCTGGTTAACAAGAACAGGATTGAACGTGAAGAGATCACGGCAAGATATGCCTTGCGCTTTACCAACTTTGAAAGCTGCCTCTTTAGCAGATCTTCCTCAGCTTCCAGTTTTACCTTGCGATTCTTCTTCCATTCAGTGAAAGTTTCATGAGCAACTGGTGTGAGGTAAATCCTAATTTATGCCACCTGAAAGTTTGTTAAAATTATCAGTAATTAAATTACACGTTCTGATCAACATATGGGAAACATTTTGTAAGATTTACCTCTGTTTCTAAGAACTCTTCAATATTGATCTGTTATTACTCTTCCCCTTCAGCTTTAATTTGAGCACAAAACCAGGCGGGAGAGCATTTCTATACATGCACTTTTTGCCTAATAAACTTTGTATAATTAATAAGTTCAACATTACCATATAACCAGCTTTCTTATCATTGTTCCTTGAATCGGTATATGAATCAATTTTCGCACTTTTTCTTTCAACATTCATCATGAGAGAATTTAATATTGTCCACTTTTTAATATTGTCCATACTTGAAGAATTGACATAGCATCATTTAGAATCGACCCCGAATGGCACTTTTTGTTGTACTTGAATAATTGCACAAAACTAAACAAATATAAAGTATTTAAAATCGGACTTCATTTCAGCTCAAACTCTTTAAAACAAGAAAATTAGAATACTTACAGTATTATTAAAAAATTCAGTGTCAACTATAAACTTTACGAAAAGTTCGCAGGAAATTAAGAAAATTCGTAGAAATTTGAGCTAGTAACAATTTCATTTTTTGAGAATTCGAAAGAAAGAGCTATTCTAATTACAAAACAAAACTTTTATCTAAAAGAATTCGCTATATCGCCGGCAAGTGACATACAGCCAAGTTGCATATTTCGGTCATGTGTCATTCTATTGTTCGACCTAAACATTTTAGGTCGGATAAAATCCCCAGCTTTTTTGGTGCACTATGCAATAATTGTTTAGCTTTTTATTAATGTTTCATATTGATAGTTCATAAAAATATTTTGTAAATGAATGCAAAAAGGATTATTAACTGGTTTGCACAGTTAATTATTATATGGTAGTATAACCAATTGAATAATTTATTTTATATTTTCATCTATTTTATACTAAGGCTAGCTAGCATTCAATTTATTTAACAATAATTAAAAAATATTGTTATGCATAAAAATAGGATAAACTAATATCAAGAGAATTAGATGTAAAAATGTAGTAATTAGTTTTAATTGATAAAGGTATTTTTTGCAAAAGAAAATCCTATTAAATAAATCTTCTAATAACAAATAAATGTAAATTTTACAAAAGGAGTTTGATGACAATCACTAGATAAGAAGATTCTCTTATTATATAATTATTTTTTTTGCTGCCAATTGATATTTAGTTGCAAAAAATATCTTGTTTTAAAAATTTTGTTAAAAAATTAAATAAGTTTGATTACATTAAATAATTTGACATGTATTATAGTTTAGAAATTTTAAGATACCTTAATTAATTAATTGGTTCCAGTCTTTAAAAATAAAATACAGTAAATGATGGACTATAGTACCCGGGTATCCGGGTATCATATAAATCATCATTTTCAATTCAGAATTTTCTCTTTGTATAACCTAAAAGAATAAAGAAATCCTTTTTTGTTTGATACAAATGAAATATGGAGAGTTTGATTATGAAAATGAATTTAACTGAATATTAATGCCGTAACAATTTTAATAAATACAGTATTATAATAATAATGTTTGTATTCGTATTTCGTAATAAATTTTAAGCATAATGTCCCCAAGAAGCAAATATAAAATACATGTTAAGCGAAAATTTTTCATGTATAGTACTAAATCACATTTATGAGTAGGGGTACTATACTTTAAGGGGTACTATAGCCACCGTTTACGGTATCAAATTTATCCTTTTTTATATTAAAAAAGCTTGCTATATTTCTGAAACAAAATTTATCCAATTACTCCTTGAAATCTGACATTGTATTAGATGATATTCTCATATTATTGAACATCTCCTCTAGTTTTGTGGTAAATTGATAACCGCTCACAATCTGAAGTATATATGAGACAAATATTAAAAATAAAAAGTGAAGCATTCATAATCATAGGCTAGTGACTGACATACCTCGAGTTTACTTATCGTACGCTTTTCTGCACCATCATTAACACTGTGTCCAAGTAATAAACGCTTAGCTAAATGTTGTTTGTAATATCGTTCAAAAACATCTTTTTCTTCAACAAAGCGGAACAATGTAATAGCTTTATTCAATACACTACCAATTTCTTTTTCCGTTTCCTAAAATTGTAAAATTGGTAATTGATTAAGATGAAAGAAAATAAATATTACGTCAAACTAACCCCCTTTAATCCTTTTTTAAGATTATCATCAATAAACAATGATATAAACTCGGGTGATTTTGGATTCTTATTAATGAAATATTCAAAAGCCTTTTAAAAAAAAATTATAAGCATTAATAATCAACTTGAGCAATAATATAAAAAACATTTGTACTGACAAACCTCATTAAAAGATGTTTGAAATGTTTCATCATTAGATAAAGCTAAATTCTGAACTTTATCGAATTTGTCACTAAGGTCTAGAACCTTCTGTACCCATCTTAAAGCAACAGTAACTTCCGTTTGTTTATCAACAGATACAGCATTACCACCTTCGGCAGTTGTATTACTTGTTACTGTTTCATTAATCGCTTTACCAAGTTCACGTATATAATCACTAATAGCAGATTTCATTTCATCATGACCTTTTACAACTCGCCCGAACAATTTATACATCCTTCCAAGATCTAAATTAAATAAATAACATTACAAAAATATAATAATCATTGAACGACAAATACAAAAAACTTGCCATTCATTTTTTCATTTCTTAGCACAGGAATTAAACCTTTCTGGAATAAAAAAATAATAATTTATTTCATATAATTTATAAAACCAAAAAAATTTTTTATACTATGAAGTTTACCTCAATTATTGTCTTAAGATGCTTTGAAATTAACTCCTCTTCTACAATATTACGAATCTTTGGTTCTGTAGTCGGTGAAAGATAATGGCCTACGCGCTGCTCTTCTTTATTCAGTCGCTTATCTACCTAAAAGATGAGATTATATGTATGTATGTATGTATGTATGTATATATTTCTAACCTCTTTCATGTAATCTGAAGTATCATATTCTCCCACAAGCATTTGTCCCTCAACTCTATAATATTCCGAACTTGATTCTAAGAACTTATTTTCGAAATCAATTGCATAAATTGTATCTTTAGTCGACGCGTCAGTCAACTCCAGTAACATATCAATTGATGCTTTCACATTAGTACGATCTATAATTTCATTTTCTCGTTCAAGCATAATTTGCTGTAAAAGTACTTCAAGAAGATGATTCTGAATTGGATAATTCTGTGATCGGACGATTATGTCTCTAAATAGATCCAATCCAAGATCATAAACAAGAGGAACGTTTGCAGGTTTTGCGTAAACCCGATCCTTAATTATAGTGTAATTATTAGATGTAGCCTACAACAGGAAAAAATTTTCCCGCACAAAATAATTTACGTAAAAGAAATAATTACAAAACTTTACTTGAAATCATTAGCTTACCATATACTTTAAAATATCACTAAGCATAAGCATACATGTAATATGGTCCTCCCAAACAGTTTTTAATACTTTCAGGAAATTTGCCCTACCAGCTCCATTAGGGTTTGTTTGTGAACTACTTGCACCTGAAAGAGGGAAGGCCGGTACAACTTGAGAGACAGCAACTTCTTCCAGGTGCTGCGTAATAATTTCTCTTACACCATTATATAATTTGTCTCCATTTTTATGAAGCACTATTCTAAATGCAACACGATAAAGTCCTTCAAAACCTAGGATCGACGCATTTTTTTTATGAATTTCACGAATAGCCTGAGCTAAAATATCCCAACTGTCAGTAAATTGGTACACAGCGTTCTGAAAACGACGTGAAGATACATTTAAATAAGTTTATTAAGAAAAAAGAAAATTAAAAATGATAAGTTCACATATAAAACATAAAAAGATAGGTTTGCTTTTAAGTCTGGTAGACAAACCGGACTATATAAAGTAACTAAACCTACTGGTTTCTTTGGTGGCCTTGTCTTTCTTTTTGGTCGTTTACGGCTACTCATACCGAAATAGAAATAAAGAGTAATAAAGTGGTGATTTGTGAATATATTAGCAAAGGTAATAGTTATTGCCTATTTTTTCACGATAATTTATAGTGGGAGTTATATGAATTCATGATAAAAAAGTGTCAGATGATATATGCATCACAATATTATTAACCAATCATAAATTAGAATTTATAAATCACGTAAAAGAAAATTAGGAATTATTTTATTTACACATTTTTACTACTATTAAATTGATCTGATTTTTAAATTATAAATAATAGTTATTGGATGGGGGAATAGAGAAGACCATCCAATAACCGAGTTATAGTTCGTTCATGGAATACTGCGGTGACCAATCACCAATGTCATTAAAATCCTAATCGACTGAACAATAACGGATAATAAATCTTTTTTTTGTGATCTACTGATCTACATGTTGCTATTGTTACGCAACTATTTAAAGTTAAGGTCAGTATCTATGTATCTATAAAAGTTATTGGTTAAAATTTTTAAAAGTATAAAATGGCCGAGTATAGAGGATCTATGGGATTTGACGCATGTATTTACGTCGTTTTTCACCGATCATGGGAGAAATTGGTCTTGTCGGTTTTTTATCCGATGGTTGTATATTTATCGGTGTATAATATCGAATAGGTTGAGCGTGATGAACTAAATCTACTCTCAACCGACGGATTTCCTTCATATTGCGTACCTTTAATTATTAACATAAATGCATAAAAAGTTAAATATCGAAAAAAGATCGATAATATGAATTAGTTCTTATATCTTACCTCTTCCTCCCTGATCTTTGCTATTCTTTGTTCTTCAGCTTCCTTCTCTCGGAATCTTCTGCGTTCGTCATAAATATGACGTTTTTTCATACGAGTATCAGTAAAAAAGAAAAAACCAATTGGTTCTGTTGGTGGAGGACATTCAGGTTTTCTAGGAATTTTGGGCTCAAAATTGGGGAGAGGTTGTGCATGGAATCGATTCTCCTTGACATATTCCTGCTCTTTTCTCACTTTCTCATAAAATTTTCTTTGATATTTTTCCCCACGATCATTAGTTAACAATGTAAATGGTTTTGGGTGAGTTGGTGGATAATAAGGACGTGTAGGCAGACACTTGGAACATTAAAACAAAAGAGAAGAATAATTAGAATAATTCTTTATTTTATTCTAGTACGTACAATACATTTTAATGGTTACATACATCAGGGGAACCAGTAGGAAGTGGTTGCGCTTTAAATTCGCGCATCTTTTCCATTTTCTCTTTTTCTTGACGAATCATTATTTCAATTTCTTGTGATTTCTTCTTGGAAATTTCCTCACTAGGTAAACTAAACATTGGTAATTCGATTAACCGGTGTTCAATCACCGGTCTATATGGTTCTTTATAATCGGGTACGGGATTAGCTTTAATGACATGCGGTGGTGAAGGACTCTTCGGTCTTTGTGGCTTAGGTTTCGTTATGGCCGGTGAATATGGTACAGTCGGCATTGGCTTTTGTACTTTTGGGATTCCCAAATTCCTATTCTCAAGGATCTTTAAAAGAGGATTTTAAAATTTAAAGCAAGAGACGATGTAACGATGTTTTATGCGTAAAATCTCAGACGAACAATTACCTTTCGATCTAATGGGTTAGCTTTGAATTTATAACCTCTCATTTCCCTTATTTTGCGCTCTTCTGTAGGTAATATACTGAACAATAATCAAATACATTAATAATTAATTACCCGACTTATGATTGATTTTCGTATTTATTTTATTTATTCGAACTTCAATTAATTAGTGACGTATAACTTACGTAGTGGGTTTAGACCTATATTTAGTGCGTAAGTGCGGAGATTTCGGTATAGTTAAGTTATTTGAACGTACTTTACCAGACTTTTTTTTTTAAAAGGCGATTGTTAGCCTCAAAATCACGATGTTGATTTTTGAAACGTATTATCATCTGATACCTTAGCATCGAATCTGGTTGGATTTTCTAAAAATTGTTGCACACTGATAGCTAAAGGAATAAATGGTGATTTTGGAGAATTTTCTTTATTACGAGAGTCATTGGCCCGCAATTCAGTATAAAATTTGAAAGGCTTTGGCACTGTTGGTACGAACGAACGTTTCTAATAGACGAGATATTTTATTATTATAAACGCGCTAAAAAGATAATATGATAAATATGATAATCCACTTCAAATTTATAATAATTACTTTAATTCCACCACTCTTTTTAACTAAATAATTTTTGGTTTGTGGCGGTTGAGTACTTGGCGTTACCGACATGAACCAACTAACATCTTCCATATATTCAAACTTAGGTTTTTCGTTATTAAAATTAGTTACGTTCATAGTTTTTGTTTTCAGTTTTTGTTACCAAAAATCAGTTTAGAGAAAAGTCAGTAAAGATTATAGGATTATTTCTGTCTTAAAAAAGATCGCACGCGTATGACGTAGTTTTTTATTTCTGACCAAGCGATTAAACAAAATTTTTAATTGGTCCGTTAATATCATTAATAATTTGACATGTAATTTTGCCAAAGATCACATTAATTTTGGCCAGAATTAAAGAACCATAAATTTCGTATACATCAATAGAAAAATTTCATTAAATCACGTGATATGGTCGCCAAGTAATAACATGATTAACATCCTTAAAAAAATATATTATAAAAATGTAGTATAATGTAAAGGTAGAGTAGCTAGATAAAAAAAAATATAGTGAAAGGGAAAGGTATGGGTAGAGATAAAAGTAAAAAAAGCAGAGGTAAAGATAAATATATTATTGGTTTTTATAACACATAACAAATTCCTCTAGAATCTGTAAACTTTTATTTTTATATTTACATATATTAAACTACAATAGAAAAAACTTAATATTCATAACTTTTAAGGAGAGTATTAGATGATATTCTCGCATTATTGACATCTCATCTAGTTTTGTGGTAAGCTCTCGATCTGACAATAAAGCGGAACAATGTAATAGCTTTATTCAATACACTATCATTTTCTTCCTAAAATTTTAAAATTGGTAATTACTTAAGATGAACGTTATTTAACGAAAATAAATATTACGTTAACTAACCCTCTTTAATCCTTTTGTATAATGATCATAAAGAAACAATGTTATAAACTCGGATGATTTTGGATTCTTATCAATGAAATATTCAAAAGCCTTTTAAAAAAAATTTATAAGCATTAATAAAAAAGATAATCATCTTGAGAAATATAAATATAAAACATAAAACATTTGTACTGACAAACCTCATTAAAAGATGTTTGAAATGTTTTATTATTAGATAAAACTAAATTCTGAACTTTATCGAATTTGTCTTTAAGGTCTAGAACCTCCTGTACCCATCTTAAAGCAACAGTAACTTCGGTTTGTTTATCACCAGACGCAGCATTACCACCTTCGGCAGTTGTATTACTTGTTACTGTTTCATTAATCGCTTTACCAAGTTCACGTATATAATCACTAATAGCAGATTTCATTTCATCATGACCTTTTACAACTCGCCCGAATAATTTATACATTCTTCCAAGATCTAAATTAAATAAATAACATTACAAAAATATAATAATCATTGAACGATAAATACAAGAAACTTACCATCCATTTTTTCGTTTCTTAGCATAGGAATTAAACTTTTCTGGAATAAAAAAAAATAATAATTCATTTCATGTAATATATAAAACCAAAAAATTTTTATACTATAAAGCGCACCTCAATCACTGTCTTAAAATGTTTTGAAATTAACTCCTTTTCTACAATATTACGAATCTTTGGTTCTGTAGTCGGTGAAAGATAATGACTATACGCTGCTCTTCTTTATTCAGTCGCTTATCTACCTAAAAGATGAGATTATAAGTATGTATGTATGTATGCATGCATGTATGTATGTATGTATGTATTTCTAACCTCTTTCATGTATTCTGAAGTATCATATTCTCCTACTCCCTCAACTCTATAGTATTCCGAACTTGCTTCTAAGAACTTATTTTCGAAATCAATTGCATAAATTGTATCTTTGGTCGACGCGTCAGTTAATTCCAGTAACATGTCAATTACTGCTTTCACATTAGTACGATCTATAATTTCATTCTCTCGTTCAAGCTTAATTTGCTGTAAAAGTGCTTCAAGAAGATGAGTCTGAATTGGATAATTCGGTGATCGGACGATTATGTCTCTAAATAGATCCAATCCGAGATCATAAACACGAGGAACGTTCGCATTTCTTGTGTAAACCCGATCCTTTAGTTATAGTTATAGTGTAAATATTAGATGTAGCCTATAACAGGAAAAAATTTTCCTCGCACAAAATAATTTACGTAAAAGAAATAATTACAAAACTTTACTTGAAATCATTAATTTACCATATACACTAAAATATCTCTAATCATAAGCATACATGTAGTATGATCCTCCCAAACAGGTTTTAAAACTTTCAAGAAATTTGCCCCATCAGCTCCATTAGGGTTTGTTTGTGAACTACTTGCACCTGAAAGAGGGAATGCCGGCACTACTTGTGAGACAGCAACTTCTTACTTAATAATTTCTCTTACACTATTATATAATTTATCTCCATTTTTATGATGCACCATATTAAATGCATCACGATAAAGTCCTTCAAAACCTAGGATCGACGCATTTCTTTTATGAATTTCACGAATATCCCGAGCTAGACTATCCCAACTGTCAGTAAATTGGTACAAAGCGTTCTGAAAACGACGTGAAGATATATTTAAATAAGCTTATTAAGAAAAAAGAAAATTAAAAATTATAAGTTCACATATTTATAAAACATAAAAAGATAGGTTTGCTTTTAAGTCTGATAGACAAGCCGGACTATATAAAGTAACTAAACTTACCGGTTACTCTTGTGGCCTTATCTCTCCATTCGGCTGTTTACGGCTACTCATTCAAATAGAAATAAAGAGTAATAAAGTGGTGATTTGTGAATATATTAGCAAAGGTAATAGTTATTCTTAGGGTTATTGACTATTCTTTCACGATAATTAACAATATTGATAAAAGGGAGTTTATACTTTATAATGATATATTCCGTCTGAGAAACGAAAGGACGGAACGGCTCCTGATTTAATACTTGTAACTGATAAGGTGTTCATCACGTGACATTACGATTAACCAATCATAACTCAGGATTTTATTAAATCATGGGATATATACAGTAACTGCCTTTATTACTGTCAAATTGACCTGTTTTTAAATTTTAAATCTTTTTTTTTTTTGTTTTGTCTACATGACTTCATGATCTACATCACTACATGTTTACATTATTTAAATAAAAAGTTTATTTTATGAAAGGAAAATATTTTTACGCGAAAATCAATATTAACTGTCTAAATAAATTATCAGTCTAACTTTTTATTTAAAGTATCTAAAAATTTTTTTAATAATATTACAAAAAAATTTTGGTTAATTCGCATTATTAGTGGCTGAGTATAGATTGATGGTTGCTAAAAAAAAACTCTTGTTAGACGTCTACATCTACTAATTACACAAAATCTATTGATATTATCTTAAATCTTAACATTCAATGGGGTGTCACTGACAAAGAATTGGTATCAGAAAAATGCGTATATTTCTACAGATTCTTGCAACTATCCGGATAAATGACAGATATGTTATCATAAGAGTTTATTCAACAAAAACAAATCGGATATACTAATTTATATTAATTTTCTTAACGTTAAAAATACATTTTCCAATTAAATAGTTACGGATACATTTTTTAACTTTAATAAAGTTAAAGAATCCATTAGTTCTATATTTTTTATAATAAAATATTTGATAAACAAAAATAACTTCTGCTGTTATGTCAAATGCATAATTTTGAAGAAAAATGTTTTGTCCCATTATTTGTTTATCATGATGATTCAATAATAACCTAATAATGAAATTTGACTTTACATCTACAATTCATTCTTCTTCATCTTCATCGTCGTCATCGTCTAAGTCATCCAATTCTTCTGCCGCAAACAAATCCTCTTTAACTTCTAACCCATCTTCAGTGATAAGAGTTGTCGTCGTGTTTTCTGTTTTATTATTACTGGTACTACTACTACTACCTTCCTCATAAGGATTTTCCTCAATATTTTCTTTATTTACTTCATCTGTTTGTTCATAAAGAGCTTGTTCAGAATTTTCTTCCTCCTCTTGTTCTACTTCTTGTTTATAACCAGATAAATCGAAAATATCATCATCATCATCATCATAATCTTCTACAAGATCAGGATTGAACGTGAAGAGATCACGACCAGACATGCCTTGAGCTTTACCAGCTTTGAAAGCTGCTTCTTTAGCGGATCTTTTAAGTTCTTCTTCAGCTTCCAGTTTTGCCTTGCGACTCTTTTTCCATTCAGTAAAAGTTTCAAGGGTAACTGGTGTGAGGTTCGATCCTAATTTATGACGCTTGAAAGTTTATAAAATCATCAGTAACTAAATAATACGTTTTATCAACACAAGGGATAACACTTTGCAGGATGTATTACCTCTGTTTCTAAGAACTCTTCAATAGTAATTTGATCTTCCTCTTCCGCTTCTGCTTTCTTTTGAGCTTTGCTTTTCAGCACAAAACCAGGTGGGAGTGCATGTCTATACTTGCAATTCTTGCCTAATAAATTTTGTTTAATTAATAAGTTCAAATTATTATATAAATTAAAGTGAAAAAGCAAATCTATAGAATTTGAAAAAATAAACTAATACGAACAAATTAAGAATCATCTCACCTCCATTTGGACATTCCCAGAACCAACCATACTTTTGATTTTCAATAGCTTCTAAAAAGAATTTACATACAATATCCGTTGTAGTTTTAGGATTGCCCTGTTTTGATTTGACGACTTGTTCAAGTTTCTCTTGATCCCATTTATCCATGGTATCTATATTAACCAATTAATAAGTTTTTTACACAACAAATTATAGAAGAAATAAATTTAAATAATTATTTAATTATTTATTTACCAGTTTTCTTATCATCTTCCTCATTTCTTGAATCAGTATATAAATCAATTTTCGCACTTTTCCTTTCAACATTCAAATCATGAGAAAATTTACATTTATCTCCCTTTTGACATTGTCCAGATTTAAAGAATTGACATAACACCGTCTTAGGATCGACCCCAAATGGTACTTTTTGTTGTACTTGAACTGGTTTAAATAATTCATTAAGTTCTTCTTTCTTTTTTTGTTCAGCAAGTTTTTTATTAGCGATAGTCTGTTTTTCAGTTTCTTTTTCTTTCTAATGAAATATTAAACAATTAATTTCAAGGTATAATTTTTTAAAAATAAAAGAGAGGAAAAAAAAAGTACGATCAACTATACCATAGTTTTCCGATTACCAGCTGACATCACTTGACTTTGAATTTGTTTGATCTGTTGTTGGACTTTTACAGACTTTTTCTTATTCTTCAAACCAAAAGTCTTATCCTCAATGATCTTTTGCTTCTCCTTTTGTTTCGTTTTGTCAGATGGTTGATTTTTCTTTGGAGGCATTTTGTCGTAGTGTTCAAGGTGATTGAAAGGTGATTGAATATTATCAAAAACTTTGAAAAGTTGTTCGAATTAAATAATAACCGCTGTCAATCAATTACGTCATTTGTGGCTTGGTTCCAAAATAGAATTATGGGTCGTAGAAGAAAGAAACAAAAGACTACGGCTGAATTTGTAGGTGTGCTATTTTTAAATATAGATTAATTAGTAAGGTGTGAGATAAAAATAAATTCTCTTTTTTACAAAAAAAAAATTACGTAAAGTTAAAAAAAAACTATTGATATGACTCTGTATATATATATTTTTCCTAATAATTAATAATTTTAAAATAAAAATTATTTTTTTTAAAAAAAAGAAAATAATAAAGCAAAAAGCGAAAATAATAAGAATTTTAATGTAATTGATCAAAAAACGGTAGATATATCAATAAATGATAATGAAAATGGGTAAATTTATATTTGAATTATTTTTGAACTACATTCATTTAGTGATTGTTTGTTCTTTTTTAAAATTGATCCTTTTTTAAAAAATGTCGTATCATAACTTTTTGTTTTGATAGGATGATAACTACGTCAAAAAATCGTGAATTATCATCACGAGAAAGTTCCCCTGTTAGCGCATTATCTATGCGTGGAAAAATAGATGTTGAGGTACTCTCAGATTTTGAAAATGACAGTGAAGATATCGGAATGATTACTGATAATGAAGAAAAGTATGGATCTTTAGGGGATTTAAATGAAAGGGTTTATGAATCTCAAACACTTAAAAAGAACGAAAAAAGTGAGATCCTTGATTCTTTCGTTGTTTCTCGTTTTAATCCTTCATCTTCGAACGTCGTTTGTTATGAAGAAAAAGATGATAACTTTGATTTATGTTTGGTTGCTATGAAACGTGGCGAGGTAAAATAAAATAAATTATTATATTTATTAGCTTTTCTTTTAAAATACTACTTAATAATATTATACATGATTCGTAGTCGATAAGTTTTCGAGGGAATGTTCTTGTTGCATCTATTTATGGAGAAGCTGTTATTATGGGTTATAGATTATGTGGCGTTTCATCTGAGGATGTGTCAGAAAGTTTACAAATCGATTTAAATTCTAGCCTTATATTCCATCCAGTATTTTCTCCAAAAACGCATTCACTATTAGCAATAGAATCAGTGGAAAAACAAAAGATGACACATAAAATTTCACATCCCGGAATAATAGCTTGTTCAAAAACAAAATCGATAATCAACAAGCTTTTATCAAATATAGACTTGTCTAAAGGAGGATATGATACAATTCTTGCTTTACTAGATATTTCATGGTGTGGTATTCAAGACGTGGAAAACGTTGCATCATGTTACAATAATATATTTTCCAGTAACTTTGCGAATAATAATGAAAAAAAAGATAATGAGATCAAACAATCGAAAGACGATTTTTTTAATATCAAAGGATTTTATCCAGTAAGTATAAGTATATATATATATATATATAAAGAATTTCGAATTCTAAATCAAATTTTACATATTGGCAGATTTTTGAAGTAGCTCCAGGAATGACAGCATTCAAAATCCCCCATTCCTGGGAGAATTCAACAAATCAGCTTGTAACTGATATTTTGGACTTCAGTAATATCATTATTATATATTTTATATTTATTTATTTATACCTATATCTTACTTACATTTCAGTTATTTACTAATAGCTTTGCCGCCTATTTCAATAATCAGTGGACATAAAAATGTGGGAAAATCAACATTTTCTAGATATTTGGTTAATAGCATGTTGAATATGTACGTTCATTTATTTTTTCATAAAAAAAGATGATGAAAATGATGACTTAATAATTTAACATCTTTTATTTTTAAGATGCCCCAAGGTCGCTTATATTGAAAGCGATGTTGGACAATCCGAATTCACTCCTTGTGGATTAGTGTCACTTAATATATTAGATTCTCCTATTTTTGGTAAGTTGACTATATCAACAAAACTGTTTGATCTCTTTAATTGACTTAATATCGTTTTGCAGGTCCTCCATTTACGCATATACAACAACCTTATAGATCATATTTCATTGGACATAATTCTCCACGTGATGATCCGGACTATTATTTGGATTGTTTACGCGAATTAATTACAGTGTATCGTCGTGACATTGCTTGTGGACCAGAATATGGAATGTATGGAGACGAACAAATACGCATTCCTTTAATTATTAATACCCATGGATGGAGCAAAGGTGAATTCACAAGAATTACTATAAAATCCATTTATATAATCTAAATGTATTACTAACCATTAAAATAAAATATACACATATAGGCATGGGTTATGACTTATATCTTCATATTATTAGTTCTGCTAAGCCATCACATATTTTTCAGTTTTATTCTGCAACAATCACGAATAAAAACCTTCCACCACTCCCTGAATATGTTGTATCTCCTAATGACCAAGAACCACCCAAAGTCTCTTTTGTTGAGATGATAGATACCCCTGGACCTTCTAAGTATTCAGCATCTGATCGTCGAGTATTATCATTATTTTCATATTTCTATTCAACAAGTGCCATGACAGTAAAACAAGAAAATGTGAAATGGTGGGCTTTTGATCAACCATTGGTTCGTCGGGTTCCATGGTGTTTAGATTGGAGGAAAGGATTGACCAAGGGTATTTTTATGCTAACTGGAGAAGTGCCTTTAAGTCAACTCTTATACGCGTTAAATGGTTCAATTGTTGGATTAATTGGCGATATTGATAATTCGTATAAAAGTGAACAAGTTGACGTAGAAATGAGTGAATCAAAAGAACAGGAATCACGTATTGTATGTTAAACTTTTAAATTCATTAATTATTGTAAACTTATTAATTATATATATCTTTCATTTATTATAAACAGATTCCGAATTATTTCCCTTGTCCAGATTTTTCACCACCTTCACCAACTGAATATACTTGTTTGGGATTAGCCATAATAAGATCCATTGATCCAACATCTCATACATTTCATATCCTCACGCCATTACCTTCATCAGTTCTTTTTAAAACCAATACTATAGTCAAAGGAACATTAGAACTTCCAGTATGGCTTATGTTAGACCATACCAAAAATAGCTCATTAGGAGTACATGGTGTTCAATGGAAAAGAGCTCCTTACATGAGTATTGAATCAGGAGGAGGAGTTGGAAATGCGGCTCAAAAAATAAGGAGAAATATTAAAAGACGTAGTCAAAAACCAAATATATAAAAAATTATATCATATGATGTAAAATAATTTATTTTAAAATAATAAAATCACACATCATTTAATAAAAAATTCTTTTTACTAAATTTTACAAATTTGCAATAAAGTTTTATTTTATTTTAAGGATAAACTATGAAACCGATACATTTCTTTAAATGAAATTAATTTCATTGTTTCTTAAAAAGAAAAAAAAACAATAAAAATATAAAAGAAAAAAAATAAAACGAATTTGAATATATTGACATTAAAATATTATGACTCGGGCTTGTCCATTGCAGCTGTAGCAGTAGCACGAGCTATAAAATTTTTTTTTGTAAAAAAAAGGGATGAGTAACGCATCAGTAACGTAAAAAAATTGAATATAAAAATAAGTAAATAAATAAAATAAAATAAAACGTACTGTAAATGAGTTGTGAACCATGAGTGGATATCTTGCGAATTAAACCTTTTTCTTCTAACTCACGTATAGCAACTCTAGCTAAAGAACCATTAACACGAAGTCGATCAACCAATACAGAAGGAGTGATCAATTTATAAGTTGGAACTTCTTTGAATAATTTATCATATGTGGCTTTGTCAAGAACTACGGCATTATTCGCCTTATCCTTGACTTTTCCTTTAGACCATTTCTAAAAAAAAAAAGTAGTAAAAAAAAAATTGTATTATTAAAATGATTTAAATATGAAAAAATTATTTTGAGTTGAATTATACCTTTTTCTTGTTTTTACCACCACTAGTGCTTTTAGCTGCCTCTTTCTTCACCTAATAAATATAAATTATAAATAATTATTAGAAATTATCGTTTGTAAATAAAATCATAATAGATCAATTTTTTTTTTAAATATAAATCTAATAATATTTTTTTTTTTTGTGAATTTCACAAAGTATAAATGAATTTGTTCATAAAAATAAAATTATTTTATTCATTGAACTAAATATCCATCTTATTCATAATTCTTATACTGATCTTTTAATTCATATTATAAATTAATTTTCACAAATACGTACCATTTTTTTCGATGAGTCAAGAAAAAATGAGGACCTATTTTTTTAAAAAAATTTTTTTTTTTTGAATATATTACAAAGATTTATTAATCACATGATTAACTTAACGTACAATCACGTGATAATTTTAGTCACTATCTTAGGATTATTTCACGTAATTTAGTAATTTAATAATTTAATTTACTTTATTTGGTATGTAACCAAGCTTTATTTATGTTATCTGAGATCACAAATTTTTTGAATTAGATCTTATAAGTCGAATTTATATTACAATGAGTCTGATTTATCTTAGTTTTCTCGCTTACATTGGATTTTTATTTATATAAACGAGTAAAATTAACTAAAAAAGTAACTAGATATAAATTAACATTCATGAATTTATTTTTTAAAAGTATAACTTCAAGTTAAAATGCGCAGCAACTTTTTGATCTACTATCTTGTTAAAAAAAAGTGAAGGCTTAACATTGTTGAGCATCAGAATCTCCTTGTAGAAATTATTGGGTTAAAAATTTTCATACTTTTTTGATGTTTCTTATTCATCATCTTCAATTTCGTTTAACATTACCCTATATAGTAGGTACCCTTTTGAGTATATCCCAATAATTATTTGTTGAATTAGGTTAATTTTGGCCACGTATCGCAGTATCGCATAAAATACTCACGGTATTATGCAATTAATAAAATAAGGTCTTTATACTGTCTTTATCCAGTCTAATATCAGCTGTATCCATTGAACTTATATTGATAATAGAGAAATTTTATTTTGAAACAAATTTCATTCTATAAAATGGGATTCCGACATTTTTAAAGAAGGGGAAATTTTCCTCCTTTAGCAAATACGGAAATTTATGTACAGTAGGTAAAATTTTGTTAACAAACGACATTATAAATTGTTATGAAAATATTTTGTATAATTTCGAATTTACTAATTCCAACCGTAATGGAATATTTTTAAGGATTTAAAGGAATTTATTAGTTGAGATTTAATGAACACTCTGTAATATATTTTTTCCTTAAATTTGTTCGAAATTATAAATTTGTTTATAATTATTTCAGATAGGAAATAAAAGAATTAGACAATTATAAATATTTCATAAATTATTGCCAGAAAATATGAAGTTTATTCAATTAAGAGTTTTGCTATTTATTATTGTCATTTTTAAAATGGTTGAACGATCGAAAACTTATGGAAGGTGTAAAAAAAAATAAAATGTTATTGAAAAAATATATATATATTTTTATCAGTTAATCGTGATCAAAATATTTTCACATTTTTAACGCATTGGACATTACCAGCTCCTCAAGAAGAATAAGTGTCTTTGCTGATAAATTCTTTATGAAATGCTATAAATAACCTGTCCAGTATTTTTCGGACTAATATAATGTTAGTAAGTAATTCATCTGTTCAGTATGTATAGTAAATATTATAGCTTCTTACTTTATTAAAATTAACAAATTTTAATAATGTACTTCAACATCATTGTTATCTATTTTATAACTATAATGTACTGAAGACAGTATTTAATTTACTTATATTTAATTTATTAATGTGTTTTAGTAAAATTTATTACACATAAAAAGAAAGAAATAAAATAAAATAGGAGAACTAAAATATTAAAATGATAATTTATATGTTACTTCATTATTATAATCATAATCTAATTAAGTTTTTAATATAATCATTTAATAATTGTTACATATCTCATTGTTTGTTATTCTAATTTATCTGTTGTTTTAAAATTCATCTTTTATTTATTTTTTAATTCATCTTTTAATCATAAATTAATTGGCAATCCGTATAAGAACCGGGGCAAATTACTATGAATTTTATTAATAAATGAAATCCAACGTGCATAGTAAATTCATGAAACGAAATTTTATCTTTTAATAAACTATTATTTATCAATTTAAAGAAAATTATATTAGACTTAGTTCCAAAAGGTAGTTAAAAAACTATATTTATAAATTACAATTACTAATTTTAATATTAAATAATTCTTTAATTAGAAGGAATTTTGTTGCAGAAATTAATACATTATACTTATTTTTTGTTAATAAACCTGTCCCACTAAAATTTCTTATTTTTGCTAACAAATAGGAGTAATTCAAATTTACATCTAATCTAGAGACTATTCTTTCTTATTTTTATGATAAGATAGCATACTAACATTATATAGTTATTAAGTCCATGTAATAAAGATCTATTATATAAGTTAACACATTGTAACAATAAATTAGGAAACCAATTAATTATATTTGTGTTTAATTCAAAAGTTTGAATTGAACTAAAAATAAATATAAAGTTTCATAAGATTAACAGAATCATTGTTGTAACATTCATGGATCATCTTCTTTCATTATTATCAAAAGTGGAATTATCTAATAATAAAAAATTTTGGATGGTTTTGAAGAGTTATCAATATTCGATTACATTAATACAAAAACGGAATTTCATTTTTCATTTTTCCAAAAATATTTTATATAAAGATTCCTTGTCTAGTAATTCTATTTCATTGTTTATAGTGATTAAAGAAAAATATGAATAGATTATCATCCGAAGCATGATGTTATTTACACATTGTAGATATTCTTTATAGAGATCCTAAAATATAGTTCATTATCAAATAATCACAATATTTCTATTCATTTGAAGTAATATGATATGTAACATCAAAGGAAAAATGAAACTCCAGTAGAAAATAGTTACTTATTCTACTGCTACTAATTTATAACTTAGTAGTTTATCGTACAATATTACCATCATCACCTGTCACTCCTTTTCTTTCTTTTTTTTCAGACCGGTGTAAACATTTTTATTAATATATTTAAAATACACACAAGAATATGAGTATACAGTATACTATGCCGAATAAAGATGTAGAAAAAAGCCCGATAATGCGATTATTACATATTATTGTATAATAATAATTGAATAATTAATAGTTATCCGGTATCCCGTGATTTGAACATCGCCTGATACACGAATTTTTGCCCTGATACACAATTTATTATAACCATTTTTAATTATAAAAAATCACGTGATACCGGATAAAAGGTAATATTTTGATAACGATTATAATAGCAATATAATATTAAACAAAATTATTATGGTAGTATACTATCAAAAAAAGAAAAAATTCCAACATTTTTTTAACGTTTATATTTTTAAAATTAAGAATGAACATGGCGTGAAACTTTAATAAAATACTTTTCCCCTTCCATAATTTTGGAAAATGGAGGACTATCTCCGATGATCGTTGCGAGATAAAGTAGTGTACCATACAATACTGCAGTGATGTGCATTGGAGGCTTCCAATAAAAATTTATTGGCTTGGAATTGGAAGAATTGGAAGATTCCAATAGCTTCCAAAATCCAATCACATCAATACTATATGTCGGAAATTACGCCGATCAAATAATTATTGAACTTTAAACTACTTAAAACTCAAAATCATCAAAATGTCAAATAATATTTATATAGATTGGTTAGAAGAAAAAATTTCCAGCGAATATTTAATTTATTACGACTATTCGGAATTTAAAAATTTTACGTTTATAGGATCAGGTTCCTTTGCAAACGTTTATCGTGTTAATTATAAAAATACTGGTAATATTGTTGCTTTAAAACATTTCCATAATAATTACCCAACTACGCTAAAGGGGTTTATTAATGAGGTATAAACTTGATATTTCCATAATAAAATTTTGTAATAAACAATAATACCGTGTATGTATATTAATTCTATTGCAGATAAAATTACAAAGAAGAGTTGATTTTCATGAAAATATTTTACGATTCTATGGCATTACGAAGGAAAGAACAGGTATACTTTATCATATAATATATTATATTATTAACATAAATTACCTTTTTTAGTGACATAATTTTTTTTTTTTAAAAAAAAAAAATATATATACGTTTAGAAAATTCAATACATCCAATACAATATTCATTTGTCTTGGAGTATGCTGATAGTGGTACTTTAAAAACTTATTTAGAAAACCATTTTAATGAACTTGATTGGCATGACAAATATCAATTAGCATTGCAACTGACCAGTGCAGTGACATGTTTGCATGAATTTGATATTATTCATCGTGATCTGGTAATGGTTGATTCATTAATTATTTTAATCATTTTAGAAATCCTAATTAGTACTAAATGGATTTCCTTTATTTAATTATAGTATCCAAATAATATTCTTGTACATCGGAATAAGATAAAGCTGTGTGACTTTGGTTCATCAAAAAAAAATTTTGAAGAATCGAGTGACATGCCAAAAATATTTGGTGTAATACCCTATGTGGATCCAAAAAGTTTCGATACCCAAGAAAAATATAAATTAAATAAAAAATCTGATGCATATAGTATTGGAGTTTTATTATGGCAAATTTCAAGTGGATATAAACCTTTTCGTGAAGATGATTATGGTGCTAGATTAATGTTGTTCATATTAAATGGGAAAAGAGAAGAAATTATTGATGGAACTCCTGTTGAATATAGTACCTTATATACAGGTAATAATTGTAAATTATGTTTTACAAAGATCATAAATATTTTAATATTTTAATTATTTAATTAATTAGAATGTTGGAAATATGAACCAAATGAACGTCCAAATGTGCAAGATGTTTTCTCAGCTCTCACAAGCATAGTTTCTTGTGAACTAAATAATGCAGACGATCAATTAGAAGAATATGAAATAATTTCAATCACTTCGGAATCAAGCAAGGGAACCATGGATTTAAATAGTGAATTATTATCAAATCATGAAAGCAAGGGAACCATGGATTTAAATAGTGAATTAGTATCAAATCATGAATCATATTTGGACGTTAATGAAATAGAAATCAGCCTAAATTCACAAAATCAAAAACATGCTCAATCAGATTCGTCAAATATATTAATTCGATCAAGAAAAAGTTCATTTAATTCATTTGATCCAATAAGTATAATAAATAACATCAATAATATTGGTGATAAATATTGGTTAGAAAAATCAATTGACAATGAAGATATCAAACTCTATGAATATTCAGACTTCAAAAACATCCAATCAATAAAAAAAGGCTCATTTGGGAGTATAGTCCGTGCTACTTTGAAAAATATTGACGATTTATTCGCTTTGAAATCTTTTAATAATGATGAAACAACTCTTTGTGAAATTGTTCGTGAGGTATATATTAAAGCTTTAATTGCCTACAGTACATTCAACATATTCTGAAGCATCGATTAAGTAAAATATACTTAATATTTTCTCAGATAAAATTGCATCAGTTTATTGCCCATGAGAATATTATACAATTCTACGGAATTACGAAGATGGAAAACGGTATGACCAAAAAACCATCATTAAATTAATTACTTTACTTTATTTTCATATAATTTTTCTTTTTTTCTACCCTTTTTTAGTTGATCAAATGAACATGAATAAATACATATTAGTTTTAGAATATGCTGACAATGGTACATTAGATACTTATTTAAATGAGCATTTTAATGAACTTAGTTGGAATGATAAGCTAAGCTTGGCTTTACAATTGGCAAGCGCTGTATCATGTTTTCATAATAACAATATTATTCATCAAAATCTAGTTATGTTTTAATTTATAAATTGATTATTTTATGCGAGTAATAACCGAATTATTAATTTTTTTTTTCTTTTATTTAATAAAATAAATAGCATGCCAATAAAATACTTGTACATCAAAAAAGCATTAAGCTGGCAGACTTTGGTTTATCAAAAGAAATACCAGAATCATCCAGCAATACATTGCATATACTTAGTATCATGCCTTATACAGATCCAAGAAGTTTTAATAATCAAAATTTCCAATTAGATAAAACATCTAATGTGTATAGTATTGGCATACTTTTATGGCAAATTTCAAGTGGATATCGACCATTCCGCGATGAAGGGTATAATGTGAAGTTAATATTGGATATAGTATCTGGAAAAAGAGAAAAAATTATTGATGGAACTCCAGAAGAATATATTAAATTATATGCAGGTAATAATATTAATAATATTTGATTCAATAATTCAAACATCTAACTATACTAAACTATTTATTTATTTAGAATGTTGGAATTATGAATCACAAAAACGTCCAAATATGCAGCAAGTTGTTTCAACTCTTAATCAGATAAGATCGTCTAATAATTTTCAAGATAATAATCTAAATGATGATGCAACCGAATGGATTAAAAATGCCTTGAATAATAAAGTTGTTAATTTCATACCATTTAATGAATTGACGAAACCAGAATTTTTTAAGAAGGGAGGATTTGGACTTATTATGAAAGCTATTTGGAACAAAACAGGAAACTATGTTGTTTATAAGAAGCTAACCAATACAAATGCTGTTAGAGATGATATATTAAACGCATTCATACATGAATTAAAAATTCATTTACATTTTGATTATTGTGATAGAATCATACGTTGTTTGGGTATTAGCCAAGGTAATTTAAAATAATTTTTTACTTGAAGAAATTTGAAAATATTTATTTTATAATAATTTACTTTATTTCAGACGTTATGACAAAAGAATATTTACTTGTCATGCAATATGCTAATGGTGGTGACCTTCGAAATTATCTTAAAGATAATTTTAAAAAACTAACTTGGGGAGATAAAAAAAGATTAGCATTTCAAATTGCAGATGGATTAAATTACTTACATAATGAAAATGTTTTACACAGAGACCTGGTAAGTATTTATAATAGTGTTACAGGTTAACAGACTTCACAGTTTACGGTGAAGATTAAAAATTTGCTGCAAAGTGGTCAAATTCGTTTCTCATAGTAAACTGAGAAGTTATCAGCAATTTTACTAAATCATCTGGTCATGTAATTATCATAAATAATTTTTTTTTTTTTAGCATTCTAAAAATATAGTTATCCATGAAAATAATGCAAAAATAATAGATTTTGGTATTTCGAAGATTCAAAATCAAAGTTCGGCTTATATAGGCAATTTTGGTAATATAGCTTATGTAGAACCTAAAAGAATTTTAGATTCCAAATTTCCATATACCAAATCTTCAGATATTTATAGCTTTGGTGTATTAATGTGGGAAATTTCTAGTGGATGTCCTCCATTTAAAGATTGCGTCACAGAAAATGAAAAAGTTGCACTTATTTGTGCAGGAAAACGGGAAATTCCAATTCCCGAGACTTCTATAGAATATGAAGAACTTTACATAAAATGTTGGGATCAAGAACCTAAACAAAGACCAATTATTAGCAAAGTACTTGAAGAATTTGAAAAAATGGGGTTTGGAGTTAATGTTAAAAATAAAATAATTGAAGGTATAAATATAATGATAAATATTTTTGTTTTTTATACTCAATTTTAAATGAGTATATATTAATTTATGATAAACATTAATTACAGATAATTCACAAGCTGTAAAATCAACTTCATCTTTATATCTGTCGTAAGTTTTTTAAATTTAATTTATAATTCAACTTCTTTATTTTTAATTATTGACTAATAATTTGTATGATTTACTGTATATTATAACCTTTTATTTATTAGTTCATGAAAAATAATTACGAAATATTTAAATATGTCAGTAAAATAAATTATTTATAATAAATAGTTTTATTGGATGGAGAATAGATATGGCAATACCCGTGGGAAGTTGAGAAATCGTAGGCAATAACTTGTCGGTCATTAGGAATGACCAATAGGAATCAATGCTACTAATTTCAATATTGGATGAAGTATTGGATGTCTCATAAAAATATCGGTCAGTAAAATCCCGAACAATAACAAACAATAATAATCTTTTTATTGTTGTTACAGACGCACAGAAACAAATTAGTAAAACGTGATTAGTAAACTAACATCATATATAAAAAGTTTTTTATCCATAATTAATCTTGTATAATTGGGAATATACGTTTAAAAATTTTTTTTTAGAACTTTTTCCTAATTGCTTAAAACTTCGATAAATGTTAAAAATGCCGAAAGACAGTTTCTTCTGAATTATCAAAACAGTGAGGCATTACATAATATTACGTAGGAAACGAAGATCATTATAAAATTCGAAGTGCCATTTTGTCCGATTACTTAAGGATGCATAACTTTTGTATCATTTTTCGGAATAATAGTCCTTCATTGCACTTCGGACTAATTATCTGTTATCACCACAAAGAATCGCGTAATAACATAAGATTTAAACTCCATTAATAACTCTTTTTTTTTAATTATTTCATTTACTTTTTCAAAAAATTTTTTTGTTTACATGTCATTCGTGCGGAATTTCTTATCGATTAGTATATCAAACTTTTTTAAAAGTCGACAAGGCAAAAAATTCAATTAACTCAATCTTATCCATTATTTTTATTCGTTCACCATCATTATTATCCTTTTTATTTTCGGGTTTTCAATAAACCGGCGGATTAGTTATATTTACTGGAAATTGTAAAGGGGTAACAAAATGATTTAGAATATCTAGAACAGGATATTTTGAAATAAAAATTTTACATATTGGTTAATAATTAAAATATCACTTTATCAAAATCAGAAGCAAAGTATTCAAATTATGTTCTAAAAAACTATAATAATAAACGACTTTACTAAAACACATCACTAGCCATAGTATGTGATTTCACAAAAACTATAGCCTAAACTAAACAAGTTGTACTAATTAAAATTGCCCAGCACCCTTGAAAATGGTCAGAAAAAAGGATTTGAATAATACTATTTTTTTTTGCACTAGAAATTTTGCAAAATAAAAAAAAATAAAAAAATTAAAAAACATAAAAATATAAGTGAAGTATATGTTGCAACATTTTTTTACTTTAAATTCCTACGCACCTGCGCAAAATGCAGGGGCGCATAAATTATATAAAATTTTAAAGTCTTATTACTTTTACGCGTGGTATAAAAATTAACAAATTTATTACAAATTAATGGTGACGCGTATATTATTTTGTGCGCACCCTATATAATATTTTATAAATTCTCATGTAAATATAATTAAAAAAACATGCATAGAATAATTTTCATAAATAAAGATTATCTTTGTGTAAATTTGGACTTAAATAAACGCACCTACAAAATTGATAAAATAATTGAGTTAAAAAGCATTGTTTCAATCCTCTAAATAAACCAACCTAATCCTAACCTAACCTAATCCTAACCCTAATCCTAACGCAACTCCAAATCTAACGCTTCTAACTTAAACACTTACCCTATTAAATTCAATGTTATACATCTAGTTCAAAACTTCATTACTTCTTTTTTTCCGATGATTCATTGGACAAGTAGCAAGATTGTGACCATTCTTACTGCATAAGCCACATTTCGACTTGTAGGAGCTTCATTGGGTTGAGTTGAAAGTTTGTAAAGGTCCCTTAAACCTCGCAGTTCCAGGTGGTCTTCCTTTAGGACGTCGAATTATAGGATTTCCAATTGAAATAACATTTTCTTGATCTACTTCTTGCGTATCTATATTATGGTTTGATACAGATTGTAAACCCTATTTTTTTTTGTTAATATACTCTTCAAGTAAAATAATAAAAGATTCGTTACAACTCTTGCAAGCAATCTGCTATTAGTCAATCCCCGTATATTAACATAATATAATTGTTGCTTTTTAAGAGAAACATATTGATTACCATTAAAGTTAAAATTATCATCTGTCATCTGGTAGTAAAATCATTGGTAAAAAATTCATCATCGTTTGAAAAAGAATCTGGATCACTCATATTAGTAGTATTTGATGAAAAAAGGGAAGGAAATAGCGAAGAGAGAGTGTGGGAATAAAAATAGTTTAATTGTTGATCAAAATAGTCTAAAAGGTTGTACAAAATTTTTACTGCGTTATCAACATGGGACATCAGATCGTGTATAAATTTTTTTATCATGCACATAAAAAAAACTGCGCATGGGTGCATTATAAGCATGGTGCGTAAAATACAAATTCTCCTTTAAATTAATAGAATCAGCTCAGCTAGACTATTAATAATATAGAATAAAAAGTTAGAGTAGCAAATAAAAAAAATAAATAAATCATATAACTGTGGTGTTGAACACCACGATTTATAAATTTCATATAAAAAACAAGAAATAGATTATCGAGAAGCCCTTATATCGTAAAATTATGTTTCAATTTTGATGTTTTGATAATAAATACTGAAACATGAATGATTCTTATATAAAGTTTATTAAAATGAAATAATGATAATTTTCTTTTGCAAGAAGATAAAAATTAATCATAATTAAATTAAAAAACATTCAAAAATAAATTATTAGATAACTAACCACATTTGTTTCAATGCCACTATTTTAATAAAAGTAAATTTCTAAGCATATCATTTTCTATCATTTCTTTGAATGCCCCAAATTCCATGCCAGAATTTGGATCGATAAATTTAGTTTCTATCAAATCATAATAGTTGACACTTTGCTTTTTTATTAAAAAAGTTCCTTGCCGCAAAAGTTTTTCTTTTATTTGAAAAAAAAATACATTGTGAGAATTTTTTTCTTTTTTCAAAAAGTTTTTTTTTATCAATCATAATTATACTAATAAGTAACTACCGTATATTTAAATAAGGAAAAAACAAATTTTTTGATGAAACCAAAACTTTGATTTTACGAAAAGACGAATTTTTCAAGAAAACCATTCTTACAAAAAGAGAAAAAATTTCTCGTTTCTAATGAAAAAAATTTAAAAACGTTCGCTATACTATGGGAAAAAACGCACGGTAAATTATAGATCACATGATTAGAATTATTTTTTTACGAAATTTTCTCCTACTTTTAGATTTTGGGCGCTATATTTACTAAACCTTATTCATCTGAGCGTTTGATTGGTCCAAGGTAATTAATTTAAACCATTTTTTTTTTAATTGAAATTTGAAAATATTTATTTTATAATAATTTACTTTATTTAGACGTTACGACAAAAGAATACTTACTTGTTATGCAATATGCTAATGGTGGTGACCTTCGAAATTATCTTAAAGATAATTTTAAAAAACTAACTTGGGAAGATAAAAAAAGATTGGCATTTCAAATTGCAGATGGATTAAATTACTTACATAATGAAAATGTTTTACATAGAGACCTGGTAAGTATTTATAATAGTATTACACTTTTACATGTTATCAGACTTCACAGTTTACGGCGAAGATTAAAAATTTGCTATAAAGTAGTCAAATTCGTTTCTCATAGTAAACTGAGAAGTTACCAGCAATCTACTAAATCATCTGGTCATGTAATTATCATTAATAATTTATTTTAAATAATTTATTTTTTTTTAGCATTCTAAAAATATAGTTATCCATGAAAATAATGCCAAAATAATAGATTTTGGTATTTCGAAGATTCAAAATCAAAGTTCGGCTTATATAGGCAATTTTGGTAATATAGCTTATGTAGAACCTAAAAGAATTTTAGATTCTAAATTTCCATATACAAAATCTTCAGATATTTATAGCTTTGGTGTATTAATGTGGGAAATTTCTAGTGGATGTCCTCCATTTGAAGATTGTCTTACAGAAAATGAAAAGGTTGCACTGATTTGTGCTGGAAAACGTGAAATCCCAATTCCCGAGACACCTAAAGAATATGAAGAACTTTACATAAAATGTTGGGATCAAGAACCTAAACAAAGACCAATTATTTATACTAATAATAATAATAATAATCTTTTAAATTATTGTTACGGACGCATAGAAAATATCTTTTTTATGTATTTTATTATATACATTAATAAAATTGTCGTTTAAAAAAGTGACATTTTAGAACTTTTTCCTCCATAAATTTCAACCAATTTTAAAAACTTCGATATATGTTAAAAATACCGAAAAAAATTTCTTCTGGATTTCAAAATAAGTGAAACAATACGTAGGAAATCGGTATGATGTACAATCCAAAGTGCCATTTTGTCCGCTTACGTAACATAACTTTTGTATCATCTTTCGTAATAATAATAGTCCTTCATTACACTTCGGACTAATTATCACCATAAAGGAGTCACGTAATTATGTTTTTTAACTTGAATAAGATTTAAACTCCATTAATAATTATTTCATTTACCGTATATATAAGCTAGATTGGAAAAAATTTCATTTTTTTTTTTTTGTTTACATGTTACGCGTGCGGGATTTCTTATTGAATAGTATATCAAACTGTTTTAAAAGTCGTGAAGTCGACAAGGTAAAAAAATTCAATCAACTTTTATCAATTCTAGAGAGTCGAATTTTTAGAATGTGGAATAACATTTCAATTTTTTATTCGCGGTTATCCTTTTTTATTTTCGGGTTTTCTCCGTATTTTTGTCAAAGGAACGGGCTTGGTAGTTATATTTACTGAGAAATCATAAAACGGTACAAAATGATGTAATAACATGATATTGTGAATAAAAATATCAATTCACCAAAATCAGAAGCATTGTTCGAAACAACTGAAAATTTAAAAAGTAAAAACTTGATTTAAAGTAATAGGAAGATTAATAAATAATTAAATTATCAACTTGGCTCGAGCTTATGCGTAAATGTTATTTTGAATTTAACTGATTTTTAAACACGTAATACAATTTATTATAAGTTTAAATAATTAGTGTTTCCTTTAATATAAAGTAAAAAAAAAAAATAATTAATAATAAAATTAAAATATAACATAATTCCATTATTTATTTTTTTTAAAGAGAAAATCGGTTTTCATGATTGTTTCAAATATTAAAATATTTAAGTTTTCAGTTATTTTTGTTTTTCATATCTTTTTTTTTACCAAAATTATAAAATTATAACAATCTAAGGTTTTATGTATGTACGCTATTGCGCGTAAAACATTTTTTTTTTTAAATTCCGAAATTTTTTCTTCTACTTTTCGAGTAATCTTTTGATTTCTGGAGACTCTTCAATTCTTAGTAAAGTTGAATTTATTGCTCAAAGATTTCTGATGTACAGTGTTCGAAATGAAATTAATTAATGGAATCTAAATTTTGTGAATATCATTCTACCGGATTTGTTACTGGAATTCTGTAATATAATTATTTAGTCGGCATAGTCTGCTGTACTATATTGCTTTTTGCTTCTGAAAAAAATACATTTGGGAAATACTTTTAAGTACTGTACATATATTACAAATATTATTAGTATATTATTATTATATATTTGGTAAGAATTAATTTTTTTAAAATAAACTTTAAATTGCAACACTCACGTCATAAAAGAAAAATCAACAAAATGATCTTATAGTCATACACAAGAGCCAAAAGCATTTAAAAAAGCTCAATTTAAACCGAAAAAATAGTTTCTTTTAAAATCTTTAAAAACATTAGTACTTAAGCAAAAGAGGGACAAGTTTACGGAACAAATGGCAGTAATAATTTATTAGAAAATTTCATTATTGAAAAAGAAATCAGATGCTATGAATATTCGGACTTCAAAGAAATTTATTCGATAGTAGAATGAAATTTCTTCCGCGCTAAATTTGAAAATGAATTTTTTTGTTTTGAATTCAGAGTAATTGGAGGTACAGTATATAAATATTCTAAATTTTAAGAAATTAAAACTAATTTATCTTTAATGCTTGTTTTATATTATTAGTTAGAATGATTTCATAATATTGAACATAAAATTATTTTACAATTCTATGGTGTTTCAACGATAGAAGGTCAATGCAAGAAAATATTTCATATTACTACTTTTTGAGTATGCTATAGTACAATATATTGTACGTTATAGTGTGGAATAATTATTAAATTATTTGATGTTTATACAATTTTCAGGTATAGTTCAAATGAATAAGTACTTTTTAGTTATAGAATACGTTGATAATGGCACATTATTATTTTTAACGAGCATTTTAATGAACTGATATGCTAAACTTGGCTTTACAATTGGTAAGTGCCGTTTTATATTTACTTATTCATCAAAATCCGGTATAAATTAATTATTTTATGCAAATAATATATATTAATCATTATATTTTATATTAAAAAAGTATTACCATCAACGGAATCTAATGATGCAATATATTTATTTGATATTATACCTTATATAGATCCAAAGAGCTTTAGATATAAATAAGATTGTTAAAATGACAACACTAAGATAAAAATGAAAATGACGTATTCTAACAATAAAAAATTAAAAAAATACTTTTATTCTTTTTTGAGAAACAAAAATGATAAAAAATATACGGACCAAAAAATAAGTGTATTACTATAGAAGTTTTTTTTATTACTGCTAAAACAGTCAATTATGGTAGTATTTACTTCAATTAGTAAAAGGAATTAAAACCCCGCCAATCATCAAATCTCTGATCTTGATCGTTGTCTTAATTCCAAATTAGGCCCATGCTTTATAATCTGATCATTGTTTCCAATTCCAAATTGGGCTAATTTATTTTGTAAATAACTGCGGGTAATTAGTCGTACAATTATTTTTTGTAACCATTTTTCATTTGAAATTATCGGAGAAAATACTCCATGAAAGAGGAACTGTTGAACAAAAAAAAAAAAAAATTTTTTTTTAACGCAAAAAAAAGTATAAAATGACCGGTTTTCACTAAAATTTTTTTTGAATATTTTTTTTTTACCGGAAATTGAATAGAAAAAAAATTATATATTATAATATTTAATTTTTTCAAATTAGAAGGATGAATTCTAAAACTCAATTTGCTTTAAATTTAATAGGAGAAGCTATAAGTCCATATTTACCATTAATTACTGTAGCTACAGGATTAATCAGTGAAATCATAGATATTTATGAAACAGCAGAATATAATAGAAAGATTTGTGATGTTTTAGTGGAACGAATGATATTGGCTAATAATGCTATTAATACATTACAAAGTAGAAAACAAAAAAATGAAAGTAAATTTCGTAATGAAGAATATTATAAAGCTTTTAATAGATTTATATATGTTTTAAAAGAAATTAAAGAATTTGTCTCTGATATTTCAAATATTCAGGGTATTAAGAAATATGCAAAAGCTTATAAAATTAAGAATAAATTTGATAAACTCACAAATGATTATGATAATGCTATGAAAGATTTAAATTTTACTATGGCAGTTGCTAGTGAAGAACAGAGAAGAATTGATGATGCAGCCTTAAAAGAAGATTTGGATGAAATGTCTAAATATATGTCCAAATATTTTGAAGAAATTGATAGTAAATTGGATACTATTTATGATGAAATAAAGCATATGAAGAGTCATATAGATGATGAAAATGATAAAACTGATAAAATTTTACAAGGCGTAAGTAAGATTGATTCAAAACAATTATTACAACCTATACGAGGAAAACCTGATGATAAACGTGGTAAAGAACCTAAATATATTATTAAGAAAATTTATCAAGGACAAGATGTAGCTTGTAAATTTACTGAGGATGAAATTGAACCGAGTCAAAAGACACAAAGACTTCTTGAAATTTTAATGAAATTATCTGTTGGATGTAAACGTATTCTTAAATTTTATGGTATTTCATCAATTGAAAAACGTAATGTTATGATTTTTGAGTGGGCTGATCGTGGAACTTTGAAAGAACTTTATGAAGTTAAAGATATCAAATGGCATTATAAAGTTCGAATTGCTCTTGAAATTTGTCGTGGCCTTATATTCTTACAACATGTTGACATTTTACATCATGATTTGAGATGTGAAAATATTTTAATGACAGAAAGTTTAGAACCTAAAATTTATAATTTTGAGTTAGCACGTTCTTTTGATTGGAAAACTACTACTATGGATCAAACGATAGGAGATATATTACGTTGGATGGCTCCCGAAAAATTAAACAATAAACCTTATACAACACAATGCGAAATTTTTAGTTTTGGTATGTTACTTTGGGAACTTACATTTGAAAAAGTTCCATATCAGGGTTGGGAAATAGAAAGAATTGTGGATCATGTTACTAAAAGTGGTAGAGAAAAAATTACATTTGGGTCTTCAATTCCTGAAAATTATCAAAATGAATATAAAAATATTATAAGTGACAGTAAGTAAAAATTATTATTATTATTATTATTATTATTTTTAGACAAACATTACGATGTATTGTATTTTAATTATCGATTTTATATTTATAGCTTGGAAGCAAAATCCGCATGAACGTATTCCTTTTATGAAATTATTAGATTTGTTAGAAGAATTATATACTTCTATTAGTTATATGTTTGAAGATAATTCACTAGGTTTACTCCCTGATAAAACCTTGGATTTAGATGGATCAAAAGATGGTATTGATGATTTAGAATTACCAGATGAGGAAATTAGTCCTGTTATTATAAAACCGGTAATTACATTAGAAGAAGGAATAAGAGCTTTTGAAAATAAAGAACATGAAAAAGCGTGGGAATGTTTTGAATTTCATGCAGAAAATAAGAATACGACAGCAAAATATTGGAAAGGTCGTTATTTATGGGATGGACTTCTTAATGATATTAAAGGACGTGAAGAAGAAGGTAAAAAATTACTTAAAGAAGCAGCTGATGAAGGAAATTCTGATGCTCAATTACGTTATGCTTTTACTTTTAAACAATTTCTTGATAAAGAAGAAAATCAAAAAATATTTATGGAATACATTAAAAAAGCTGCTAATGAAGGAAATAATCCCACTGCACAATTTAATTTGGGTGATATATATTATAAAGGAAAATGTAATACTCCAAAAGATGAAGTTGAAGGAATTAAATGGTTAAGAAAAGCTGCTTTACAAGATAATATTAAAGCAATCAATTTATTAAAGAAATTGGGAGTAGGTGTCTATGATTAAGTCTTAGGCTCTTAGCATATTCGTAAATAAAAGTTTAGATTTAGCATAAAATAATTATATAAAAATCAAATATTATTTATTTATTATTTATTACGATACTTCTTCCTAATAGTTTATCATATATATACACACATATATAAATCATGAATTTATACAATATTTAATTAAACAAATAAAAACAAAATACAGTATAATATTTTTTTTTTTACAAATTATAATGTAAACTAAGATAAATATTCGAAAGTGAATATAGACTAAAATTTTTACAAAATAGTTATCGCTATATTTGAAAGATCCCAAAGCATTAAATTTAAATAATTATTAAATACTATATCGTAGAAATTTTATTTTGTAATTTAGGACCTAATGCAACTTCCGTTGCTTTTTTCTTTTTTTCAGCTTAACTTTTATATTTTATATGCTTAAACCAGTCGTCTCCCTATATAAAGAAGTTTAACAAAAAGTGTAGTTGAAATTATGTAATAAAATTTTCACTTTTACTACTTTTTTCACATTTTCGAGTAAATTATTAATAATGGAAAATATAAGATGCACGGAATGCTGCACTTTTTATTTACTATACACGATATAAAGTAATTTTTATTTTACTTACCCTGGAACTGTAACAAATTTAAAGCGATTTTCTGTATTTCATTTTTATGAGATTATCTTAGTTATATTCTGAGTGAGATGCTCAAAGTATTCATCCTCAACTCATCAGGAGTTTTAACACAAAAAATTCAAGTAATAATCAATACTCTAAAAATAGATTCTCAACATGGAAAGTTGTCAGGACCAAAAAATATATCAGATGGCTACTATGGGCTGTACGCTGATATAAAATACGCAATCTGATGACCTAACTATGGACGAAAAAATCTTGTACGCAAATCAAAACCTTATTCCGCTTAACTCCACTATGATGGTGACGCATTTACGTACCCTACCCTACCTATTTATATATTTCTGGGTCCTATACGTCAATAATGATCTTAAAACAGAATAAGCTTCTCTTAATTCAACTCAAAAAATCACCAATTTACAGCTGATTTCATAATGTACGGGACACATGACAAATTTGATGCCGAGAATTTTTGTCGGGTTGTCGGTGTACGTGCACATTATAAAATAAGCTTTTTTTATATAACTATAATAATTATATATGGTAATAATAGTATATTAACTTTATTTTATCAATATCAATAATTTTTAGAGCATCAATAATGACTCATCCTTTGACATTTCGATTGAAAATTTGCTCCATTTGTCTTATTTGCTTAGATTGTAAAAATCTATATGGCCAAAACTGTACTTGCCAGTCAAGAGAAATTGAATGGAAGAAGAAAAAAATTGAACGTGACTATACTGTAGATTTTTGCCATAAGCCACTTACACAAAAAGGTGCCACAAAACAAAAGGTTGCATTGGAAATAGAATTTCTCAACTGGTTTTTTGCCAATGCTTCTCCACATATCAAACTTTCACCAACCCCAAGTAATGTTAATATATGCAAAAATTGTATGAACAGATATCACGGAAAAAATTATTACTCAATTTATTTAAAATCTATATATTCAATAAAGCCATTAAAGACAAACAGCTTACTCAAAATGAAACTGCAAAAATTACAAATTTGATCAATTTGGAAGATAATGTGTCATCTGTTAAAAGTAATAGATATCACATGCTTATTTAATTGCTGACAACTGACAACCCGGCAACTGACAACCCGGCAACTGACAAAATTCTTGGCATCAAATTTGTCATGTGTCCCATACATTATGAAATCGGCTGTAATAATTACAACTAGGGATGGCAACGGTCACGGTTATTAACCGGTCATGACTGGTCATGACCATGACCGATCGGTATGACTGACCGTTTAACTGACCGTTTACAGCTGATTTCATAATGTGCAGGATACTTGGCAAATCTTAAAGAACTCGGAAGTATTTGGCAAAGCTTGATATAAAATAAAAATTATACGCTAATTTTGGAGTACTATTCCGAGAATGGTGGTATCATTTTATCTTATTTTGAACTTTTACCAAATATTTCTGAGTTCTTTAAATTTTGCCAAGTGTCCCGTACATTATGAAATCAGCTGTAAAAAATAAAATTAAAAAAAAAAATTACAGCTGATTTCATAATGTACGGGACACTTGGCAAAATTTAAAGAACTCAGAAATATTTGGTAAAAGTTCAAAATAAGATAAAATGATACCACCATTCTCGGAATAGTACTCCAAAATTAGCGTATAATTTTTATTTTATATCAAGCTTTACTGAATACTTCTGAGTTCTTTAAAATTTGCTAAGTGTCCCACATATTATGAAATCAGCTGTAAAAAAAAATTATCTTATTAGTACAATGCATTTAAATTTTGATTTTTTTTAAAAAAAAGTACTTAATAGATGATCATTTTCTAGCAAAAATAATCAGTTAAGCGGTTGGTTAGGCGGTTGGTCAGATGGTCGGCCAAAATGCCCTATAAAAAAAGAATGTCCGGAAATTGTAGCTAAAAACGTCCAGAAAATGTATATTTGTCTGGAATATGTCTGGAATATTGCAATATTCCGGACGTTGGAAAATTTCCATTTTCCAGAAAATGTCCAGAAAATGTCTAGGAGGGTTCAGACCCAGCGTCCAGAAAGTGTCTGGAATATTGCAATTTTCTGAACATTTTCCGGACACACAGACATTTTCCGGATGTTTTTAGCTACAATTTCTGGACATTTTTTTTTTATAGGGATGGTTGGTCAAAACGGTCAGTCGGTCAAAGGTTTATAACCGGTTATGACCGACCGATGACCGACCATGACTGACCGTTACCATCCCTAATTACAACAATATTAAGGACGTAATCATTTTAAATGATTTATACGAGTCTTGATGATCAATACCTATTAATAATAGTAGTGTTAAGTACTATTAAAAAGAAATTCTAAAATATTCTTACTATTTGAGCTATAAATTCCAAGAATATAGTCTTTTATATCAGGAGAACGTATCATTTTTGTTATAATATGTGAAGACAAAATTAATTTAACTAGTAATGACTGTTGATTGGCAGCTGATGCCACAATAAAGTCTTCTATTAATGTTTCTCCATACCTTTATGTAATGTTGTATTGTCTAATTTTACATCTATAGTGTATTATCCATTTATTTCATGTGCTATAAGCAAGTTTCTTATTATTACGTCAATACTTTTAAACACTTTATAACTTCAGTTCGTTGCATAGAATTTTAAAAGATGAATTTTTGTTTAAACTTTTATTGGTTGTCAAATAAATTTTAAATACCAAAGTGTACATTATACAATAAAGGAATTATTATTTTAAACTTCCACTTTAAAAATTCTGTGATTTAATTATAATCTTTTCACTTTATAATAAATTAATAATAATTATACTCAAAGATTATTGTATTGTTTCACAAAGAATATTGAGATATTAACCCCTACAATACTATTTGTTAGTTATTGAATAAAATCATTAAAAGTTCTAAAGTTCTTTTTAACTATTACATGATTTGATATTACATCCTCTCAACTCATCAGAAGTTAAAATTTGAAACTGAAATTCTTTACATCAAAAATGGTATCAATTAATACTCTTATAAGCTATAGAATAATATGCTTGATCCTAAAAATTCAGAAATCACATAATTTATGTACAGTCGGACCTCGATATACTGATGCTGTTGGTTTGGGTAAAATATATCATTACATCAAATTATCATTATATAGTGAATCATAATGCAGGCCAAAGTCTAATTCTTGGTGGCATTATGCAAACTCTGAGTTTATTTAAAGATTAAATTATAGCTTCTCGTTAACATACATTCATGAAACAAAAGTTGTTCACATTTTGTGTTGAAACAAGAGCTAAAAAATCTAATTATTTGGATGGAATGATGGAAACCCTCTTGTTAATTCAGGCCAAGTTTATAGTGCTGACTTGAATTAAATCAGTATAACCTGAAATATCGGTATACCGTACTATAGACTACTATAAAGGGACAAGGGGTGAGTATCGGTACATGTTACATCACGAAATTATATATAATATCGGTACAATAAGGTTTTTTTATTAATTGTGAAATGGAACAATAAAAATTTATCAGTACAGGCAATTATCGGTATATAGAATATCGATACATCGAGTTCCGACTGTATTAAGAATGACATAATTTTGAATAATCAAAAGAAAATTCACCTCATATTATTACAATATCAAATGTAATTAAAAATATGTAAAGATGACTAGTAATTATACATATAATGATGATGAATATGTAAATATGTAATCCCACATATCATTTCGATTAAATCTTAAATTATTCAGTTGTTAAATATTTTAATATTGCAAAAATTATTGTAGTTTAAATAGAATTTAAAAACTAAGTTTGAAAAAGCTATATATGACTGTATCAAAGTACTAATTTCATAAATGAGTAAATAATGTACTGAGTATAATAATGCTCTGTCCGAGTATTGTAGCAATCAGATGCTTTAATGGATTAATTAGTAATTTTCCGCTCTTTTCCGTTTTTGAAAATAAACATACGAAAAAATCTTTGCTTTTCGTATTTAAATTTTTACAATTTATTGCTTAATATTTCGATAATACACACTTTTACAATGTGCTACAAATTTGTGAAGTCAAAAAAGATATTTCCCATTTTAAAAAGTAATCTCAAAACTCTTTAGTAATAAATGGTATTTTAAGCCCATATATATATGTAATTAAGATATATATTTTCTTTATAATGCTTATTATTTTTTGTTATTAATAAGCTAAATAGGCAAAAGAAAAAATTTTAATAAAGTTTGTTATTTCATTAAAAAATTTCATGTTACTAAATTTTACTGGAAATCTTATTGAAACCATATACAGATCACGCTATATAATTAATGATATCAGGTGATCTTCATTTTAATAGTGATAGTCCTTGTAATTGGTTGTTATGCTAATCATGCTATCCTGGAAAGGAAGGAAAATTTTACTAATTTAGTTAGCTCTTATGCGCTAAGTATAGGGTACGTTTTTATATTATTGATATTGATATTGATATTGATATTGTATTGATATTGATATTGAATTGATATTGATATTGAGTTGATATTGAGTTTCAATATTACGAACAATGGTCGTTTATATAAAAAAAAAAAAA